CCGTTTCTATCAACTCGTTCAAGAAGATTGAGCTTGGAAGGTCCAAGGTCTGTTAAGAAGGATAATCTGCAAATATCACATGACATGGGGAAATTCCTGGCATCTGAAACAGTACCAATGGAGAATTGTGGTCAACTTCAAGAGACAGAAGCAGTCACTAAGCCTTTTGGCCATTTCAGAAATGAGAATACCACATTGGAAGTGTGGTGTCCCAAAACTCCTCGAAGTCCAACAAGGATTCCCTATCAGAAGCGAGTTGTAGAAACAGATAGTAAAACACAAGTTTCTTCTCTTCAGCCACCACCAACAACACCTGAACCACGTCCCAGGGCTCCTCGAAGTCCAACAAGCTGTACCTATCAGAAGCGAGTATTTGAAACAGAGAGTATAACCCAATGTCCTCCTCTTCAGCGACCAGTGACACCTGAACCTCAGCCGAAGGCTCCTCGAAGCCCAAGGATGGCTAGCTATCAGAAGGGAGGGTTAAAAACAGATAGTAAGATCCCTCCTGTTCAGATACCGACAACACCTGGTCCTGAACCACCAATGCGTTCCAGAAATGAGGTACAGATTGCTATGCAAAGTAAGCTCCCTCTTCCTGCGGATTACCTGACACCTAATTTGGCAAGTAGCATCAGTGGGAAAGGATCTCAGATAAGGAGATCCCTGCGGACAATTGGAAAACTGATTAATGGCTCTGAAAAGAGGTGGGTGAAACTCATAATTTGAAGGACTTTTTCTGTTTCAATACATGTAATGTGTATGTTATTTTGGAATGTATGTTAGATTGCTACAATGTCTCTCACATCATATATTCATATTGAATGTTATTCATATTTACTACTGCTGCCATTTCTTACTAAACTTAAGATGAAATACTGCAGGAATCAGCAAAGTTTGGTGGACACACATTCAACTGTTAAATGCTCAGGCGATATCAATGAAGGGAAATCACCAGTTACAAATACTGCAAGAACTCAGAGGAGGCAATCACTAACTGGCATTCCATCATCAGGGTCTGACAGACGATCCTCTCTGGGAGGGAATACAGTTGACACTGGTACATAAAGCTCATACAAGCTTCATTACATTATAGAACTTCTCACCAGTTACAGCTTTCATATTCATCTATGTTTTGACTTTGTTATGGTGTTTGCCTTTTGAAGGTGTAAAGGACAATAGAAATGCCAAAACACCTCCTCCCGTTCGCTCGTCAACGAAAAATAACAAGCGGTGGCTCTAGATCATTTGATGTGCTGAAATTGCAGTGGTGGTGCTTTAACTCGAAGCATACTGATGTGCTGAAATTTGAAGTGGCTATAGATCATTTGATGCAAAGTGAAAACTGCAGTGGTGGTGCTTTGACTCAAAGCTTACTGATGTGCTAAAATTTGAAGTGGTAACAGATAGCATTATGAGAATGCCCTTGAGTAAAAGATAGGCTAACATGATTGTAACTGATCTGCTTGTCTTCAGATCACAGTTTTGTTTAGCTAAAATGTTTCATATCGTCAATGATCCTCATTCATTGTAATTGTAATTGTAATGCCTAGTTTGGATCCATATTGTGAATTTCTGTTAATAAAAGTAGTTTATCTTCCAAAGTTGTTACTAGGGGTGGTTATAAAAACCGTCAAACCGGAAAACAGAATCCAAACAAAAAAAAAGAAAAAAAAAGGGAAAACTGAGTGACCGAAAAAAGTCAAATCCAGACCAAAACCGAACTGGAACCGGACCGGACTGATTATTTTAAGCCGACTTTCCTATAACTTTAGCCTTCAATGAATAAAGCCCAACTTGATATATAATAAAATCCTAAAGCACAACAATACTTAGCCAATAGCCCAATCCCAATTAATAACCCTACTTTCCTCCCACCCTAACCGTCCCCCACTTGACAATATGAAACGTTTTAGCCAAACAAAACGGTGATCTGAAGACGAGTAGATCAGTTACAATCATGTTAGCCTGTCTTTCATTCAAGGGCATTCTCACATATCTTTCGTTCCCAAGAGTTGCTCTTGCCGAATATCTGGCATGTGTTGTTGAATTGTCACTCCGATATATATATAACAATTGTCGATATTAATCATCTAATAACATAACGTGTCTGAATTTGATCATGTGATAAGAGGACATTTTTATCGTTTCAAATATCTCAAAGATGATAAACACAGGATAGTGTAACCTTTTATATTTTCATATGCCTCCTGCCTCCATTCTGTATTTCTTCCCTGCTCAAAGGTCGAAATCTTCTTCCTTCTTTTTCTTCTCAAATGGCTCAACTCCTTTACGAACTCATAACATTTTTGTAACCTCTTCAAGCTGCTTTTGGTTGCAACTTGAAACTTGAGTTTTGCATTATGTGTTTGTGATGCCATAATAATACCCTCTTCTTTACAATTTTAAAAGAAGGGACCAAAGCCCATGTGATACAAACACTTCACTTCCCTAATGTGTAGTGTATGGCTTTTGGGGATTTGAACATGTGCACTTAAATTATATAATAGGACTTGAAAATCTTAGATCCTTGACAACCCAAAGAGAAAATGTATGGTCTAGGTAAAAGCTACATTAATATCTTATCATGTGACTTAGATAGATAGTGCACAAAGTAATATTCTATTCTATTCTTACCGCATGTTTGTTCATTTACTTGTATGCATCTACTTTTTATCTGTTTATTTTTTGCAACATGTACTCTTTCCCCCACGGGTGATAATTTAAATTATTGATGAGCATTTACTTACTGACATTGTTCATTTTATTTATTAAACAAAAAAGAGATAAATATATCTTAAGAATTCAAAGCTCCTATAAACAAATTCAAAGCTAGAAGCATTTTATTCACAACCATAATCTTAACAAGACTTAGACTTGACTAAGTCATCGAGGTCTAGCCCAGTGATCTCAAATTTGAACCCCCTTATAGCACTTTAGCAGTACCCCAATATTGATGTGGTAATATCTTATTTATTCATGAAATATCACATTCGTTTACTATTTAGAAAAAGCCTATTTTGTTAAATGTTATCCAACTTTTTGTAGTGAGATGTATAGTGTTGTCCAATCTATAGTTATGGAGTCCATGTGAGAGAATTGGGGAACATTTACAAAAAAAGAGCTTAGGTTGTATAACATTTTCATATTATTTAATCTCCAAAAGCTCAAATTCCTTAAATAATTGACATTTTTTAAAGCCATTGTAATTATTCTAACTATAAAAGTCAGTGAGGGAAGAATAGGAGTGGCTAGATCTTGGGGTTTAAAATAAGTGGAAATTTGCAGGTATATCTCAAGATAAAACCTGTTTAGGAGATGTGAAATCAAGCAAGTTGATCCGTTAATATATAAAAAAATTAAATTTAAAAATAAAAAAACAAAATAACTATGATCCCTATTTGTTGAACAAACCAAGCTCAACGACTAGTATTTTGTCAGGGCTATCCTGTATGCAAATTGCAGTTGTGTTATTTTTCTGACCCCGCCCATGTGGCATGTGGTCCCCCTAGTGCATATCTGCCACCTTGTGCAGTGTAGCATATGAGCTTTCGAGCTTTCAAGCCATACTTTTTAGAAGGGTGTGTTTGGAAGGAACCCAATATTTATTCTCATCATGGATTGGGCTAATGCAAGCTTGCATGCAACATTGTAAAGTCCTAGAAGTACTTTATAAAAAATTTGTGTGAGAAAGTTTGTTTATGCCTGGCTTGTCAAAATCTCCTCAATCTCAAGGAATTATATGAATTGAGTGTGCTCATCATGGTAATAGATAAAAGTAACTTTAAAAGCTGCTGGCCCTTTTCACATGCATATTTTGGTACAAGGATACAATAATGCACTCTCAACTTGATTCTGCCTCCACATGCATGGAGAATTATGACATCAATCTATCTATGCTATGCACCTTCTCAAACAATAGAGATATTCGGATTCACATGCCATGATGACCTTATTTGGTTGTTTGCCAAACACAAAACAATCTAATACACAAGTATGCACATATATATTTCTTATTTTATACGATTGTAGTCTAATTTACTCTAAATTAATCTACACTACGGACTCGAATTTGAGTTCAAAGGTCGAACTCATTGTCCTGATCAACTGAACATAGATGCATTTTTTTGTAGATAAGGTAAAGTTACCTTTCTAGACTTAATGATGCCAAATAAATGCGTTTCTGTACACATACATCCTGCGTTGGCCAACTGTGAGACAAGAGAATTATTATTTTTATGGATACTCTTAAAGAAACATTGACCAAAAACGATTAAATAGTAAAATATTCAAGAAAATTTGGATATTTTGCTGTTCTTGCTCAAAATTCGTAAGATTTCACAAACATCTGGTTAGGGATGCAGACAAGAAGGCATTACAGGCTGCCTAAAGGTGGAAGTATGGTTTGCCCACTAATGCATAAAGATGGTAGGCTCCTGTCAATATTTTGGCCTAAAAGATGAACGTGCCAATCTGGAAGATGCAAAAACCAATAATATGATCAACCCAAGAAGTATGATAATTGCAGAAAATATAACTAGGAAACATGGCTAATTCATAAACCATCAAACTAAAGTATTTATGATGTCACTGTCAGCATCATATATATGAACACAATCCTCGCAAACTTGTGCACTAATCAGGCAACAAGATAAACAACAAAAGAAAAATGCAGATAGAAACAAAAATTACTCTTGAATTTGTAGCAAAACTAGACATCAAAGAATCAAAAGTCAACATTAGCCACAAAATCAGTAAAACTGCTTTTGGTACAGTAGATCAAATAGTAAAAAGGTCCTAGAAGAAAAGAACATAGTTGCTTCAAAATCAGAAGTATTTACCAAAAAATCGGTTTCTTTGTGCAAAGCTTAATGTACATAGGTCACATATATTCAACAACTTCTACCAAGTACAAACATATTTTCCTAGTAGCCATTTCATGCCATCTACAACCTTTCAAAATGATTTATGTAAGGTAAAGAATAAGAAAGACCATGGAATTACTGAGATTGAATATGGGGATGCTTGTTCAGTCTATGGTACATGTAATCGTACGCACGAACCAATCGCTTGCGAAATCTTCCAAGATCTAATCTCACAGTCTGACCATCAAGATAGATCTTCTTTGTGTACTCCCATCCCATTTTGGTTACACTCTTTGGATCTCTAAGAATAGGATCATCTTTATCATACTTGTCATATAAGGAACTCTCTCTAGTAAGAATTTGGTAGCCAATGTATTTTAAGCCAAGCTTCCTTGCAGGTTCCCCATAATATTCCTCTGCTGCCCACTCAGTTCCAAGGGGAACAACTTGGATAAAAACAGAGCCAGGCTTCATGAATAGAAAATGAGTCATGGCAGCACCATGAACCCCAATCATCACATCACTAGCATTAAGGGCCCGATAAATCTTTGCCAACTCTGTCGTGGGGTCGGGTCTCAAAACATTCACGTCAAACCCGATTTCCTCAGCCATTTTCACCAATAAATTCTCATTAGTTATGGCTCTTGATCCATTTCGAGATATGATCACCAGTTTAGGCTTCTTCACTTGATCTTCTTGCACTTCATTCTCAATTTCTAGAGGACTTTCAGATGTCAAAGATGCAGAAAGCTTCTCCTGTGCTTCTCGTTCCTCGTCTTGAATTAGACTTTGAATTCGAGGCCAATAAGCTCGGTCTAGAAGATTTCGAAAGTCAACAATGCCCATATTTCCCTCCATCAGTAAAGAATCCACAGTTAGCTCGTCGTGAATTCTCAGGCCAACAGTGACCTCAGGGAAGCAGTGAGTTCTCTTGTCTCCGCTAAAATCTATCGGTGGATAATCTGACAGTTGTGAAAGAATGTCTCCATATTTCGTGACCCACCAATTATGGTAATCAAGCATGACAAATATAACCTTCTTGTTGAAATGCTGGGAAGTAATGTATAATGGCATAATCCCATCATTGAATTCATGATAAACATTACCAGTATAGCCCCCAGTCGAGAAAAACACTGCTGGTACATCATGTTGGACATCACACTGATGGTGCATACCTAGAGTGTCTTTCTTTGCAATGAGCTGCAATTCATCAATGGTGTCCATGACACTTTTTTCCCATTTCCTTGTATACGGTTTGACCTTTTCGTGCTCAAGTTCCTCAGTTTCGCCTTCTTCGTTTTCCTCAACAATACCCGCAACATAATTTTTCAAGCTGCTTCCGTCCTTAGATCTGTAGAGAAATATAGAAGAGGAAGCAGAGTGTGTTCTCACATCCCCTTTCATGACACAAATATCTGAACGAATACTGCTTCTATCACAACATATAGTTCCTGCAGCCACAGAAAGAAATTACAATTAATTTCTATTAAAAAAAGAAAACACAAATAATCAAAAAGCAATTGAAGATTATGATGGGATTATACTGTTTGATCAAACTCAAAACATATGAGAGAGAGTTTTGATCAAATCCACAACTTGGCTACTGAGAAAATTGAAGAACATAGGGAAGAAAAGGATATTCAAATTTCAGGCAATAAAGTATTATTTACTTCAATCATAGTATTAGATTTTCCTGCGTTTTCAATATACTTTCTATTCTTCCCCCTTTTTCTTTTTCCTATAACTTTTTCTCTCTTCACGAACCAAATGGACAAAAGCGACCCTCTTTAGCAGTATATCTGTACAGATTGAGAAAACTAATAACACAAACAATCTAAAGAGAAAGAGAAAGGCAGAGTATTAACCATTAGAGATTGAAGAACACAAGGGAATGTTTACATCCATTTCAGCAGCAACGCCTTCATTTTCTACCATTGTCGAATCTATAAAAACCAAAAGTTCCAATTATTAATAAGCAGGTAAAGAGGAACCAAAAAAAGAAAAAGGAAAGGCCTTGTCTTTGAGAGAGAAAAACTCACATAAGAGAGAGAAGGTGGTGTTGGTGCTAAAAAGATGAGGGGCCAATATGAAGCTGCAAGAGAGAAAAGAGAGGAAGAGGATATAGAGAAGCTTGGGACTTGTTCTTTTGTAATAACCAGAGTTTGCAAACTCCATTAGAAAGGTCTGAGACTCTTCATCATCTTCTGTATGCTTTTCACCTTTTCTCCACTGATGATGGCGCTGATAGCGTCCCATGTCCTATGCAAAAAAGCTTTGATCTTTTTTTCTCCCCTGCTTTTCAAAGTAAGCTGGTTTTCAAGTGAACCCAACTAGAGAGAGGGAGTTCCTATGCAAAAGCTTTGATCTTTTTTCTCCCCTGCTTTTCAAAGTAAGCTGGTTTTCAAGTTAACCCAACTAGAGAGAGAGAGAGAGGGAGGGAGATTTATGGGGCTGTTGATGGTCTGGGGACAAAACCCAGATGAGGAAATGGAGAGCAATATACAAATAGAGAGAAAGTAATATTTTCTTGGATTCCTCTGCTTTCACACAGAGAGAGAGACAGAGAGATGGAAGACAGGTTTTTGGGGTTTGTTTATTGAGAAGGTGCTGCTTCTTTCCTATAAAGAGAGAATAGTCTAGAGAGAGAGAGAGAGGGAGAGAGGGAAATGAGAGGAAAGAGGGAGATGGATGGGTGATGAGTTAGTAAGAAATCAAAAGAGGAGCTGTCAAAGGAGGGGAGGCTGTTCTGGTCCTAAAATTCAGTCAGTTTCTCTCTGCTGAAGGAAGTTGGGTATTTTGATTTTAATAATATTTTTATTTTAATTTTGCAGTCAAATGCGTGTAAAGAGAGGGAATTGTGATGCGAACAAAGTCCCTTCTTTCCTCGGTTTGGCTCGTTGCTTTCTCTTTTGGCACCTGTTTCAAATCAGCGCAGCTCATCCCACGCGCCTTTGAAAGCTGTGTCCAACTTGGCAAACTGCGGTGCGGATCCGAAAATCAAGATGAGACCTTTTGCTATAAGAACACGGTGGTGAATGGATCATGGATTGGCCACTAAGAAAAGAACAGTATTTTGCAGATAACCATTGGCTGCAGCACACGCAGGAGAATCTGCTATTAGAATAACTTGTAAAAAAAATCATGCTTTGTTTTTGCTTTGCTTATATTCTTGGTAGCAATTTAATTAGTAATTTTTCTACCTTCCTATTTGTCACTTCAACCCTCTTTAGATTTCCTATGTTTATTCATTATTTTATTTTATTTTTTGGTCCTTTGCTGCTCTTCAATTCGTGTCTTTGGCTTGTTGCTCACTTTTCTTTTTTGAAACCAAGGCGATTAAGTTACATTACTGAGAGCAAAAGGTAGATAAAAGACGTTGACAAAGTGAAAGATGATTAGGCGAGCAAATTTACACATAAATTTATTATTTAACATAATAAAGAAAAAAAATGTCATTAAGAGTAACCAATCAAAAAATTTGCATGTCATTGCAACTCATAATTTAAAATGGCCAAATGACTAAATTAAGCCGTAAAAAAAATGTTGTAGGAGTAATTGGAGTATGGTAGCGGAATACGGTCAATTTTGTAAAAACATTAAATTGTAACAATATCTCTTTGGTCACCTTTGTTGAGACTTGATATAATAAATATATGTTTTGACATATACATCACCTAAGAGCATCTCCAATGGAGATGTCAAATACCAAACATTAAATTTAAATTTGATGGATGATATGGCAATTTGACATCTTACACAGCTTTACACTTCACCCGATAAGTCAAATTAAATTATTATTTTATTACATTTTAGTGTTGATTCATTTTTAGTTAAAAAGAAAAGAAAAGAAAAAATAATAAAATATTCATTTGACATCTTGCTTTTGGGATGTCAAAAATAACATCTCAACCTCCAGCCTTCATTCCACATCAGCTTTGACACATCGGTTGAAGTGATATAAGATGTTATTTATAGCTGTTAAATGTCTATGTGGCACGTTTGACACATCGGTTGGAGATGCTGTCATGATGTATTTGATTTTTATTATTAATATAACTGTATGATATTTTACATAAAAGTCAAAACCAAGATCAATCTTGACACATTCCATCAATGATGTAATCATAAGCACCAACCAACTGCTTCTTAAACCTTTAGAGGTCCAATCTCACAGTTTGATCTTCAAGATAAATCCTCTTTGTTTGTTCCCATCCTTTTTGGTTCACTCTTGTTGGATCAGCAAGAATGGGATCATTTTTATCATACTTTTGGTTCACTCTTGTTGGATCAGCAAGAATGGGATCATTTTTATCATACTTGTAATACAATGAGCTCTCTGTGGCAAGAATTTGGTAGCAAATGCATTTCCAACCAAGTTTTTTTGGCAGGTGCACCATAATATTCCTCTGCTGCCCAAGCAGTTCCAATAGGGATAACTTGGATGAGCACAGAGCCAGGCCTCATGAACAGAAAATGTGTCATGGCAGCACCATGAACTCCAATCATGGCATCACTTGAATTAAGAACCTAATAAATCTTTGCCAACTCTGTCCTTGGATCTGGCCTCAAAACTTTTACTTGAAATCCAATCTGCTCAGCCATTTTCACTATCAAATTCTCATTGGTTATTGCTCTTGATCCATTTCTAGATATGACAACAAGTTTAGGCACTTCATGCACTTTCATCCTGATTTTTAAGGAGCTTTTCTGTTGTGATTTTTGTAGTTCCTCTTCATGAATTAGGCTTTGAATCCTAGGAATGTAAGCTCGATTTAGAAGATCCCGAAAATCGAAAATGCTCTTGTTTCCCTCCATCAGTAAAGAATCCACAGAGAGCTCATTGTGAATTCTCAAACCAACAATGGCCCTCAGGGAAGCAGTGAGTTCTCATATCTGCACCAAAATCCACCACTTGTTAATCTGACAGATGAGAAATAATGCCACCAGTCATGAAAATGAAGAATCACAAACACAACCCTCTTGCTCAAATGCTGTGAAGTGATGCACAAGGGCAAAATCCCATCGTTGAATTCATGGTAAACATTTCCCGTATAGCCGGCGGTGGAGAAGAACACGACCAGAACATTAACATCACACTGTGTTGTGTGCTTAGAGTGTCCCTTTTGGCAATGAGATTTAATTCTTTGATGGTGTCCATGGTGGTTTTTTCCCTTTTTTGTGCGTAGGGTTTGATTTTTTCGTGTTGGAATTGCTCCTCATTTTGGCCTTCTTCATTTTCCTCAATAATGCTTGAAACGTAATTCATGTAGCTGCTTCTATCTACAGATCTGTAGACATAGATGGAAGAGGAAGCAGAATGTGTTCTTACATCCCCTTTCATGATACAAACATCCGATCGAAAACTGCTCCTGTCACAACGTATAGTTCCTGTGGCACAAAAACAAATTACAATTAATTTTTACAGGAAAAAGCCATGTATCATTTTTTTCAAATTAGTTATGAGATGGGTTGGTTCATAAATATTTTAAATAAAAAAATTAATTAAAAAAATACAGATAATTATAATGAATTATAATGAATTACTCTTGCATAATTACAATACAGATAATGATTAGTCTAAAAAAAAATATATAAAAAAAAAAAAAAAAAAAAAAAAAAAAAAAAAAAGTGATAGGAGAGAGGGAAGAGAGTTAACTGAGTTTGCACACCACACTAAAAAGGAAACAAGATGAATCAATCTATAACTCTAGTTTCAAAATTAAGATGTGAGTGTTAGCAAGTCATGTTCACATAGGAGCTATTTTAGAAGGATTGGCAAGTAATTAGCATTGATTGGGTGGGTTAGGCTGTTAAGCAATTGTTAATTACCAAAGATTAGTCAACGGTTGTTAGGTTAAGCCGGAATGGTACGTACGTAGCCTGAGTCTCCAATCAATGCTATAAATAGATTAGTTTTCTTTTTTCTTCCATTTGCAAGTGTGATTAATTGTTTTATGTGTTTATTACCTATCAAAATCAGAATTCTTATTAGCTATTGATCACCCTATTTTATTGGAGGCTGTCATTGTGGTTTGGTAGCATGGTTCTTCCGTGAATTTCACTAAGTAGAACTAAACCTACCATCCTCATTTAGTACAAGACCAAGAAATTTCACCCAAAAAAAAAGAAGGCCAAAGATGAGCATGGTTTTTTTTTCCTTCTTCCGTTATTAAAATGTCCAAAGGCCGGAGGAAGGAAGATTCAAACTCTAGCCTCCAAAAAAATGGCCAAAGATGAATACGCCTCAATCTCCCATGCCAAACGGCTAGTTGACCGGGGTAGGCGGAATGCCGCATAGCCTTCAACAGTTGAGGATCATCAAATCTCAACCAAGCTTACTGAAAATCAGTTCGCAACAAAACCCTTTACAAAAAGAAAACTGCTTTTGAAACATGAAAATTGAATAATAACAACAAAGTCATAGAAGAAATTATTCACATGCATTGTATTTACAAAATAAGTTATCCTTTTCAACTAATGCTTAATGTCTAAACCTCATATGTTCACCAATTTCTACCAAGTAGATACATTATACATACAATACAAATCTTCCTAGTCAACATTTTATGCCATCTACAACTTCCAAAGTGACTAAGGCAACGTAAAGAATGACTAAAGTTCATGAAAAAAAAACACATGAAAATCAATGAAATGACTGTGACTTGGAAATGCTGATTCATATCCTATCAATGGTGTAATTATAAGCACCAACCAACTGCTTCCTAAATCTTCTGAGGTGTAGTCTCACAGTTTGATCTTCAAGATAAATCTTCTTTGTGTATTCCCATCCTTTTTTAGTAACACTTCTTGGGTTTGTCACAACAGGATCATCTTTACCATATTTGCCATACAATGAGCTCTCTGTGGCAAGAATTTGGTAACCAATGTATTCTAAGCCAAGCTTTCTTGCAGGTTCCCCATAATATGCCTCCGCTGCCCATGCAGTTCCAAGAGGGATGACTTGGACAAACACAGAGCCAGGCCTCATGAACAGAAAATGTGCCATGGCAGCACCATGAACTCCAATCATGACATCACTAGAATTAAGAGCCCAATAAATCTTTGCCAACTCTGTCGAAGATTCAGGTCTCAAAACTTGAACTCGAAACCCAATTTTCTCTGCCATTTTAGCCAGCAAATTCTCATTGGTTATTGCCCTTGATCCGTTCCTAGATATGATAACCAGTTTAGGCCTCTTCAGTGAATGTTCATGCACTTTTCTCTTGATTCGTAAGGAGCTTTTCGACGTGGGAGACACCGAAACAGAAAGCTTCTGATTTGCCTCTTGTTTGCGAATCAGACTTCTAACTCGAGGCCTGTAAGCACGGTCTAGAAGATTGCGAAAGTCTAATATGCTCTTGTCTCCGTCCATCAATGAAGAATCCACAGTGAGCTCATTATGAATTCTCATACCAACAATGGCTTCAGGGAAGCAATGAGTTCTCTTATCTGCACTAAAATCTATTACTGGATAATCCGACAGATGTGAAATAATGTCTCCATATTTCATGAGCCACCATTTATGAAAGTCAAGAATCACAAACACAACCTTCTTGCTCAAATGCTGGGAAGTAATGTACAATGGTAAAATGCCATCGTTGAATTCATGATAAACATTACCAGTATATCCTCCAGTTGAGAAAAACACTGCTGGAACATCATGCTGGACATCACACTGATGTTCCATGCCTGGACTTTCTTTCTTTGCAATGAGGTCTAGTTCTGTGACGGTGTCCATGGTGCTTGTTTCCCATTTCCGAGTATATGGTTTGATCTTTTCCTGTTGAAGTTCTTCCCGGTTTTCATGTTCCTGAAGGAGGCCCCAAAGATAATTTGCGAAGCTACTTTTGTCTCTGGACCTGTAGACAAAGATAGAAGAGGAAGGAGATTGTGTTCTTACATCCCCTTTCATGATACAAATATCTGACCGGAAACTGCTTCTGTCACAAGATATAGTTCCTGCACCCGCAACATATCTTATGGAAGTTAGAGGGAGTAAAAAAGGTATGTATGTGATTAAATCACTGAATTGATTTTAACTTTTATGCGTATTATTATTAAACTTATTTAGTTCAAAAGGGGGATCGTTGACATTGTTCACTCTTAGATTGACAAAATAAAGATTTGAAAACATAAATGGATCTCTTGAATAATAGTATACAGTAGGGATATCAATCTTAGAATGCCCTAATTCAATTCGAATTTCTATATATGTGTATATTATCAAACGAGCCCTAAGCCTTTTTCAGGATGCGAAAGATTTTTAGTTATGTTTTTTCAAGATTTAGAAATATAGCCACTTGAGGCCCTCGCAAACCTCCCTCCTTCGATGTTGTTCGAACCAGTTGGAGTAATTATGATGACGTGACGGCCCCTTAACCCATACCAAGCAAATGGTTGCGGTCAAAGTTCAACTCCAATGTATTTGATAATAAATATTTTATTAATTTGAAGTTAATATAATAGACAAATTATTATGTGGTTAACTTGCAGGATGCACTTGGGGATTGAGGTCGTTATTACTCACTTCAACACTCTAGCAACTTGAGGATATAAAATTCTTGACGGCTGAACTTGAGCTGAATTTATTCTCTAATTAGATTAAATTAGGTTTCTTTTCCTCAATAATTAAATTAGGTTCGTGTCGTCACTCAATTAATTATCATGTGTAGGGTTGAGTTTGAATTGACCCCTTACCTTGCCCGACCTCCAAGCCTAGTTTATAATAATGGGATCATATGATTCCTCTAATAAACTCAGACACAGAGAGAGAGAGAGAGAGAGAGAGAGAGAGAGAGAGAGAGAGAGAGAGAAAGAGAGAACTAGACAGCATTAGATAAATAGAACAGAGAGAAAAAACGAAAGAATTCAACTTCTTGGTGTGCAAGTTTCATTCTTTCCTCGAGTTTATTTCATTCTATTAGGTTTATTACTAATAATAGTGACACGTTCGCAACTAACACAATCTCTTGACCTGTTAATGGCTAGCATTTTTGGGGTAAATAATTATTTTATGTTTTTACCTTACTATAACACTTGTTTTTTTTTTTGGGTACTGGTACCAAATGGAGCATAATCGAGTGTTACCATACGGTCCATACAAATCAAATATCAACCCCTTCAGCAGTATATAGTAAAACTGTTTCATGAAATTTTATAACGTAACAACTAGGTAAACGCGCAATCTAAAGGAAAGCGATATGGAGAAGTAGAGTACTTGTACTATACCGTTAGAGATTGAAGAACCCAAGGGAGCATTTGCAACCATATCAGCAGCAAGGCCTTCATTTTCGACTTCTGGAGAATCTAAAATAACCAAAATGCACGCACATTTAATTTTATGCGGTAAAAGAATTAGAGCATTCGACTCCAAACCTTTCCTAATGTGGTGTGACTTGAGCCAAACACAACATATATTGTGTGACGTGAGGGCAATAAAACAATTAGAGCATCCAACGTAAAACAAAGAAAACATGTAAGATAATATGTTCAACATACAGAAAATTAGAGATGAAACAAAGAAGACATCAAAACAATAATATGGGAAACTAGAGGAGCAAAAAAAACACTTACATAATGAGAAAGTGGCTTCAGAGTAAAAAAGATGAGGGGCTAATATGAAGCTGCAAGAGAGAAGAGAGAGTAAGAGGAAAGAGAGAAGCTTGGGCCTTGTTCTTTTGTAGTAACCAGAATTTGCACACTCCGTTATAAAGGCCTGACGCTCTTCATCTTCTTCTGTACCCACTTCACCCTTTTTCCTCTGCTGATATCTCTGATAGTATACCATTTTTTATGCAAAAGAAAAGCTCTGATCTCTTCTTTTTTTTTCCTTGTTTTATGCTTATCTCTTCAGCTGAACTGGGCTGGTTTTCAAGTATACTTAACCCAACCACAGAGAGAGAGAGAGAGATGGCAAATGATGAAGTTGGTTTGTGTTAATGGAGAAGCTGCTTCTTCATATAGCTGTTGTTTCAACCTCTAGAAGAGAGAGAGAGAGAGAGAGAGAGAATTAATCAAAAAAGGGCGCTGTCAAAGAAAGGCTAATTCAGGGAAGTGCTTTCTATTTTCAGTCGCATGGATGGAGAATATATAATATAAAATAAAATAAGGGTGTATATGCAAGATGTTGTTAGTCTAATCATTTTGCAGGTTTGTTCTAATTTTAGTGAAACCTTGGTATTGTTGGATCCCATACCAGAAATTAAAATATCATTAGAAAAAATAATTTAAGTTTTTTTTAATGATAGAAAATGGAATAGATAATTTTTGTCACCCCACCTATGCTGATTGATTTTACGTTGAATGTTCTAATTCTAACATGGTATCATTGTAGAGCATGTGATTCACATATCAGGCTCAATGACATGTGATTTCACGGCAGAGTACCTACCCCGCTCCCGGAAATAAATTTCCATTATATGCAAGATTTCCAATTGTGGCCTTTCCAATTTCTATTTGTATTATTTTCATATCAAAATTAAAGGGAGCATATTTAATAAAATTTTACCTCAAAATCATATCCAAATCTTCAAACATATATACAATTTCTTACTAATAATACCTTTACCGTGCTTGGGGATTGTTAGTCGTTGATATATGTGGACCAATTCATACATAGCTCGAGTGGTCCATGGTGCAAAGGGGATCGATTGTCAACTATACATATGTGACTTTTAAGAAAGGTGAATTTCTGGAGTCACATATAAGTTAGGATAACTTATTTTGTTCGATTCTTATTCAAGCACAGATATATATATATATATATATATTCCCTGTTTCGTTCATGATTAACATGATGACTGATGAGATTAAATTAGTCAAGAAGCACTAGCAAAACAAAACAAATTAGTGGAACACTAAAACGATGTATTTGAATTAGATGTCTTTCTTTCAATGAGTGTAGTAGAACTAGAGCATTAATATTGACGTGTTTGCTTCAAACACAAGTTTTTGGACCAACCAGAGATGTCCTCCTGTTTCTTATCTCTCAACAGTCACAACTCCTTGACAAGACATAATTAATGGAGTTGAAACTTTGCAGTACACAATTTGTGAATCAAAAAAAATTAGGGAGACTTTGGAAAAACACAAAGGAGAGAGAAATTTTGTAAAAGAAGCCAAAATGGACAAAATTGCCCTTATTTATTTTTGAATTTCCTAAGAAATCCTTTACATTTGCATGTCTTTGATTTGAAAGTTGAGAGGTTTTTTTGTCTTTTTTGTAAAAGCTTTGGTTTTTTCTAAAAGTGAAAATTTTTTTTGGCTAAAACCTAAATTTACTAAAAAATTAATAGCGACATGTGATTTTATTTTTTTCTAAAGGTTCCGTTTAAAGTTTCGCCCTTAATTAAGCCTCTAATTTAATCAAGCCGCCCGGTGGTGGATTTATCATCCACAGAGAAACAAGCTTAAGCTTGAATTTAATCAAGCCACCCTGTTTGGACTAATCTAGTCCAAACGCATCATTTTGTTTGTTGGTTTTTTTAAAATATATTTGATAGGTAGTCTTTCAACTTGACGTTAATTTTTTGTTTCTTTGGGAATTTAGAAATCTTGGTCTCAGTAAAATAATATATAGTGATCTTTGGTGGCTATGGCGGTTTTGATTTGGTGTTTTCCACCCTGATGCGTGTATGAAACTTGTTCAACCAGCGTGTATGCGTAGGAAATTAGAGTGCGTTTTTCCTTATTTGAACCATCTATTTTTTAGCTATTTTCCAAAAAATCATCACTATAAGAAATAACTTCCAAATTAAATATCTATTTTGTGGACCCCAGTTAGATGTCTTGACAACTTCTAAATTATCTATTTTTATTTATTTATAAAGTGATATATAAGTGAAGACTTTAAAAATAGGCTGATCATTGAAACATAATGCAACATGATGAATAGATCTATTAAATAAGGAGCTCTCGATAGGAAAATAGTATATAAATAAGTCGAGATCGGGGGACACACACAAAACTACAAATTTATACACACATTTTCAAGCTTTAGATTAAATCAATTTTAATGGCTAAAGCATTATTGTATTCTTCAATTTTGTTTCCTCGTCTCTTTGCCTCTTTGCTGTATTCCTTTCCTCCTCCTTTCTCCCAACAATTGCTTCTTCTCTATATTATTGGTGGTTTATTCATTTACCCTTTGGTTGAATTTGTTCTCAAAATAAACAATATATAAATAAATAAATAAAAACACTTCTCAGCATTGAGCTGGAGGAGGACGATGCCATGGATTTCTTTTTTCACATGGCTTCGGTTCACCACAAAGCTTTAAAAAACTTCTAGCAACTGTAATATAACTTTTTTCGACATTAAAAAAAAAGAAAAAAGAAAAGAAAAGAAAAGAAAATTTAAATTGAAGATGTCATCCTTATCTTGAAAGCCATAATAGAAAGAAGACTTTATCTCTGGATAAGAAAAGTCAGTAAAACTTGATGTAAATTTGGGTAATAGCTACATCAGTAGATTGAGACTTTCTCAAATGATTTATAATTAGCTAGCTTTTTTTGGCAAGTTAAAAGAAAAAAAGGGGTATGAATACTCATCCTTTGAAGAAAGAAATCCATGATGTTCATTGTCTTCCTCCAGCTTACATGGAAACGACAAGCGTTTTGCTTTATATATTTATTTTGATAACACATTAAACCAAAGGTTTCTTTCTGGTTTGAAATTTGTGAGGAGAGAGAATGAGTTACTTTCAAGGCATATTAATTATATGCTTGAGAGGGAATTGATTGAATGCAAGTCAGTCCTGATCCTTCTACGCTTCAACTTCTGTGTTTGTCTTATAAGCATGCCCCAACTCCCATTTGGATGACGTTTCAACTACTCATATTCGTTTTCTATTTGACTCCTTTCCGCCATTCAAGACATCCATTAGAACAAGGTCAGATAATTTTTTATTTATCGAAAAGGGAAAGCGTTTCAGTTGAAAAATTCCTCAAACAAGTTTATTATAGTGTTTTTCTTGATCCACGGGGATTGTAGATTTTGCTAATCACAACTACATGTCTTAATAATTTCCGATTTTGATAAATTTTTGCAAGGATGATCTTTGAATAATGACTTAAAATAGACGATTTGGATTGTTGAATTAAAATTTGTATCGGACCGTACAATGTGTCTCTCAAATAAAATTATTTTAAAATTACTCAATGGAAAGAGAAGATATTTATATATATCATGATAATTTTGCTTCTTCAATCAAATATGGCTTTGTTTTGTGGTCTCTTTCACGCCATGTTGATTGATAATTCAATCTGCAAAGCAAATAGCATGCCTCTCCTGAAAATAAAAATAAAAAAATTAAAAATTAAAAAATAAAAAACCCAAAAACTAAAACATCATGCAATCAATGCAAGATAAGGAATTCAAATTAGATAGGCTCTGAAATTTTTTTTTCATTGCTATTTTCAGATGTACTCGGTGCAATGCAGCCACCATGATGTCATGCACTTTTTTAATCACTAAACTAACACAAATTAATGTGAATGCAAATGTGCAACCAAATATATTTATAGGGGTGGTTGTGATTCGGTAACTACAAATTTTTGCCCAAACTGCAAACCGATCGACTATTTGCAGTATAGTGATTTTTGAAACCGCAAACCGACCGCTTTTTGTAGTTTACTGCATTGCGGTAAACCACAAAAAATGATCGGTTACCGTGAATTAGCAGTTTAAAACCGCAAGTTCTTTTTGTGTCATAAAAATCCAATCTTCCACATTTTAGGCATAATTTTGATGCTTCTTTTGAAGCTTTTTGATTTCAAGCATACTTTAACCCAAAAATATAAATTCACAACCTAAATAAATAATTCACAACCTCAACTTCTCAAGCATATATAAATTCACAACCTCCTCAACTTCTCAAGCATTCACAACCTAAAGAAAATTAAAGTTACAATTCCAAGCATTCCAATTAAAGTTAAACTTCTCAAGCATTCACAACCTCAACTTCTCAAGCATTCCAATTTCAAATCCTTTAAAGTTACGAACCAAAAGGAAAATGCAATGCAAAATGAATTAAAGTTACAACCCAAAAGAAAAATCCAATTTGAAGTTAATTAAAGTTACAAGCTAAAAGAAAAATGCAGTGCACAAATGTTACAAATTAAAGTTACAAACTCAAGTGTTGGTGGTGGTGAGTGGATTTGAAGGACCCCATTGTGTTGTTTGAGCACCAATGCTATCTACAAAATGCAATTTTTTATTTATTTAAAATATAGTCGCTGTTTGCGATAACTGCAAGTTTTGAAAATCAAATACCGTAACTGCAACCGCAAATGTGGTTCGGTTTCCTGCAATTGCGGTTCAATTGAGGTAAATTGTCGGTTGGTTTTTGTGATTTTGCGATTTTTTTTTGTCTAAAATGTCACCCCTATATATTTATGTAAAAAAAAACTTCCTCCAATACTTACTTCACAAATGAATTTAATTACGTGTTTTATTATTCTTTTTTTGCCAATTTATTTGATATTTGTTTAGAGTTGAAGAATATTCCGAATCCTAGGGTTTCATATGTCTATTGGCAAGGGTTTTTATGTTTATTATATTCAGTTCGTATCAAATTTTATTTTTAAGTTTTCTTTAATTGTTTTTAGGGTAAATTGCCGAATACCCCCTGAACTATATCAGCTATTGAAATCTCCACCATGAATTATTTTTTAGCCAATTTAGGCATCATATTATTTTAAATGGTCAATTTAACCCCTGCCGTCAATTTTCATGCAATTTCATCCAATTTTCTGTCTAAATGTTACATGTTAGGCACGTGACTCACTGTTCAATTAAAATTTAATTTTTTAAGTTTAAAATAATTAAATTATTAAAACTACAAAACTGAAAAAAAAACAAAACAAAACAAAAAAACAAAGGGGAAGGCAATCTACGTCTTCTCCGGCAAAGGCAAGTTCTCGTGGCCATCGAGTGTGACGTAGGAGGGCGAGTTCAAGTCGGATAGGATGGAGGGGTTCGGGGCGTTCATCGGATCCGACGGCGACACGTATCGGGGCTCTTGGTCGTCGGTTCGGAAGCACGGATTTGAGCAGAAACGGTACGCGAATGGCGACTTCTACGCGAGCCCAAGAAGCATGGCCAGGCCATATCAAAAGGGCATAAGAACTACGATTTGATGCTCAATCTTCAACTAGGTATTAGGTACTTTTTCTGATTTTTCGATTTTACAAGTCGTGGAGTGATTTTTTGCTTATGGGTTTTCTTTATCAATGGAGGTTGGTGTTTGATGTTGTGGTGTTTTTGGTTTTTAGATACTTTATTGGGAAGCATGCTTTGGTTGATTATTTCTTGTTGGATTTCACTCTAAGAACGGTTCTTCCTCCAGCAGCCTATTCTTTCACAGCTTCTATGCCAAGGGCTGAAAGTCTTTTTTGAATGGGTTGCCTGGGTTTAGTTAGCCTGCAAACGAAGAGGAAGCCATGTATCTGGGAGGAACTAATATTATAATTAGAAATGACAAACTTTATTATATTTTGGTATCGTCCTTATAAAATGACAATCTTATCTTTATAATTAACAGAAAATTGGATGGAAGTCTAAAAACTTGACGACAAGTGCTAAATTAACCGTTTAAAATAATCTGAGGGCTAAATTAGCTGAAAAAATAATTCATGATGGAGATTTCGACAAGCATAATAGTTCAGAAGAATATTTGGCAGTTTACCCTTTTTTTATTTAACTCCTATTAACAACAATTTCTTATGTCACGTATCTGGTTGCCTCTAGTAAATGTAGTTTGTCCTTTTTTTTTTCCCTACCCAAACTCAGACCAACTCAATATACACACATCCAAAACGTAATTGAAATCTCGAAAAAGCAAAGACACAACCTCACCTCGACCATCTCGTCCGTAGAAACTGCACAAGCCTGCAATTTCTCATTCAAAACCCTAATTTTACAATCAGTCTCTTTCCTAATCTTCTCCACCACCTTACCGCCCTTCCCTATCATCGACCCGACCGGCGCTGCCTCAGCCAGAAACTGGCACGAAACCACCCCACCTCAATCTCCTCTTCCTTACCACCATTAACATTTTTGAGGCCTAGAGTTCTCAGCCAAATCTTGGAACAAATTGCGATCGGAGCGACGACCACCACTACCCGTCTGGTGACTTGACTTGGGCTTCTTCGATTCGGATCTTGGCCCCGGTGGCCTGCTGTAGTTGCTTGATCATGCTACCTGACTTTCCTATGACGCCACCGATGCTGTTTTGGTTGACAAGAGCTCTCAAAATGCCTCAGGTCTCTCGATCTGATCTGATATATAAATTTTTTTTTAAAAAAAACAAGGAAACCAACGAATTTGGGTCACCCTGTAAACAAAAAGGGTATAATTGTCGTTTCAGTGTTTTATGTAAGGTGGGCTAACAAATTTGGACCTCCTCTTACGCCAAATTAAAAACAAAATTCAATTCCTATATCTTAAAATCAAAACAGAAAAACTGTTTGTCTCAAATACTAATGAGTAAAGATAGTTATGTTTAATACCTAATTTTTTTTTAATTCAATGAATTTATAAGTTGGTTTGGAGCATTACATGTATGGATATAATTTGGTGTTGTTTGATTTTGTGTTTAAAAATAAAAAAAAATAAAAACAAAAGAAGCCAGCCCAAGCCCGAACTTTAAAAATAGCTTGGGGCTACATGTTATTAGGTGAAGAAGACTGGGTTAAACCTCAGCCGTTAGAAACATCCAACGGCCGAGTAAGATCATATTTATCTGTTCAATCCTAACCCCCGACCCAATATCTTTCTCTAGTTTTTGGTTTTGTACGCCGTCTGTCTCATGGTTTGGGATATAAAACCCGGTTCATGTTTAAAATTTTATTAGGAACAAAACATGGTTTGGGATATTTCTGTTGGTTTTGCTATTGTCTTATGTTGTTATTTGTTATTTAATAACACGTTGCAGGTGATGGTATGGGATAGGATACAGATTTATGGTTGTTGGATCCTTTACTTGTTCTTTTCATCAGAAATTGTAAAGGGATGAAGAACCCTCTGCTGTTTGGGCTTGGGATTATAGAAAATATGAAGAACCCTCTTCATATATTTTAATTTCCTGTATTTTGTTGTTGTTTGGACGTTTCTTACAATATCTTACAATAACTTTGGAGGTTTCTTACAACATTAACAAGAGCTGCAAATACAGCAACATGAACATGAATTTTTTGTTTTGTGTTTTTTTATAAATCTGAATAAGTACTCCATTAAGAAACGCCTACTTTGCCATCAACTTGCATGGGTCTTGGTTTTGTCATCCTTTTCTCCATGGTTGGCTAATCTCCGCGTGAGGTTCAGTCTACACTTTAGACACAGAAAGCAAAAGAAAAAGCCATGGCTCATAGAAACTCCACATAAGAAAGATGTGCTAACATGCGACATGAAAAACCCTAACTGATACATAAACCCCAAAAAATTCACAAATTGAAGGAAGAAAAGAGGATGAAAACAGAAACAAAGAGGATGCTGAAGAACATAGGAGCTTTTTATTTTTTTCCCAAAACAAATTCCATTAAACAACCAAAACAGTCCAAAGCAAACTGCAACATGCCAACATTGAAAACAACAAGAGAAACTGCACGCAGTCCAAGAGATGAATCCAAACCCTTCTTCTCTGCTATCGCTATCCCGTCTCAAGCCCTAACTCGAGAGCATTCCTTTCGTCCCGTCCGATCCGATCCGATCCTTCCCAATGGCTGAAGCTGGTCATCCCATATTGAAACTCCTGATACTCTCTGGAATTTCTGTAATGAGTTATAAAATTTATGATCTCACAAATGAAGCAACGACACTGATGCTAGAAGCGGACAAAAACGTCGAAGAGTTTGATAGGTAATTGTTAATTATGTGGTTTTTTTCTTTTATAATTTTTATTTCCAGTTTCTAATTATTCTGCATCCTTGCTTTAATTGGTTTCTTCACTTCGCTTCGTAATCATGTTGGTTCTTCTGGTCTTTGCATCTCTGTATTTTCGTTTACTCGAGTTGTGTTTGATTAGATTTAGGTATGTTTATAGAGGAATCCTCAAGTGTGGACTTCCTCAATGCATACATGTCAACAACCTATCTGTGTGTCTGTTCTGACGTTCACACCTCAGGAATCACCGACATTTATAGTTTGACTTTCCTTGTTTTCCAATAGGACCTATGATGCCTTTACAACGGACTACATCATTGATACATACCGGGAATGGAGGGAAAAACAAACTTTGCTGGACACCATTGCATCTGCACGCAGATCCAGGTAGGTATATCGCAGTTAGTTATCTTGGTTTTGATTGATCTATCTAAGTAATTTTTAAATTTTGGCCTTTTGGGCACTACACCACTCTTAGGTTTCTTGCTGCATTCAGTTTGGGAGAATATTTAATCATATAAATCTTCTATTATGAGAAGATTTGAAAATCAATACGTATTGCGCAACCTAGAACTTAGCGATTTACAGCATTCATGGGTGAATACCAAAATTGGTGTGGAACGTAAGTAGAGAAACTTTGTTGAGTCTCGACCTCTCTTACAACTTCTTAACAGGATTTAACCAAAATCCTATCATTCTTCCATGGCAGAATCTATACTCTTTTAATCTCGTGTCTAAATATGCTACAAGGATCACTGCCAATTCCACCCCAATCAATATGTATGCATGTGGTCCACAAGATGCATAAGAGTCGGACTGAATCAAATTCATTACTCAAAATACCAAGTCAAAATCAAATTATGATCCACAACATACTTAATAAATAAGATCCACAACCACAAATATCCATCCCGTCCCATGCCATCACCTGCAACATGTTATTATATAACAAACAAAGAGAAGAATAAGTAAGACTAAGTAAAGGATCTAGCAACGCCAAAACAAAAACACAAATTTGGGAGTGATTCTGGATAGATGAATAATTTAAATGATTTTATGGAGAAGCATGTGGGAAGTGTTTCTCACCAAAATCACTTAAAATCACTCAAAAGTGATTCCTTTGAATAAGCACATCCGTAAAAGTAATTCCAGACAAATCCAAATGTAAATACGAAATGTATAAAATAAAATAAAAATAAATAGATTAAACCTTCGACCATGGGTATGTGAAGCAGAAGACTTTTGTGGAAACTCCGTCGTGCTGTATTCTGTAGCTCCATTATCACTAATAAAAACAAACAAACTAATAAAAAGAAAGAAAGAAAAACATAATAAATGAAATATAATAAAATCAAAAGAAGTCCACCTTCCAATAAATCCACCCAGTAATTCATTAATCTTTCTCAACTTTTCAATTGTCCTCCGATCACGTGATAATTCCATTGTCGAGAGTACAAAAAATGGAATGACGTCCAACATCAACCGCACTGAGCAGCGTGAAAGGAAGATTTTAGAGAGAGAGCCAAAGCGCTCCATCTACGCACAAAACTATACAAAGATAGTAGGTTGGGGTGTTAGGGATTTAGGGTTTGGGGTCGATTCGAACCTGAAATAAAATATAAAAAATCCAACACCATAAATAAATTAGAATTTCTTACAGTACAAAACAGATGCTTCACTTTCATTCAGTTTTTCATTTGGATTCAGAAATCTATACACGGACCCACCCACATCATCAAACTCACAAAATTAATACTGGAAGCAGAAGCAAAATACACGGGGTTTTTTTTTCCTATTTCAGATAGAAGTTAGCTTATTTGTTTCTCTTTAACAACCCAAAAATAGTTCAGAAACCCGCCGATCTAAAAAGAAACCAATAGAATAAACGAAAATTGGACAATGAATTCCTTCAAATGCAAACTAAGCGCAGGGAAAAGAACCAACCTTTGAATCCGATCTGGGTATTGAGACCAACCCTCTTGTTATTTGTTGAGAGGTAGACGAGAAAGAGAGAGAGTCGATAGGTAGACGGAGATGAGACCAAAGCAGAGGGAGTAAGTATCAGAGTGTGTGTGCGTGAGCAAAAGGCTAGGGTTATAAACTTATGAACGAATTTTTATATTATAGGGTTATTTGAGGGATGGGGGGCTCAGGTGTTGGATCTCTTTTAATGAGATCTTGCGGCTGTGGTTGTTTTAAATGTTTTAACCCGTTTTCTCTCTTACGACCCGCAAGTAGTTCTAGGACTCACTAATCTGCAATAATAGAGAATGAGTTTGTAAAAATTTAGGTGATTTACTTATTGTTGTTAAGTTAACAGATATAACCGTCTGAATTTGTTATGGAATACAGAAAAATGGCCTCCCTCCTTAGCTTCCTTGTGGTTGGTTGTCGGCAAGGACAGAGGGGACCAGAGTGCTGCTGGGGTTTTTTAGGCTGTCTTGTATAATTATTTGGTTATTTATTGGGTGGGTTTTCTGATTTGGTGCTTTGGATTCTGTTAGGGTTTCTGTGTCCTCAATTAGAATATTTGAGGATTGATTAAAGGCATATCCTTGGGAAAGAAGAGAAAGTCTCGAAGGCCACTAGCCTCGACGATAGTGGAGCGAGCCATGTACTTATGCAGCCCTACTAATTCCCTCTCTTAGCTTTACATTCAGAACGTGAAGAACCAAAACCTCTCATTCCAAGGCGGTGAACGGACGCCCTTGTACGTCTCTCTCACTCTCTGTCTCTCCCCCCATTATGATGTTCTTAATTGTTATTAATTCATCTTATCGCATATTCCATCATTCAGTTTTTGATTCTTAATCAAGATCAAATTAAAGTTTTACTCCATTTTTATTTATTTATAGTTTTTATAATTATTGTTAGAAATTGGGGAATCATATATTGTGTGGTTCATGAATCAGTACATTTTCTTGATTCTTGCTATTATTCTGGTATCTCAGTTGTATTTCGTGTTCATTACTCTAACCTAAAAACCATCTAAAGCTCTACATGATCTGTAATATGATTCACCGCAGCTGGACCTGCATTGGCACTATTGGCTCTACATGATCTGTTGTCTATCAAATTATCTCAGCTTTTTCATATTAAACTACTTTACTACGTTTTCTGTCTGCCTTTGAACATTCAGAGGGTCGTTTTCTGTTGTATGTCTTGAATTTGATGAAAATGACATTGATTCTCTATTCGAAACAGTGTCATGCAAGCAGCAGACCGCTGAGTATTGTAAGGGTCTATTATGATGCTTACGAACGTTGAGTTACAGAGACTTACAATGCTTTAGTGTATTTGTACTCCCCTCATATATTTTTGGTTAGAAATCAACATTGGTTCTCACTAAGTGCTGAGCTAATTCTTTGCACTTTCTGTTTTGTCATTGGTTTTGTTCATTTAATATGAAGAGAAGTTTTTCCAGTTATTAGGAAGATGTTATTCCTAATATTATTGAGTAGACTCTGTATTTATCTGCTGATCAGACTAGCAATGATTTGTTCATATTCACAGCAGCTTTTGGAAATCCTACGTAAAAAAGCCAATGCTATTGGTTGGACCAAGCCCAGAACCTGTAAGTGTAAGTGATCTCCATTGTTCTCATTGGGCAATACTAGCACATTAATGACAACCGATTTCAATTACTTCTTCTGTTCTCATTGATGAGCACCGCGCATTGTTGAGCAATATCGTCCTTGTGTTGTAGGGACTGAAGAAGATAATTAGATAGAGGAACCTTCAGAGCCTAACAGATATGCTGTCATTTGCCAAAGACATATTTATCATTTATTTAATTTGATGCCCTCTTTACAGTGACTACATTTAAAAACAAAACTAGCCCATTTAAAATTTTTTTTGTAGGAGAATTGAACGCGCTACACGCGCTGCATCCCAAAATCACCTTTTTCCAAAATTTGCCGATTATTTGCTTCACGGTGGCGACGCCACCAATTGACTTCACTTTCTCTGCTTCCCGACCTTCGGGAAGTGGAGGGTCTTTTGAAACTGCTGGTGCTAAGAGAAGCCGTATCCTTGAACCTAATGGTACTGATGCGGGAGCTATGGAGGTTGAGCCTTTTCCTACGGTAGCGCCGAAACCTATAATGAATTTTTGTGAAAAGCTCATGAACCCAAGTGGGATCGGAGTGCATAAGGAGGATCTGGTGGTTATGGAGGAAGATAAACTCACAATAGAGGATGACGATTTTGAGGTTTCAGAGGGTACTCGTGGTCCTTGCATACGCTTTTGCACCAAGGTGAAGGAACGACTCTACCATCCCTGACGGAACACAATTATAATCAAACTAATGGGCAGGACCCATACATACAGCTTCTTATTAGCTCGTCTAAGACAAAAATGGAGCCTTTTGAAAGGTGCAATAAGATTGATTGACCTGGAAAACAACTTCTATGTTGTACGCTTTGTGCTTGAGGAAGACATGAGGTACGTTTTTTCTGGGGGACCATGGGTAATTGCTGGGCAATCTTTAGTGATGCAGAGATGGAAACCAGGATTTGATCCTAATGAAGCTACCATCACTCGTATGGCTGTGTGGGTGCATGTTACGGGTTTACATGTTGAATGGTTTAATCCTGAGGCAATTAAACGTATTGGGGACCTTATTGGTGTGACTTATCGCATTGATTCTCACACAATTGCTCAAGCCCGTGGCAAATATGCTCGAATCTGTATTGAACTGGATTTAACCAAACCGTTAATTGCTAATGTGCAAGTTGAGAATAATTGGTATGCCATAGAATATGAAGGACTCCATTTGGTCTGCTTTGGCTGTGGAATTTATGGCCATAATAGGAACCAATGTCCATATGAAATTAGAGTTCATGAGGATACCCAAAAGCCTATGGAAGGAGAGTCTACATCTGATAAGGAACCTTTTCGGGTTGATACTGATATTGGGATTTCTTCTGGCACTAAGGATGCTTATGCAGCTACCCCTGCAGATTCAAGCCATTTCGGTCCTTGGAGCCTAGTTAAACCTTTTAGAAAAAAAAGGAGCCTACACATGTTGATGGCAAGATCAATGCTGCCAAACAAAAATCTGGGTCCAGATTTGATCTTTTGCACTCACAAAATGAGATAAATGGCCTCCCTGAGGCCCTTGAAGTGCAACCTCCTGTTGCCACCCCACAACCATGCTTCCTAGAACCTGCATGTGCTGAGGCAAAACAAATTGGTGAGACTACAAAGCAAGTCAAGGGAAAACAGAAAGCTAAAGGTAGACCAAGGAAAACCTTTGGGGATATTTCCAACAACGGGAAAGAGAAAGATGCTGCAACTAATACTCCAAAAAATAGACAGGTTGATTTTAAGCCATATGTCCTCAAGAAGACTTCCTTGTCGAATGGATTCCAAGTTCGTAATTTGGATATCCAAGAAGAAACGTTGGATGGCCTCTCTTTCAATCTGAACAAGTATTTGAAGGAGAAGGGGATTGGGGGTGACCATGTCAATAAGCCGGATATTGAAGGGCATGACCCCTCTAATATTGATCAAAATACTGATTCAATGATTTGTGGCGATAGTTTTGTGAATAACTATGGTAGAAGTCCAAACATGGGTGTCTTAATTGGTAATGAGGTAAATAGCCATCCTCCTACTGTTATTGTAGATTCTGCTAGGCTTAAAAAAGCCATGATAGATGTTAAATCTGGAGTTGTAGGCTCTGCCTCTGCCTTGGTAGAGGCTTTGAGCTCTGCCTTTTAATTTAGAATCTTTATCCTAGGGTCCTTCAATGCCATTTCCTTTAATGATATTGATCTGGAATGTAAGAGGTGTTGGGGACAAATCCCTCCCCAGAATACTTAAGAATATTATCCAATTAAATCATGTTGAGGTGTTGGCTGTTCTTGAACCAAGAATAAGTGGTGATAAAGCCATGCGTGTTGTTAATGGCCTGGGCTTTACTAATCATCATATTGTGGATGCAAATGGGTTTTCGGGTGGCATTTGGCTTTTATGGAATTGTAGCAATATTCATCTCAATATTGTGGCGTGTTCCAGCCAGTCAATTACTGCAATGATTACACAAGGTTCATCTTCTTGGATTCTTACTGTTGTATATGCTCACCCTTGTCCTGGAATAAGGAGATCCCTCTGGAACTACTTAGGCTAGGGTTGTTGTTGTAAAGGTTTCTGGGTGTAAGCAGTATGTTTTCTCTCTTGTTGTAGAGGGACACAATCATACGATGACACCCCCAGAAAGAGTGCATTTTATGAGATCACACCGTCATATTTTCAGAACCTGCGAAGCTACTCAAAAAACAACTCGGTTCAACTGATATACCTACTCATAAGAAGATGAGTATTTTGGAGGTGCAATCTGGAGGAATGGAGAAAATTGGTTTTACCAAAAAAGATATTTACAATTTTGAATATTGTGAGAGTGACCTAATGAAGAACCATGATATTGAACTGGTGACTGAGTATTTTTTAGCTGAACAGAAAAACAATAGATCATTTTATTTCAAGATTGAGGGAGATTCCAATGACAGGCTTACTCGATGTTTTTGGGCAGATGCAACTTCTAGACGAGCATATGGGTTTTATGGAGATGTTGTCATGCTCGATACCACATTCAACACGAACCGATATGGCTTGCCATTTGCACCAATGTTGGGGGTTAATAACCATGGTCAGACAATTGTTTTAGCTTGTGCATTTTTAAGTAAGGAAACGACTGAGTCATTTATTTGGATGTTTGAGGAGTTTAAGAAAGCCATACCAGGTGGTGGGCCAAAAATGATCATTACAGATCAAGATGCAACTATGGCTAGAGCGATTTTTGAAGTATTCCCCACTACATTTCATCGACTTTGTATATGGCACATCACAACCAAGTTCTCTGATAAACTACCACGGGCTGCTTATGAGGAATATTGGAAAGAGTTTAAGGAAACCATCTGGGAGATTGACAATATAGATGAATTTGAAGAAAAGTGGCATGCAATCGTTACAAAATCTGGTTTGACTAACCATCTATGGCTGAGTTCAGTTTTTGATTTGCGAAAATCATGGGTTCCAGCCTATGTAAAACATGTTTTTGCTGCATGAATGTCAAGCAGTCAAAGAGCAGAAGGCTCTCATGCATTTTTCAAGCAATATATATCAAGGATAAATTCATTAATAGATTTCATAACACGATTTCAAAGGGCACTTTCCCATCAACGTCAAAATGAGTTACTTGCTGATCATATTGATGCATTTGAAAAGCCTCAATGTGCTCTATTGATGACAATGGATAAACAAATGGCTGAAATATACACAAAGGTAATGTTCCAAAAGTTTGAATAGGAGCTAATGCAAAGTTTACCGTGTTTTATGGAACTGAAAATGGATGACGCTTCCAAAGCTATCTATAAAATGAGTGAAAGGAAAAGGGGGAAAACAAGAGTGACAGAAGTTGTATATGATAAATATTCCAATCAATGGTCGTGTAGATGTAAAGGATTTAAATTTATTGGAATTCTTTGTTGCTATGCACTGGCATTGTTAAAAAGGGAGTAAATTGAATATCTGCCCAATAAATACATTTTTAATAGATGGAAGAAAACTGCAAATCTGGATTTGTGTCAGATTCAAATGGCAATGAAATTAAAGATTGTGAGAACAGTTCTCTCTTAATAAAGCGAAGTAGAATGTTCAGACTTGCTTCAGATGTAATTGAGCATGCTTTAATGTCCGAAGAAGGTTGTGAGCTATTGTCGAATAATCTAAACGATAGGGGGGTGACATTGAAGTTATTGAATGATGGAGTTGGCCCTAGTGAAGTTGGAGGGTCCAGCTCCCAAACACGATATTTGAAGGACCCTAAGAGAGTAACGTACAAAGGAAGCTCGAAACGAGTCAAGGGAGCAAAGGAAAAGAGAATGGAACGAGGGATCCAACTTTGTCAACAATGTGGACAAACTAGTCATGAGATAAGACGATGTCCAAGAATGGCGAACACACCGTAAGATTGTACACATATTTATAAATAATAGCTAAAATTCCAAGTGGTTTATTTTATTGTAATATTATGCTTGGTGTTTATGCAGGACATCCCTGTCAAACAATGGAGAATCAACTCCGATCACGGACCTACCAAGTGATTTATGTTTTTACTATACGAAGCTCATTTGCCGTCAATATTGGTGAGCATTTTGAAATATGATTCAATATGAAGAAATCTTATTATTTTGTGTTGTTTCGTTTTGTATTAGCTTTTGTGTTTTTTTTCTTGATTGGTTTTGGTTTTCTTTGAAGTTTTTTTGTTTCTCGATTGGTGGTGTTAATTTTTTGGAGTCTTTCTTTCTTGCTTTCTTTTGCCTTTGTATTTTTTTGATGATAGGTGTTTTAGGATTTTTCTTTCTTTTAAATAATCTCCCTCTTGAGATATTTGACAATTCTTTTTTATGGCAGTTGGACCTAGATTTTTGGCTTATGGAAGATTGTTGTCATTGAGAACCTTCATCAGTTTGGTTTTTTTTTATGACAGTTGGACCTATCAACTCTTAATATTGACAATGCGCATGAAAGGCTGTCACATCCTTTTTTGAGAAAAGACATTATATACATTTATTGCGTGTATATTTTTCGTCCATTGCTTGTTATTGCAAGCTTATTAATTGTGTATTGATTGTTCATTGTCTTTGTATAGCCATTTATTGCCTTTTATGATAATACATTGGGGGCAATACATTGGCAATATAAAGGCAATTAGGGGCAATGCAGTGGCAAAATGAAGGCAATTGGAGGCTATATAGTGCCAATACTAGGGCAATATGAGGCTATACATTGGCAATACAAAAACTCCAATAGTCCACGATTTTGTAAACATTGCTATCTAAAGGATACATGAAATTTGTGATAAGGTTATGAGATTATTTTGTACTAGTTATATGTTGTTGTTTGTATTTGTTCTTCTGCTACTTTTGTTATCTTTCTTTATATTATATGTTTGTGGAATCCCTCAAAGTAAACATATACCGAGGAAAAAAAAATTACAGTGAAGATATAATCACTCATATAGACAAGGAGAAATATTATGTGATTGGACAATGTGTGAGGCTTTTCAAAAAAAGTACGTCATCATTTTATGTGATTGGACCTGATAGAAATACTTTATTGATTCCCCATGCGGCGTCATATTGACAACTTATTAAACACCTTTGACGTGTTCAAAGATTTAGACACACGCACCCATGATGACTTCAAACCATTGTCCAAATATTATATATGTAGATTATTATAATAAAACAGATACTTTTACAGCCTTATATATGAAAGGAAACTAATACTTGTATTATTAAAAATTAGATAATGAACATTAAGGAAATATACTTGTAATGTTGGTTATTGCAAAATATATTTTTATGGTTGAAAGGAAAGTAAGTTATCAAAAAATTCCAAACATTCACAGGAGATACTTGTTGATGTAGGTTATTGAAGTTGAAGTTAATAAGGTTTTATAACTAGGGTTGAGAGGAAAGTGAGTTATCAAAAGGCATTTGGCTTTTTTTCATTATGAAATGGATGATTTATAGCATCCCCAAGTTTTATAACGTCACAAGGAGTTCCTAGGAATTTTCGGTGTATTTTTTGGATTTTTAATTTATTTATTATGAATTTTAGAAGTAAAATCAAGAAAATTAATATTAAATATTATAAGCAACACGTGGCAGCAACTAAAGGTGGTGCCGTCAGTGTTTCCAAAAGGTGGTGTAACACGATTGCACCACGTCATTTTGATTACTTTTTCAACTTTATCTTTATAAAAAAAAAATTAAAAAAAATCATAGAAATACACCCAAAATTGCTACAAACTCTTCATGACATCATCCTCGATTATGGAGATCCAAAATTATGATTTCACATATTTGAGTTCAAGGTAGTCGTTGGATCAAAGAACATGAGTGTTAAGTTACAAAACATCAACTAGTGGTTTATATTGTTTTAAAATAAATTTGAGTTTACATTATCACTTTACCTTTTTCTAAGTGAAATTTTTTCTTTTGTAGTTTGAGGGTGTAGAGAATGTCACAAGGAGTTCTTAGGAATTTTTGGTGTATTTTTTGGATTTTTAATTAATTAATTATGAATTTTATAAGTAAAATCTAGGAAAAATAATATTAAATAGTATATGGCAACATGTGGCAGCAGCTGAAGGTGGCGCCGTCAGTGTTTCCAACAGGTGGCGTACCACGATTGCTACACATGTCATTTTGATTATTTTACCAATTTTATATTTGAAAATTCTTTAAAAAAATAATTAGAAATCAGAAAAATACACTGAAAATTGCTAAAAACTCCTCAAGACATCATCCATGATTATGGAGGTCTAAAATCATGATTCGCGTATTGGAGTTTAAGGTAATCATTGGATTAAGGAACATGAGTATTATGTTATAGGACATCAACTAGTATTTTCAATTACTTAGAAACAAAGTTGAGTTTTTGTTATCACTTTACATTTTTATAAATAAAAATTATATTTTTAGAGCTTGATGACGTAGATAATGTCACAAGAAGTTCCTAGGAATTTTCGGTGTATTTTTTGGATTTCAAATTAATTTATTATGAATTTTAGAAGTTAAATTCAAGAAAAATAATATTAAATCATATTAAGCGGCATGTGGCAGCAGCTGAAGGTGGCACCGTCAGTGTTTCACCCAACAAGTGGCGACCCACGATTGGTCTATACCCTTTAATATTATTTTTCTAGTATTTAAATTTTAAAATGCATAATAAATAAATTAAAAATCATAAAAATACAATGAAAATTATTACAAACTCCTCACGACATTATCCTCGATTATGGAGGTCCAAAATCATGATTTAACATATTGGAGTTTACAGTAATCGTTTGACCAAATAACTTGAGTGTTATGTTATGAAACATTAACTAGTGTTCTAGATTATTTAGAAACAAAGTTAAGTTTTTGTTATCAGTTTATATTTTTATAAGTGGAAGTTATATTTTCAGAGCTTCAGGACATAGAGAATGCCACAAGGAGTTCATAGGACTTTTTGGTGCATTTTTTAGATTTTTAATTTATTTATTATGAATTTTAGAAGTTAAATCCCAAAAAAATAATATTAAATTATAGGAAATCACACAGTCCCTAAAGGAGAGCTGTCATTGTTTTTTACAGATGGCGTCCTACGATTGCGCCACATTTCATTATTATTATATTATTATTTACCATAAATTATTATTATATTGTTTGGATCGTGAATTATTCTTATATTATTATTTAACCTAAATTATTATTATATTGTATTTAACCCTAAATTATTATTATATTCCTTTTTACCATAAACTATTATTATCTACCCTAAATTATTATTATATTTCCTTTTACCCTATATTATTATTATATTGCCCACCTCTGTACCAAATTTTTGTTTTATTATTATATTGCTTTTTATCCTAAAATGACTATTATTTTGCAATGTCACGTGGATTTAAATGAAAAAATATATTTTAAACATAATTTAAATTTAAAAAAAAATTGTATTACAAGCTAAAAGATTTTTTTTTAATTTAAAATTTATTTATTATAAAAAATAAAAAATAAACCGCCCACCCCAACCCCCCCTTTACGCTCGCTCTCTCCCTCTTTTCCAAGCCGCAGTACCAATAACCCGAAGGAAAAAAACAAAAAGTGAACCTGCCCCATCCATTTTTCTTTGTTCTTTTAAATCACAACCCCAGCCCCTTCCCAACCCCCCCCCCCCCCCCCCCCCCCCCCCCCCCAGCCAGACACTTATCAGTACACCCCCAAATTGCTTCTGCTCTTACTTCTTCTGCCTTCAGAAATCTTCCAGATCAACTTGTATTGGCTCAATATGCATCTCTTGGAATATTATCTTGTCCCACCAAAAGCAAAAAAAAAAAACAAATATGGCTAAAACACAAACCCAGAAAGAATGCTTTTTCAAATTTCATTAAAAAAAAAAGAATTATGAGGGAAAAATCAAAATAGAAAAAGGGGTATGATTATTAATCAAAATAAAAGTTCATGGTGAAAATGGTACATGAACATTTCTTTGTAAAATTTGGTGGAAAATCGGAATCTGTAAATAATAAAATAAAAGAAATATTAGAAAAAAAAAGGGAGGAAATTCATTCATCCCAGCGCAGCCCACTACCTCCCCTCGATTCTTACTACCCTAGCCAGGTAGCCATGCCTCCACCACGACCATCCCGCCCCACACCCAGCTTTCTCTCCCTTTTTCCAGCCCCATCACCAGCCAACTGAGAAAAAAGAAAACCAGCAAAGCCATCCCATCCCCAACCCAACCATTCTCTCTCTCTCTCTATAGAATGTTCTCAAGAACCTAGTTATTCTACAAAATTTGACAGAGCAACCAGAGATCTATAACAAATAGAGCCCCACTGCACAGATGAACACAGAAACAAGAGTAGCCCCAAATCAAAATGAAAATGCTAACTATGACATTAAACCAAGAAAAACATGAAATCTAAACAGTACTTAGATCTGATCCAAAAAATAAAAAAAAAATCCAGATGCGCTCTCTCTCCAAAACTTGGATATGTAGTACGTTGTGGTGGGTTGGATTTGAGTGCGATGGTTGTGACTGTTGGGTTTTCGCCTGAAGAAGAGAGATGGATGGTGACTGTTGGGTTTTCACAAAATTGACCTTTCGAAAGGGTAGAGATGGGTTGTAATTTTTGTGATGAGTAATTTTAACCCGGTTGTAGCGTAAGGAGGATATTAATGTTAGCCTTTTGATCAATCTAACGGCCCAGGGCGGCGATTGTTGGGCAACCAAAGCCCAATCTTTATGCGGACAGCGGACCGGAAGTATATAATTTGTTCCAATAGACGAACCCAAACCTTTCTTCTCTGCTATCGCTATCCCGTCTCAAGCCCTAACTCGAGAGCATTCCTTTCGTCCCGTCCGATCCGATCCTTCCCAATGGCTCAAGCTCCTCATCCCATATGCAAACTCCTGGTATATGCTGGAATTTCTGCAATGAGTTATAAAATTTATACTCTCAAAAATGAAGCAACGACACTGATGCTAGAAGCGGACAGAAACTTCGACGAGTTTGATAGGTAATTGTTAATTATGTGGTTTTTTTCTTTTATAATTTTTATTTCCAGTTTCTAATTATTCTGCATCCTTGCTTTAATTGGCTTCTTCGCTCCGCCTCATAATTATGTTGGTTCTTCTGGTCTTTGCATCTCTATATTTTCGTTTACTAGAGCCTTAACATGCAAGGCTGTTTTGGCCTAATTATGTCATAGGTTTACGAAAAATGTTTGTAACCCTCAGTTTTGTCCATCTCAAATTTCCTTTTTCTTTATCTTTCTTTTTATCTTTCTCTTTGGAGGGGGGGTGGTGTTGGTTATTGAATAAAGTAAGAGATGAAGAGTGCATTTAAGCTCTTTCAGAGAAATATAAGTAGGTACTCTAGGAACTGCAAAGTTAATTTACTGTGGTTGCAAAGGCCACTGTTCTCCCCATATTGTTGCACTCTGATTTGTGCATAAAAAATCATTAATAATTTTTGGATTCCAAACAATAAGTCTGTTATTAATTTTTACAAGGTATTTTGTTTATAATATTCCTTCATTTCTGTTGGAAGTACAAAGGTTGCGGCTTGTGCAAAGCATTTTGTGGGTGATTGGGGAACAACCAAAGGCATCAATCAGAATAACACTCTGATAAACAAACACGGCTTGCACAGCATTCACATGCCAGGCTACTATAACTCAATTATCAAGAGATGAAGAGTCCTGGTTTTTTCCAGGGTTACACACATATAATATACTACATATACAATCTCGTCCCCTGGGAAATAATTGGAGACTACCATATAAGTAGGAACTAGTAAACTTTTCTTTGGACTGGTTCTTGTCTTGTCTGTCTGGCCGCCATTTCTACTTCAGTGAGCTTGTTTAACGTATTCAATAATTTAGTCGATATGATTTTCCATTATGCTGAAATTCTAAATTGGCTTATCTATTGCAAATGTTTTAGAATCGAGTTGTGTTTGATTTAGATTTAGGTATGTTTATAGAGGAATCCTCAAGTGTGGATTTCCTCAATGCATACATGTCAACAACCTATCTGTGTGTCTGTGTTAAACCTATTAATAACCATGCACTCTCCACGGGTTATTGACATGTCCTGACGTTCACACCTCAGGAATCACCAACATTTATAGTTTGCCTTTCCTTGTTTTCCAATAGGACCAATGATAACTTTACAACGGTCTACATCATTGATGCGTACCGGGAATGGAGGGAAAAACAAACCTTGCTGGACACCATTGCATCCACATGCAGGTTCATGTAGGTATATCGCAGTTAGTTATCTTGGTTTTGATTGATCTATCTATGTAATTTTTCAATGTTGGCCCTTTGGCCACTACACCACTCTTAGGTTTCTTGCTGCACTATTTTAGGTTTGCGTGACTTGATTACTTTATCTATTCTTTGCATGCAAATCCCCCTCAACTGATTCAACACCCAAACCTGAACCCTGTCCCTCATCCACCCTATTCTTTTGTTACTTGCTTTGGTAAATGGTAAGGTGGTTGTTGTGTGTTAGTACTAGGGAGAAGAGGGGCTTAGGATAATAGCTTGATGATGAACAGAAAGCTTTTGAAAGAGTAACAAGATAATTTTATTTTATTGATTGAAATAAGAAGGGTACAAGGGCTTTAGAGTTGATTGGATACAAGAGGTGACTGATGTGAGTTTAGACAGCTGGTGGTTTTTCAGCTTTCTTAACTTGAATACATTAGCGGGCTGTTATAGCTATACATAGAATTGCTGAACCGACTATCTAAGTTGGCTTTTTGCTTAGTTAAGTCGGTTTGCACAGTAACCGACTTTGTCTAAGTAATTTCAGCCACTAGTTATAACATGAGCCTAGAATAGTGTAGTTACGATACATTATATAATTAATAAGATGTTTCTAGTGTAGAGCTCAAATTTGACTTGTCATCTTTTCTCAATTTTTCTAGACTTTTCTATATTATTCTAGTACAAGTGTGCATATTGTGAATGAAGATGTAGTGGAAAATTCACACGGTATCTGGAACTAACCTAATAGTCCTAGATATACACACAATGTTTTACATGTGTCTTAAGCCCTTAGATCTATCCACATCTAACGGTTCAGGATTTATTCAAGATGAACAAAATGTGCTTTTATTACTTTATTGGCAACAACAGAGACTTCTAAAACTTCTCTCTTCTTTTTTATTAATTTATTTTTTCTGGTTATCTCTCTTTAATTTGATTGCATGTCTACTTCTGCATTTCTCAACTATCTTCTTCGCTTTCTTCCTCTACAACTCCATAACCAATCTCCCTCTGCAGCTCGGTTCCTTCAGCAACTCCCTCTGTAATTTCTTCACTTCAAGCCATGCTAGTACATAAGTTGCTTGTAAAATATCTGATTTCACCAAATAAGATAACTACAACGAGATATTATATTGGTTTAAATTATGTGTTTCTATGTGCTAATTGGGCGATTTCTCAATGTTTCTATTTGGTTATTTCATATGGATGCTAGAAGGGACATAATTTGTTGTGGTGGCAATTACTCTGTGAGCTTCTCATTCTTCCTGTCAAAATTTATATAAACTGTGTAATTTGATTTTTGAAAACTGCTTTTGTCCCTAGTGATATTTATATGGATGCTAGAAGTTTTGGCGAAAATTAAGGTTTGTTGAATTCGCCGTTTCAAGAATGTCATCTCTCAGATATAGCAGTTGCTTTATCCAGGAATGACATGTATTTACCTTTAAAGTTGTTGGCTTTGAATAAACCAAACACTTGAACGGCTAATCTATTTTAGTATTTGAAGGGCATGGTGGAGCTGATAATAACACACCCATAATGACACACTGAGATATACTTATTCCAAAACATAAGTCTATTGTTTTGATGGATTGTTTTAGTGTTCTTAATATCTTGCTTCATATTAAGTTTTTTAGTTGTTTTTTGTTTTTTGTTTTTTGGTAAATGCAGATCCAATTTGCTGGATGAGGCTTCCAAAGAAGATAGTAGCAGGAGACCATAAAATTGCTGTAGGAGGAGGTTTATGTACAAGCAGTAGCTAAAAGGATTTTAATTGTCATGAATTTTTTGTTTATTCTTTTCCTTTTTCAATGGTTGCAATACTAGCTTCAATTACTATATTTTGGTGTAATGAATTTTGTTTTAAATAAAGACTTATTCAATTGCATCTGTTCCAAATTCGGTTCAATGGTTAACTATGATAATTGTTATCAATAAATAAAAAGAGGAATTTAAATTTGTTCTTGCATTTGTTTTTAATTCTTTTCAATATGATCAACTATGATAATTGATTTATTTTTATAAAGGTTATCAATGAATACAATACAACATATGTTTACCAAATTATTGAAAACAAGAACTTTTAAGGACAATTCAAACTAAAAATTAAAAACAGGAAAAAGGGTTTTACCCAAGCTAATAAAAGGTATTTCAAATTATGGGGGAAAACAAGGAAAATTTTCAATTCCACCAAACAGAAAATTCAAAAAAAAGAAGAAAAAAACACAAAGAATCCTCGTAGCTCCTAAAGCTCATTAGACTAGCCTCTTTGCACATGCTTTCGTGTGTGCGAGAGGCTTTTTTTTAGTCATGCGCCCTATGCGCGACTTACAACATTCATGGGTGAATACCAAAATTGGTGTGGAATGTAAGTAGAGAAACTTGGTTGAGTCTCGACCTCTCTTACAACTTCTTAACAGGATTTAACCAAAATCCTATCATTCTTCCATGGCCGAATCTATGTTCTTTTAATATCGTGTCCAATATGCTACAAGGATCACTGTCAATTCCACCACAATCAATATGTATGCATGTAGTCCAAATCATAGATTTTCGAACATGAGTATCTTAAGAATATAAAATCATTCCCAAATGAGCACAAAATATCTTAAGGATAAAAAATCACTCCCAAATGATTATCTTAGGTTTTGATCTTAATAAAATCCTAAACATGAACTAGGTTTTGTATGTCAAACTATGTTTGTGAATTATGACATTGACATGCATCAACAATTATGATCCATAAAAGACTGAATCGATAACATTACTCAAAAAGTAATGCTATTTAGACACCCAATTGATAACATTAGCTAACCACCTTATGTGGCAGCTAATGTGTATATGCTACGTCACTTAAATTTGGCCAATTATTTTTTTTTCTCCTTTTTAAATTAAGTAATTTAGGGCCTGTTTGGTATTCAACTTGAATTCAACTTTTTAAACTCAAAAATACAATTTGAGTCCGAAACAAAGAAAACATGTTTGGTAGTCCTATTTTTAAAAACTCAAACTCAATAACAACTAAAAAACACCCCAATTATTAAAAACAAAAAATACCTGTTTTTTCAGTTTTTTTCTAAGAACTCACAAGTTCTCAAATTTTTAAGATTTAAAAACAGTTTTCAAGTTGCATACCAAACAAGTTTTTGAATCTTAAAAATAGATTTAAGAACTCCATGTTTTAAGAAAAATTCAAGTTTTTGAGTTCCCTATTTAAATAGAATACCAAACGCCCCCTTATATTTTCAACTTTTCTTCTTCTTCGTTGTATCTCTTTGGCTGCCTTTCTCCTTCCCTATTGGCCCGTGCTCATCCTCCTGTGATCTCTATGACAACTGTCCCTAAAAAAAAACACTAATTCTTTTATTCAACAAACCCAACTATGCAAATCAACTAATCAAGAAAATCCGAATTGAAGCTCAAAAATCTAAATGCCTATTTCACTAGCTATCTAGAAAAACTGAATTGATTTTGAGATATCATATTCTTTGGTCATGTGTACAAGAATTAAAAAGAATTTTAAAGCTTTGGTGTGTTGCTAGGAATGAGGTATTAGCCTTCCAATCAAATAGTCAGCCTAGTGAAGGATTGAAGCCGAACAATTTCCAAAATATGAACTATTTTTATTTTTAAAATGAATGTTCTTCCAAGATGGATTGATGAGATTTGTTGGGTTTCTCATGCGGCTTGATGGTGCTCGGAGATGTGGCAAGCAATGCGCCAATGTTACTGGATTTGATGGAGGAAGGGACTGTTGGGTAGAGAAACGTTGTAGCATGCTGCAGGTTTGTTATGTAGATTCCACTTTTATATTATAGGGTTATTTGAGGGATGGGGCGCTCAGTTGTCGGATATCTTTTAATGAGATCTTGCGGCTGTGGTTGTTTTAAATGTTTTAACCCGTTTTCTCTCTTATGACCCGCAAATACAATCACTTGAGAAAAGCTAAGGCGCACATGCAGAAAAGAATGAGAGAAGGGGAAGAGCTCACCCTTCCACCATCGTAAGCTGAAGAGCAGACCTGTTGTTGTGAGCTCAGCTTGCAAGATTCTCATGGCAATCAGGTTAGAAACAAAACCTAAGATACTCATTTGGGAATGATTTTATATCCTTAAGATACTCATATTCCAAAATCTATGATTCGGACCACATGCGTACATATTGATTGTGGTGGAATGGGCAGTGATCCTTGTAGCATATTGGACACGAGATTAAAAGAATATAGATTCTGCCATGAAAGAATGATAGGATTTTGGTCAAATCCTGTTAAGAAGGTGTGAGGTCGTGACTCAACAAAGTTTCTATACTTTGTGTTGTACACCCATTTTGGTATTCACCCATGAATGTTGTAGTCGTATTGATTTTTAAATCTTCTCCTAATAGAAGATTTATATGATGTGTTGATACATTTTGTTATTAACATGCACCCAACAATGATAAGGACAATCGATTGGTCAATTTATATCAACAACCCCTTGTTAGCTGGCTCTTTAGTGTTTGTCGAATTCGAAATCTTCCTTGATTTAACGTAAAAGAAGATCTTCCGGCGGCAATAGATGCAAAGTACATTGCTTCTCACCATACGACATGCAAAATAACTCACGTCTTGTCCGAGAAAAAAAGGCATTCTGAAGGTTTAGTATAAAAGAAAATGTACACATCATTTGACTGAATAAAAGATTGTTTATATCAAAATGAACAGCCAATAAGCATCGGACACGTGGACCAAATTGGAGCTATGGAAGCCTTCGGCACCTAGCTACAGTTCCGTTCCTATCGATCACACGATTAGGGCAACTCCACCCCCAGGGGCACGTGGCAGTCCCACAATTGGAGTCCACAGTCCCACATCGAAATTCTAAACAACTTGCACACCTCCCAAGGCCTATAAAAGAGGACAACTACCCCAACTTGGAGGTAATCAACCAGAACTTACGATATACTGCCTATTGATCTATAGTTCAATCTTACTAAATCCGTACTTACTTAAGCATCGGAGAGTCTTCGGCTGGTACCACATCAGTGCCCTAGGTCTTACCGAGCGTTGGTTATCTTGCAGATCGAACGCCCTACCGAGGCCCGGTGCATACCGAAGGCCCAACATCACTAAGTTGCACGGGAAAGTGCCGAACCATTTTTCTGCGTCAACAGTTTGGCGCCGTCTATGGGAAGCGATAAGAATCTACCTACAATTCCTAAAAAACACATGGGAACCACTTCAGTACCAACGTTCTTATCGGAGGATGGACTACCGTACGACATGCCAAGTGGAGCAAGCCTCGCGCTGCACCCTAGCACTCCCTTCGGGTAATCCTCCGGTGATTCAGACTACGGTTGAAGCGGAGCTTCTGGCTCAAATGACTTCCCTTCGGAAGGAAATGGCCAAGCTCCAAGAACATAACCACCTCCTCTCGTCCAAAGTAGACGAAACCCAGCGGCTGCTTAATCAGCAGGAAACGCAGAATATTCAGGCTACGGAACCTTCCCAGAGTCTGCAGACCCCCGGTCGGCAGAAGAAAGGGAAGAAGAGGGCAAAGGCAATGCCTGTGCCTTCCAAACAGGTGGTAGTTCCGGCTCCACGGGACCAGCCTCATGTACCGAAAAAGGTCTACACTAACTGTCGCCATCGGATCAAAGACAAGGATGCCGAACGGCAGCGGTCCCCAATCAGGATCAATGCTCGCCTACGGGACTCACGGATGAGGGTCCTTGGGAGCAAATCACCTCTTAGAAAGGTCCGAGGGTTGGTGTCAGAGGTAGAATCTGACGATGAGTATGCCCCCTCCAAGGGCACCAAATCAAACTACCGTTCGGAAACTCCCACGGAGTATTCGAAGGCAAGACCACCAAGTCCGAGGAGGTCCCAAGCCGAGATCTCACTATCCGTCTGCTCTTCCAGAGAATTCAGAAGATGGAAGACGACCGAACTCGGTCCCAGGAACCTGACTGGGGAAAACTTCTGCCGGGACCCTTTACCGAGCGCATCAAGAAGTCCAGACCGGACAGGGAGGTACAGCCGTTGCGTATACCATTTTACACCGGCGTGGAAGACCCCTTGACGCACCTTCACTCTTTCCAATCAGCGGTCCGATGCAAGGGCCTCAGCGATGAGGGGCAATGCCTGTTGTTCCCATCCTCCCTTACCGGAGCCGCTTTGAACTGGTTCTACCGTCTTGAACTAGGAACGGTAGACTCGTTTGACGAATTGAAGCAGAATTTTCTCAATCACTTCATGATCCAGATGGACCGTCTGTACTCTGCCGACGATCTGTACACGGTTCGGCACAGAGAAGACGAACCCCTACGGGAATACGTTGTGCGCTTCAGTCATGAATACTCGAGGTGTCCGAAAACGGATGATAAGAAAGCCTACGACGCCTTCAAGAGTGGCCTTCGGTCCTTTCACTTTCGGTATCTCGTGCACAGTAGCAACTCGTCCACGCCAAGGCTGAATATTTCAACTCTAAACCCAGGCCTTCGGCTCGGTAGGAGGAATCAGCACCAAAGAGCTATCCTGGGAGGACTAACGACTTTTGGGCAAGTCACAAGCGAAATGATGACCGTGATAATCGGCAAGGAAGCTCAAAGAAGGGGTGTGGGAAATACGGTCGCAACGACCACCGAGCGCCACTATCGAATCACGATCGTGCTCAGGAAGTCTTCACTCTGTTGAATACTACATATGAGGCCGTCCTGATGAACGAGCACTGCCAAACCCTGAAACCAGACCGAAAGCCAAATCGGCAGGACAATCGGGATACTGGCAAATTCTGCCGATATCACCAGTAGAACAGCCACAACACCGAAGACTGCATTAGTCTAAGGAAGGCCGTTGAACGCCTGATTCGGGAAGGAAAGCTGGATCGATACATTGCCAGACCATCTCAGGCACCAGCCCCAAACGCGAATCGACAAATCAACATGATCAGCACCATCAGCGGAGGCCCCACTCTGGCAGGACCCTCAAGTCTTCGGCATAGAAACCGATCGGCACCACAAGGTCCCGAATGTGGGTTGGGAGCCCATCACATTTTGCAAAGAAGAGGAAGAAGGGATCATTTACCCCCACGATGACCCGATGATCATTCAGGCTGAAATTGCCGATTACGATGTAGGTCGGGTATTGATCGACACTGAAAGTTTGGTAAATGTGATTTTTACCGATGCGTTCGGAGGATTGGGAATTGCTGACAGCATGGTCAATGGGCAGATAACGCCTCTACTCAGTTTTTCTGGGGATCTGGTCCAGCCAGTCGGCAGTATCAGTCTGCCCATCACCTTAGGCGTTGCCCCTAGAATAACGATGACCTACGACCAATTCCTCATCGTCGACTACCCAACGACATATAATGTCATCGTAGGATGGACGACACTCACCAGTGTCAAAGCCTACTTGTCCCCCCCCATGTTGCTGATGAAATTTCCTACCCGCAACGGTACTGGCGTTATCCGAGGAGACCAGCTCAGCGCACGGACGTGCTATGCGACCGCTCTGAAATCAGTAGCTTGCAAGCCTCCAATAAAGGCCATGTCTGTGCAGGGACTACTGAACGATAGCGGGCCTATAGACGATGTGTAAAGATCGGCACCAACGCCAGTAGCGCAGCCTGCCGAAGAACTAGAAAAGGTAATCCTGAATGAGGAATATCCCGATCGATGTGTAAAGATCGGCACCACCCTAGGTCCCGACCTACGGATGCAGTTCATTGACTTCTTGTGGCATCACGCGGAGGTCTTCGCCTGGTCTTACGATGATATTGCCAGCATATCACCTGACATCATCAGCCACAAGCTCAGCATGTCTCCCGTCTATAAACTAGTCAGACAGAAGCGTCGTTCGTATGATGCCGAACGGTATGAGGCTATGCGTACCGAAGTTGACAAGCTTAAAGCCATCGACTTTATCAGGGAGGCTACGTACCCTGTCTAGCTTGCCAACTCAGTCATGGTTCGGAAAGCCAAGGGGAGATGGCGAATGTGTCAAGACTATACCGACCTGAATAAAGCATGTTCGAAGGACAGCTTCCCATTGCCGAGGATCGACTAGCTCGTTGACACAACCGCTGGGCACGAGCTGCTCATCTTCATAAAAGCCTATTCAGGGTACAACCAGATTTTCATGGACCCTGCCGATAGCGAGCATACGGCATTCATCACCGACCGCGGGTTGCACTGTTACAATGTCATGCCTTTCGGCTTGAAGAATGCGGGGGCAACGTATCAACGGCTCGTCAATCGGATTTTTGCTAAACACATCGGCGGCATTATGGAGGTGTATGTCGATGACATGTTGGTAAAAAGCCGAACGGCAGGGGGGCATCTGGAAAACTTAGCCCTCATGTTCGGTATACTTAAGGACTACCGAATGAGGTTGAACCCAACGAAGTGCGCCTTCGATGTATCTTCGGGGAAATTTCTCTTATTCATGATCAGCCAGCGAGGAATCGAAGCCAATCCCGAGAAAATCAAAGCCATAATCGACATGAAAACGCCGAAAACGCAGAAAGACATTCAAAGCCTTGCCGGACGTGTCGCTACCTTAACGCGTTTCATCTCCAAAGCCACCGATAAATGCGTACCGTTCTTCAAAGTCTTGAAAGGGGGCAAACATCATATCGCGTGGACTCTCGAATGCGACCAAGCATTTTAAGACTTTAAGAACTACATGAGCAAGGCACCACTATTGTCAAAACCGCTCCCCGGAGAAGTTCTCATCCTTTACCTTTTGGTATCAAGCACTGTCTCCGACCATACTTCCAAGCGCACGAGATCACGGTTCTGACCAATCAGCCCCTTTGGCATGTACTTCAAAAACCAGAAACGTCTGGCCAATTGGTCAAATGGGCGATCGAGCTGGGAGAATTTGACATACAGTTCAAGCTAAAGCCTGCAGAGAAGGGTCAAGCCGTCGCCGACTTCATCTCTGAGCTCACACCTTCTGCACCATCAGAAACATCTTTTCCGAACGCTGTTATTGCGGAATTAGGAAAAATGGATGCCGAGTACTTTGATCCTTTTGTCCCTCTATGAATCCTGCATGTTGACGGCTCGGCAAATCAACAAGGCTGTGGAGCTGGCTTGGTGTTAACTACTCTAGACGGAAGCAAAGTCGAGTATGCCCTCCGATTCAACTTCAGAACCTCTAACAACGAGGCAGAGTATGAGGCTCTCTTGGCCGGCCTTCGGCTAGCCAAGAGCATGAGCGCAAAACAAATCAGCATTCACAGTGACTCCCAGCTCATAGTGAATCAAATAACGGCAGACTTCGCAGCGAAGGATGCCTCCATGTCCGCCTACCTATCGGCAGCCCACCAACTCTACAAAAGTTCCAGGCCTATGAGATTTGGCAGATCCCCATGTCAGAAAACAGTCACGCCGATGCACTCTCACGTTTAGCTTCGGCAATAAACGATAGGATCAGAAGGACGGTGCCGGTGGGATATTATCCGAGCCAAGCACGACAACTGCTGAAGTATGTACCGTACGGTATGAGGACACATAGATGTCTCCAATTTATGCTTTCCTAAAGAATGGAACCCTGCCCATCGATAAGTCCCAAGCTCGGAAGCTACGGTACTGATCGGCAAGATACATAGTTATCGACGATGTTCTGTACAAGCGAGGCTACACCACGCCGTATTTGAAATGCCTCACCAAAGAGCAGGGGGACTACGTCCTTCAGGAAGTCCACAGCGGGGTCTACGATGACCACTCAGGGTCCCGGTCGCTGGCACACAAAGTCTTCCGGCAGGGGTATTTCTGGCCGACCTTACACCAAGATGCAAACGTGTTAGTCAAGAAGTGCGACAAATGCCAACGGTTCAGTAAACCCATGGCCTTTCGCCTAGTGGGGACTAGACTTGATCGGCCCGATGCCGCAAGGTAAGGGCCAGGTCAAATATGATATTGTTGCCATAGACTATTTCACCAAGTAAGTAGAGGCCGAAGCCTTAGCAATGATAACGGCAGCCAGAATGGAAGATTTCATCTGGACGAACATTTGCTGCCGATTCGGGATCCCCTACGCCATCATCACCGATAACGGCAGGTAATTCGATTCCAAAGCCTTCAGGCAGTTTTGCACTCGCCTCAAGATCAATCTATTCTTCGCTTCGCCAGCTCACCCCCAATCGAACGGTCAAGTCGAGGCAATGAACAAAATAGTCAAGAAGCTATTGAAACAGCAGCTTGACAAGGCCAAAGGAGCCTGGCCGGAGAAGCTTCCAGAAGCATTATGGGCCATTTGGACATCCTACCGAACGGCAACCGGGGAAACACCGTTCTCCATGGCCTTTGGCTCAGAAGCGGTATTCTAGTGGAAATCGAAGAACCTTCCCACCGAACAGAAACTTTCGCCCCAAAGGCGAATGAGGAGGCACTCGCCTTAAGCCTCGACCTGGTCGAAGAACGCCGAGCGCAGGCCAACCTTCGGAATGAAGCTTACAAACAGCGCGTCTCTTGGTACTACGACTCCAGGGTCAGATCCCCCTCTTTCCGAGTCGGAGATTGAGTCATGCGAAAAATCTCTCTAGCAACTAATAATCCCACGGAAGGAACCCTTGGACCTTCCTGGGAATGACCTTACGAGATCGTAAGCATCCAGCGATCGGGGACTTATCCGCTCAGAGACTCCAACGGAAAGACCCTCGGTCATCCTTGGAACGTAGAGCATTTGAAATATTATTTTAAATGAAGTCACCTGGCCTACGGCAGGATGAAAATGTAGTTCAGAAAGCCTTCGGCTTATTCTTACTCACAGCCTTCGGCTGTATCGAGTTCCCTAGCCTACGGTAGGTTTTCAATTGTAAAACGAACTCCATATGTATCTTTGCCTTCGGCAATCATTAATGAAAAGGCCTTCGGCCCATATATTCACAACCTTCGGTGTGTTAATTTAAACGATGCGGTATCGACCATCGGTCGCAGTATACTACATTTTTAAACCCTTTTATTAGCCTTCGGCAATTAAGGTACCACGGTATTCTTTCCTACCGATCAAAGGTTAACTTGTCTTTTACTAAGCCTGTTAACGATTGGAAGATCAGTTTTATCTAGCCCTCGACATCAAGGTGTTCAGAAAACATTGCCTGATGGCAATTACATGAAATAAAACTTAAACAAGGCTCAAGCGGCAGTCTCCACCTAGGAACCAGGGGCAGCGGGTTCTTCTGGAGCGTCCTCCCCTTCGTAATCTTCTATCATCTCTTGAGCTCAACTAGCTTTAGCTGAAAATGAGAAGAAGCTTTTGGAGAAGAGCTCATTGCAGAGCGTACGAAACTTTCTGTCAAGCAGCGGCCTCCTCGGCATCGGCATCGGCAGCAGGCTCTTCCGGAGCATCCTCCCCTTTGTAGTCTTCTATCATCCCTTCCGTGATTCCTTCGGGAAGGGGAGGATGATCAGCAATGAAATTCAAGTTTAGCTTCTGCCCAGGGCTGTACTGCTTGAAATGGTAGACCAGGTCCACCATTTCCGAGCCCACCTCCTTGTCCAGCAAGGTAGAGAACTCGAAAGAGTGACGGTACCTCCGGATTGCCTCCTGGACTGCAGCCTTGATCTTCGAAGCCTTAGCCCGCTCCGACTCCTCAAAAGCCACCTGGACCGCCTTCTTCACCTCCAGAGCCTCCTTTGCCGTTAGCTGCGCCGACTCTAGGGCTGCCGACATCTCAGTGAACTTGGCTTCATAAACCTTGACCTGCCATTCAGCAGCTTGCATGTCCTTCACCAAATTCGCATGAGCTTAGATAGGCTTGCCAGCCTCGGCAACCCTGGCCTTGCCATCTTCATAAGCCTTCTTCGCCTTTTCGCCGGCATTGATGGCTCACTTGACGCACAGCCACATGCCCATTGAAGCCTGGGAAACAAAGGAAAATGTTAGACAAGGCTGAAAGCAAACAGTAAAATAAACTGAGAATGGTTTGCGCTTACCGAAGCTTGAAGACGGAAGGCACGGCCAGCCTCCTCCCGAAGGAGCTTCTTCGGCAGGTCCTCAATCTCGAAAAGCTCCATTTGCGAACCAAGGATCATGTGGTTCACAAATTGGACCGTCTTCGATGGATAAGCCAAAGTGACATGTTTGGCAGGCGCCTCGTCGTCTTAGGCAGCGAAGATGGCCCGAGCAGGCTCAATCTGCCGCCCGCGCTTTGGGGCGAGATCGGCATCTAGATCGACGGTGATTGGGCGCTTGCCGGCTACTTTGGAGGAGGTGCCCTCTGCAGGCACACCTCAGCTAGGATACGGACCGACCGTTGTCGCTCCGACCTGCGCCGAGCCAGCGTTGAGCTGACGGAGACGGTCGGTGATGGTCTGGTCTTCGAGGTCGACTCCTCCCGATGATGCCAGTACCTCTTCCGGCTGCCGGCTCTTCTTTTTCTTCCCTTGGAGGCCAAGTATAAGGCGTCGCTTAGAGGACTCGTTCATCCTCTTCGCCTCAGCAGCCCTCCTCTCTTCCGTCACTACAAAATCAAGATCGGTAAGAATTCTCATTGTAGTAATAAGCTGAGTCATAATAGACAAGTACACTTACTCTCGGCAGGGTTGACAAGTTGAGCCTTGATGAGATTGGCGGTGAAGAGGAACTTCGGGTACACTCTCTCCACGGCAGGGACCTTCAGCCTTACCTTGTCTATCTGTCAGATCTCCGCTTGGGTGGCGCTCGGCTACTTCAACTTGCCTGCACAAAAAGGGAAACGAAAATAAAACTCCAAAAAGACGCCTACAGACTAAAGGACCTACCGAACGGTACGATGGCCTACCGGCAATTTGGAAGGTGGTGGGAATGTGGAAACGGACGGGATGTCCCGATGGCGATTCCCAATCACCAGACAAAAGCACCTGCCGTTTCCTCCACGTCTTCTGGGATGTTGGCACGGCACTAACAAAATGGTCGTGCTCGGTAGCCTTCAGGCAGTTAGCTTGAACCCAACCCCCGTGGTCGGCAGACTTGGACTTGGTGACGCTGTACAAGTGGGAGAAATGTTCGTACGAAGGAGCTCCCTCGCCGGCCATGCCGAAGGCTGTGACCACTCCTATTAACGCCACCCAAAAGTTGGGATTGAATTGGCCGGGAGCATAGCTGATCTGTGCCAAGATTCTCTGAACGGCAAGCTACAGCGGAAGCCTCACTCCTTGCAGAAGTACGTCCGTGAAAAAGACAACTTCACCCTCCTTCGGCTTACTTAGAGATTCGGTTGCCGTTGGGATCCTCATCCCTACCAAATCTGGTATGAAATACTCCGCGTGATATTTCGCGATCTCCCGCTCGGTAATCTTGTTGGGCTCCAGGTAGTTTACGCCGAATAGGTGCTCTTTTGGAACTCCCATAAGCACCCTAGGATTGCTGGGAAAGACTACCGATACCCTCGGCCGAGAAGATGGTTCGGCGGCTGACTCTCCACGGTCGGAAGTGGAGGTCTCTGATTGGCGACCAGTGCTCGTCTCCCCAAGCATAGCTAGACCAACGTGGCGACCGTCGCTATAGACAATAGACAACGGTACCGGTGCAGTCATTAGCCCCTTCCCGATGCCATGTGAAGGAATGGAGCTGGGGCATTCACCGAGTATCTCAACATCGGTGTTGCTTCTGTCCCCAGCATCGGGGCCTACCGCCTCGCTGTCGGAGTCAAAAAGACCTTCCGATGACTCCCCACCGAACGCATAGGGCTCACGCTCGAAAAATGACTCGCTATCACACATCTACAAAAACAAGGAAAAAGGAAACTAAGGCTCATGCCGGATACTAGCCTACCGATCTCTACATCGCTACCGATGACGACTAGACTATCGAACATAACCCTATGGTCAGTCTAGTTCAAACCAAGGAAGGGCGTAACAATAGTTAAGGAAGAGAGTAAATAGAGGGTGTCGAACGGTACCTTAAATCAAGTTCTGGACGAGGACCACGAACTATGCTACCAATCGCCTTGACGGAAATCGCTTTTCTGGCCGTTCGCAACGCCGGAAATCTCCTGGTTTACCGTTAGCCAGCGTTGAAAATCGCTTGGAATGCCGGAAGCTCTCGTCAGAAATCGCCTCAACAAAGCTCTCGCTTCTCACAAAATGCAAGTGAATTCCTCTCCGGGGTCAACCCTATTTATAGGGCGAGGGTTCGCAATGGTACACCTCGAAAAACCAAAAGGCGCATTAATGCGCCGTGCATCATGATTACTCTCGCCACGTGTCGCTCATCCTATAGGGGACTGATGGCATGTGAGGCACGGAAGACGAAGCGCCCAGACGTCTCTTCACACGTCAACTCGACGCGACCTTCTGACTTCCCCAACGTCAGACTCTGAATGAACATGAATGGAAGGGCCAATGTTGAGCCCTTCCACCAGCTGGATTACCGAACGGTAGGACATTTCCTGCCGAAGACAATTTCAAGTCCCCTTCCGAGAACTATCGCAAGAGAACTTGGGGGACTTCTGTTTATACCAAAATGAATAGCCAATAAGCATCGGACACGTGGACCAAATTGGAGCTATGGAAGCCTTCGGCACCTAGCTACAGTTCCGTTCCTACTGATCGCACGATTAGGGCAACTCCATCCACAGGGGCACGTGGCAGTCCCACAATTGGAGTCCACAGTCCCACATCGAAATTCTAAACAACTTGCACACCTCCCAAGGCCTATAAAAAAGGACAATTATCCCCCAACTTGGAGGTAATCAACCAGAACTTACGGCATACTGCCTATTGATCTGTAGTTCAATCTTACTAAATCCGTACTTACTTAAGCATCGGAGAGCCTTCGGCCGGTACCACACCGGTGCCCTAGGTCTTACCGAGCGTTTGTTATCTTGCAGATCGAACGCCCTACCGAGGCCCAGTGCACACCAAAGGCCCAACATCACTAAGTTGCGCGGGAAAGTGCCGAACCATTTTTCTGCGTCAACAAAGATAAAAGAGATTTTTTACAAACTTCTTGTGAAGATACTTTATACGAACCATAGTCGTATAAATACAGGCCGGAACATACCCATAAATACCAAGCATCCCATGCCATCACCTGCCACACTGGAAGATAATAGCAAAAAATAAGTCAACACAAGAGAATAGCAAAACCACACTGGAAGATGACGTATAAGAAACTACCATAAGAACCAGCAATGAATTTCTTGTGCTTACACATTTAGCAAAAGACCCAACTTTTTCCCCTTTCGGCAAATAAAAGTCAAAACATTCTAAGAAAAAGACTATCTAACTGTATATCTTATGCATATAAAATCAGTAAAACTTCTTATGCGTTACAAAGGACCAACAGGATAAAATAGAGAGCTTTCAGCCCTTAAAAAAAACAAAAGGAGATGTACATCTACACTAACAAATTGAGGAACATGGAAAGAATAAACTACCACATACATCATGGAGCGATGAGGCTCGGGCGATCAGTATTTGAAGCACAAAACTACTCCTCCGGCATCTTTCCCACACTAGCATCCCTATTCACACACACAAGTCAAGTCCAACTATACATGCTAAAAACAAAAGGAAATAAGTGGATGCAGAACAAAACCAGTACAATAATAGTGGGTAAGCAACTTATGTACTAGCATAACAAAACCAATGCAATATCTCATTGTAGTTATCTTATTTGGTGAAATCAGATATTTTACAAGAAACTTATGTACTAGCACGGCTTGAAGTGAAGAAATTACAGAGGGAGTTGCTGAAGGAACCGAGCTGCAGAGGGAGATGGGTTATGGAGTTGTAGAGGAAGAGAGCAAAGAAGATAGTTGAGAAATGCAGAAGTAGACATGCAATCAAATTAAAGAGAGATAACCAGAAAAAATACATTATTAAAAAAGGGGAGAGAGAGAGAGAGAGAGAGAGAGAGGATTGTCAATAAAGTAATAAAAGCATAGTTTGTTCATCTTAAATGAATGCTGAACAGTTAGATGGGGATAGATCCTGAAATGTGACAATTTTGAGTTACTGATTCAGGTTTGGGTGTTGAATCAGTTGAGGGGGATTTGCATGCAAAGAATAGATAAAGTAATCAAGTCACGCAAACCTAAAATAGTGCAGCAAGAAACCTAAGAGTGGTGTAGTGGCCAAAAGGCTATAGATCAATCAAAGCCAAGATAACTAACTGCGATATACCCACCTGAACCTGCGTGTAGATGCAATGGTGTCCAGCAAGGTTTGTTTTTCCCTCCATTCCCGGTACGTATCAATGATGTCGTCCATTGTAACGCTATAATAGGTCCTATTGGGAAACAAGGAAAGTCAAACTATAAATGTCGGTGATTCCTGAGGTGTGAACATTAGGACATGTCAATAACCAGTGGAGAGTGCATGGTTATTAATAGGTTTAACACAGACACACAGATAGTTTGTTGACATGTATGCATTGAGGAAGTCCACACTTGAGGATTCCTCTATAAAGAAAAAGGAAATTTGAGATGGACAAAACTGAGGGTTACAAATACTTCCCACTCTCCAGTAAACGAAAATATAGAGATGCAAAAACCAGAAAAACCAACATGATTATGAAGCGAAGCGAAGAAACCAATTAAAGCAAGGTTGCAGAATAATTAGAAACTGGAAATAAAAATTATAAAAGAAAAAAACCACATAATTAACAATTACCTATCAAACTTTTCAACGTTTTTGTCCGCTTCTAGCATCAGTGTCGTTGCTTCATTTGTGAGATTATAGAAAATATAAAGGGATGAATTACCCTCTGCTGTTTGTGCTTGGGATTATAGAAAATATTAGGGGTGACATTTTAGACCGAAAAACCAAAAAACCGCAAAAACCAACCGACTATTTACCGCAATGAAACCATGATCGCAGTAAACCGAACCGCATTTGCGGTTGCGGTTGCGGTATTTGATTTTCAAAACTTGATGTTACCGCAAACTGCAAAGTATAGCCAATCTATGTTGTTTTATTTGATCTTTTTATAATGAAATGTATTAAACTATGTTGTTTTATTTGTAGATAGCATTGATGCTCAAACAACACAACAAGGTTCTTCAAATCCACTCACCACCAACACTTGACTTTGTAACTTTAGTTTGTAACATTGGTGCATTGCATTTTTTTTTTAGTTTGTAACTTTAATTAACTTTGAATTTGATTTTTATTTTTAGTTGTAACTTTAATTCATTTTGCTTTGTATTTTCCTTTTGGTTTGTAACTTTAAAGGATTTGAAATTGGAATTCTTGAGAAGTTTAACTTTAATTGGAATGCTTGGAATTGTAACTTTAATTTTCTTCAAGTTGTGAATGCTTGAGAAGTTGAGGAGATTGTGAATTTATATATGCTTGAGAAGTTGAGGTTGTGTATTTATTTATTTAGGTTGTGAATTTATATTTTTGTGAATGCTTGAAAACTTGCGGTTTTAAACCGCAAAAAGGGTCGGTTTGCGGTTTCAAAAATCACCATACCGCAAATAGTCGGTTGGTTTGCTATTTGGGCAAAAATTTGCGGTTACCGAACCGCAACCACCCCTAGAAAATATTGCCCAATTTTTTAGGTTTCCTCCAATATTTTAATTTCCTGTATTTTGTTGTTGTTTGGACTGCAACATTAACAAGAGCTGCAAATACAGCAACATGAACATGAATTTTTTGTTTTGTTTTTTATTTATTTATAAATCTGAATAAGTACCTCATTAAGAAACGCCAAAGTAGCGCTAGCAAAACACAGCAAATATGACAGGCTAAACTAAGCTCCAGACAGAGAGCCGAGACAAACAGCCCAAGTCATAAAACAACAAAACTAAGAGCATCCATGGTGGGGAAGTGTAAAGCCATAGTTATATCTCCTTTACACCTCTTTGAGATGCAAATGTCATTTTTGCTCCAATGGGTTGGATGCAAATTCAGGTTTGTAAATCAGAATTTTTTTTTAATATAATTTTTTTTAATGTTTATTTTTGTGTATTAGGTTTAATTATTTTTTCTAAACAAATCGACTTAAATTTTTTTAAATTCCGATAAGATATAATTTAATTCAATATGATGTAAATAAAATTAATCTAAACTGTCGGCCTTGATATGAATTTATTCTTCAAGTGTAGTTGTTAGTTTCATATTTCAATTTGAATGAAATCTGGCCATATGTTAGAGAGTTGTTGGAGAAGAACTTAGTACATTTGCATCATTTTAATAACTTCCTCATATTAATAAATCTCAACCACACCTTGGGCCCACCATTTTAATAACTTCCCTATCTTGTTGGCAAATTTCCTCCCTCATCTCTCTTGGCTTTTCTGTTACGGGACCCACTTTGCTGGGTGTAAAATTAAATGTACATTTGCATCTTTTTTCCCATCTTACGGCTGTGATGTACATTTACAACCGTATAAACCTCCCCATTGCAGGACATTTCGGCAACCAAATGTGTATATTTGATATACACCTCCATATATACCTTACCACTGTGGATGTTCTAAAACAACAATAAATTATGAAAACCTTCCTGGAGGATAAGGTAGGCCATCTGATAGTAAACTCCCACAAGAGATGGAGGTGGTCTGACAGCCCAACTTTCTAGTTGCTCGGCTCTGATTCCAATCATTGCGGTCTTGTGCGGTGCGGTTCAAATTCCTTAGCTCCTAACTCCAAATGACCGATTTGAAACAAACAGGGATCTTTTTAAACTCATTGAGAAGAGGTTGGATTTCCCAAACACCATTTTTTACTCATCCTCAAACTCCATCCATCAGAATCTTCAAATCTGTCTCGAGGATAACGTCGGTGAAATTACGATTTAGAGCAAATTTGATTGCCAAAGGCCAGTAGCCACCTCTGCAACCATAGCCAAGTTTCAATGGAACGAAGTTGCTAAACCACCACAAAAATATAAGATAGTATCTCTAGCAACTACACCCACCCTGCAAAATGAGAGTCCTTTTTCCACGCTCCATTGAAATTTATTTTCACATAGTTTGACATTGAAGGCCTCCAACCTTGAGCAATCATGTTTTGATCATCTTAGGCATCCCCAAAAGGCACATGTGATTTGGCCTTAGCATCTAAAAACTCCCCATGGTTTTGCATTGCTCGATCAATAGTGAGCCGAGGATCAATATGGCTGCCCTTAAAGATAAAATTACATCTAATCTTCCATATCTCCGAGCATATGAAGTTAATGCTAGTAAGCAGAAGTTGAGCTTCCAGCTTGCTTAACCCTTGAAAATTAATAATTCCCTTGAGCCATTTGTCTTAGGGGTGGGTGCGATCCGGTTTGGTCTAATTTCCACCTCAAATTGGAACTTGAATCGTATCATTTAATCAATTCGGTTTGATTCAATTTTAGTGAAGAAAAAAAATATGAAACTGGCTAGTTCAGTTTCCGATTTTGGACCGGATTATTATTAATTTTTTTAAAATATTTTTTTAAATACAAATTCCAACAAAAATTTTATTTTTTGGGCTTGAAAATTAACAAATGATCCAATTTCATGCAAAGAGAGATATTGACTTAGAAAAGAGAGATGTTTTGAAGTTGGGCTTGGGGAAATATCAATTATGAGATTAAAAATGTAGCATTGGATTTACATAATTTTGTAAAAAATAAAAATAAAAATAATACACAACCGGTCCGGTCCGGTTTGGTAAGGTGCGAAACCGAAACCAGAACTAGTTGGAACCAATATGCTCCAGTTCGGTGTCGGTTTGTTGACTTTTTTAGTCAACCGGTCTTTTTTCCTGTTTTTTCCATCCGTTCCAACTCGTTGTTCCTATTTTTGGGTCCCAATGCCCACCCATAATCTGTCTACAAAAGAGAAACCTCTCATATCGACTTTGTAGTTCAATGGGGCACCAAACAACACAACATTAGTCCACGAATATAAGAATAAAAGGTGCTCAATTGTTTCTTCCTCCACACCACAAATAGGACACATCGAGGAGTCAAGAATTTTCCTTATATAGAGATTCCAACAAGTAAAGATGACATTAGATAATACCCTCCAAGGGAACATTCTAATTTTTGGCATAGTTTCAATCTTCCATATACACACCCAGACCTCTTTTGGTATTGAGTGGGAGGCTCAAACTATCACATGGATTCCATATGAACACCGGGTATGTATTCTTCTGTATCCTGATTTGACTGAGTAAGCTCCATTGGTCGTCCAAGGCCACACCACTCATTCTTGTCTCTTAGTATTTGCAATTGGACAACACCGAATAATCTCCAGAGTGCGAGGTTGTACAAACGGCTCAATCAAATCAAGTTTCTAAGAATGTGTCTCCTTTTCCATAATCTCACAAAATAACTGAGGGGCTGGGGTGGGGGGGTGGGGAGGGGGAACAATATGCCTTATTTTGATAATCCCATCATGGGGAGGAGGAAGCCAAATGTCCTTCCAAATTTTGTATTTTTCCCATAAAAATCTAGCAGCGGGAGTCTTTGATCAAAGCATCCCTTTCTTTGAGTAGGCTAGACCACGCCTAGGAGGCACGCGAACCTTTTTCGGCCGTAAGGAAATCACAATCCGGATAAAACTGGGAATTTGAAGCAAGGCATGGTATAACTGTTGCAACGGCTTTAAGGAGAATTTCCTTCCTAGCCAAGGAAAGAGAAATTTGTTTCCAGCCCTCAATTTTTATTTTTACTCTATCTTTAATATAGGCCATGGCTGCCCTTTTAGACCTACCCCAGATCGTAGGTAGACCCAGGTAAGTGCCTGCATTATCCACTCCACTAAAACCAAACATTTCGCATAACTGATCCCTTAAAGGACTGGGGGTACACCATATTGGACTTTTCAAAATTGACACATTGCCCCGAAGCCAAACAATACATATTAAGAACCTATATAAATCTTTGACAATTCAAAACATTCGCCATTAAGAAGAAAAGTGAATCCTCAGCGAAAAAAAGGTGTGAGAGAGTTGGACTTTGCCTAGCAAGCTTAGGCCCCGTTTGGGATTGCTTTTTTTCGTCAAAAGCCTATTTCACTTTAAAGTTAAGCAGTTTAAGGTGTTTGGTAAAAATAAAATATTCTGATTATTTTAAAAGTAGTGGTCCTTTGACAGTAGCTTTTAAAAGCATGCTTAGAGTTGCTTTTCAAAGCTGCTTTCAAAATAAGCAGAGATGAGCCTTTAATGAATTTATTAAATTCTCAAAATACCATCCTTAACTTTTAAATATGACACCACCCCCACCTCCACATCCAACGCCATCACCTTCAACACCTCCATCACCACCACCATCTCTTCCTCAACCTTCACCACCTCCACCACCTCCACCTCCACCACCACCACCACCACCATCTCCACCTCAACAATCATCATCCCCACCAACACAATTACCATAAGCACCACCTCCACCTCCACCTTCATCACCACTACCACCACATCACCTATTTCGCCACCACTTTCACCTCCATTTCTTTCACCACCACCACTACCTCTACATGATTAACACATAACACTTTCAACATCATGTGTATTTTAGTCATTACTCACAATTACAACAATTTTATATTAAAATTTAGGGTTCTTTAGTTTTAACTAATTATATACTCTACTAATTTGGAAAACAGAAATCCAATTTCACATAATTAGCAAAAGGCCAATGACTAAGAAATAGGATGTAATTTTACAATCATGCATTGAAAAAACCTCAAAATTACAAAAAGATGCCATTATGCCAAATTTAACTATTTCATTTTAAACCAAGAAGTACTACATAATTTTACAATAATATAATTTTAAAAAATATCAAAAATATTACACACAATGCCACTTCCGGCAATCCCCCTCCCGGCTAGCGGCCATAGCCACATGACAGTCGTCTCGCCCCTGTCGTAGGCCAGTCATCGCCGCCCCCTGCCGCTGCCGCCTATTATAGGCCAACCATCACCAACCAGTCGAGGACCAACACTATTACCCTTTATTCACCCTAAACAAATAGAAGATTTTGTGACATTGAAGGAACTTGAACACCTCAAAGGAGGAAGCCTCACTCATAAACCACTACACCAAACTTGTTTTTGTGATATTTATTCATTTACACAATATTTATATAAACAATCAACGGTTTTTAAAAAAAAACAAAACAATTTATATATCAAGAAGAGGTATGCAGTTTCTGTTTTTCTGCATTACAGTTTTTGTTTCATCTATTGCAGTTTCTTTTTCATAATGAAGGTGATTAAAGCATTATATTCAATAATGTACGCAAAACTTGCACACATAACTTGAACTACAAGAAACATAAGGTAGAAATTTCATAGCATACTTGGCACAAGGAAGAAGAAATAGAGCTCTCTGGATGATACTAAAAATGATTGCGTTGCTTTCGGCGCGCCGTCATAAGAGAGAAAGAGAAGGGTGAGATCTGATTTTGGTGATTTAAAAAAGTGTAAAATCGTATTTTACCTTTATAATTTACACAGGCCCAATGAATCTGGGCCACCTTTTTGGCCAAATCCAAAACAAAATTTGATTCTACTCTAGGTATTGAATCCTTATTAGTAAAGTATCTTAAAGTATCTTATGATTAAAACCTATTTTTTCTTAAAATTTACCAAACAATTTTGACACTACTTTTTTTACTAACAATACTCTAACAATACTTTAACAAACATGGAGTTACTTCACTTTACAGCGTATTATCTTCAAAGTACAGGAAAAAGCAAATTTTTTAAAGAGTCACATCAATCCCAAACTGTCCCTTAATGCCCTGAATCTGAACATCCCTAATCAATTTCGATAAATTGAGAGAAGAGCTTCACTGACCAGCAAGAAAAGGTACGTAGAAAGTGGGTCTCCCTGTCTGAACCTCGATAGGCAAAAAATCCACCGGCTTACCATTTAAAATGATGGAGAATGACACTGATCAAACACATCCCAAAACCAAAATAATTTCTGGTAGAATCTTCTTTAGCATATTAGCAATGACTTTGGCAAAAATCTTGTCAGAGCTTTTACATAAACTTATAGGACAGAACTGACCTGTGTTTTCAGGGGTTTGGACCTTTGGAATCAAGGCAATAAAGGTTTTATTTATCTCTTCCAAGCTGCACGAACCATTACGGAAATCAATAGCAGCACTTGAAACAATATTGCTCATGATCTTCCAAAATTTTTGATATAGATAGATTTGAAACCCGTCTGGGCCACGAGCCTTCCAAGCACCCAACTGCACAGCCGCTGCTTTAACTTCTTCTTCTGTAATTGGGGCAAGAAGGTCACTATTCATCTCTTCCGTCACAATTGACGGGATATTACCAATGATTTCATCCCAGTCTCTAGGGCCACTGGTTCGAAGCAAGTTGCTAAAGAAATTATGAAATTCCTTTCCAATATTTTTTTCTCTAGCAATCCAGTTCCCCCTTTCATTCTTCCATTTTAAAACTCTATTTTGTTGTCTTCTTTGGATTATGGTCAAATGAAATAAGCGAGTATTTGCATCTCCTTCTTTCAACCAGCTAATTCTTGACCTTTGTTTCCAAAACATCTATTCCACCACACTTTTTAGTTCAAATTGTCTACCCAAATTCACATCGCCAAAGCTGCAGTTTTGAAGATTCTCCAACTCCTGTAAACTAGAGTTAATCTTTCCCTTGATGTTTACAAACATCTTCTTGCTCCCTAAACCCTAAACATGAATTTGTTGGTTTGTGTTTACTCTCTCACTTTTGATTTTCTTTTGAGATCTTTCGATCTGACTCTGTAATCAATATACTACTACAAAAATCGAAATAGACGACGGGAAACCACCGTCGTGTAAAAGGTTTTCGCCCGGTCGTGAAATCGATTGCCGTTTATTTGGGTTTCAAACTACGACGGCTTTTCACCGTCGTTGTTTATCAGTAAAGACGACGGTTTTTAAAGAAAATCGTCGTTGTTTAGAGGTAAAGATCGTTAATTATACAAGGAAAGACGACTGTTTTTAATAAAACCGTCATGTATTGTATGTAAAGATGACGATTTTTTAATGAAAACCGTCGTGGATTGTTTATAAAGACGTCATCTTTACATACAATAGACGACCTTTTTTTATAAAAAAAAACGTCATCTTTACATACAATAGACGACGGTTTTTATAAAAAGCGTCATCTTTACGTACAATAGACGACGGTTTTTTATAAAAAGCGTCATCTTTACGTACAATAGACGACGGTTTTTTTTAATAAAAAGCGTCATCTTTACGTACAATAGACGACGGTTTTTTTTATAAAAAGCGTCATCTTTACGTATAATAGACGACGGTTTTATAAAAAACGTCATCTTTACATACAATAGACGACGGTTTTTATAAAAAGCGTCCTCTTTACATACAATAGACGACGGTTTTTATAAAAAAGCGTCATCTTTACGTACAATAATGCTTTTTGATTTCCTATGATGCTATACAACGATTTTAACTAGAAAACCAACCATAATGCTTTATCAAAAATAGTTTCTTTCATAAAACTGGAAGATTCAATAGTTATTACATAGTTAACCAATCTTTATTCTACAACAAACATAATTCCTAACAAGACTTACGTACTCCTAATCCAAGCATTCCTCATCCAAACATACAAATGATGCACAACTGAAGTCTCCTCCATCATCCCTGTAAATAAATCAAAATGACAAAGAGAGAAAAAAAAAGAAGCTAAGATTATAAACATAAAAAATTAGTTGGAAGAGAAATTTTACCATTGGTCCATATTTCCATAGAAAACTTGTAAAATGAGCATTAAAAAGACCATCGAGAACCTGCAAATTTTCAACAACAAAAAAACATACGACTCACATAGAAAACCTGCAAAAGAAAAAGTTATAAATCTGCAAGCTTCCTCCTCATCTCCTGATAACCAAATCAGAAAATCTAAAAAGAAACCAGAAATAATAAAAAAATATGTAAACCAATCAGACAAATCAAGAGAGACAAAATCTGAAATTAGGGATACAAAGAACATACCAAAAACGCAAAGAGACTAATCCAGAATTCACTAGCAAGATATAGAAGGGTATTAAGAGATTAGGTGACTTTCAAATCAAACCTTTCAACCAGCTTTGATTCTCAAATACAGAACATCCTTCTACATCTTATGGATTTGCTAAGACCTCAATCTCTCAACTCCTTCATTGATATCGATCTTTTGATGATTTTGTAGAGAGTTTCATGAGGGTGTTTTAGAGAGTGCATGAGGGTTTTAAGGAGGGAGAGATAAGGTTTTCAGAGACGGGGGAAAATCTGAAAATTTGACAAGCGCGAATTCACTTAAGTAGACTTTTTTTAGTGTGTTTTAAAAGACGACGCTTGTTAATGAAAGATAAGATTTTCAAAGACGGGTGAAAATTTGAAAATTTATCGAGCACGAATTCACTTAAGCGGCCATTTTTTAGCTTGTTTTAAAGACGACGCTTTTTTTTAAAAAAAAATTTGTCATCTTTACATATAATAGACGACGGTTTTTTTATAAAAAGCGTCATCTTTACATATAATAGACGACGTTTTTTATAAAAAGCGTCATCTTTACATACAATAGACGACGGTTTTTTATAAAAAGCGTCATCTTTACGTACAATAGACGACGGTTTTTTATAAAAAGCGTCATCTTTACGTACAATAGACGACGGTTTTTTATAAAAAGCGTCATCTTTACGTACAATAGACGACGGTTTTTATAAAAAGCGTCATCTTTACGTACAATAGACGACAGTTTTTATAAAAAACGTCATCTTTACATACAATAGACGTTTTTTCCCGCTACACTCCTTGACCCTATATGAATACACTGACTGAATTTTTTTCTTATGGCATACGCATTTTAAGAAACTAGTTTCAACGATCCAACCGTCAAACTTGTTTATTTATACTTCGAGATCATCTACACCAAAAATCAAAAAAAATAAACATTCAGAGATAAAGTAACAGGACAAAAAATTTCGACGGTTATAAATGAAAAATCATGATTTAACGGTTATTTTAACTCCGATTTTGATGATTTTTTACCGCTACACTCCTTGACCCAATATGAATACAATGATTGAATTTGATCTTCAATTTAAAATATTTACACTAGTGGATACCACAAAATCTTATGTCATATTTAATGAAAGTATAAATAAACTCTTAATTGTTAGTGAATATATTGTTTTGATGGCATACGCATTCTAAGAAACTAGTTTCAATGATCCAACCGTCAAACATGTTTGTTTATACTTCGAGATCATATACGCCAAAAATCGGAAAAAATAAACATTCAGAGATCAAGTAACGGGACAAAAAATTTCGATATTTATAAATGAAAAATCATGATTTAACGGTTATTTTAACTCTGATTTTGATGATTTTTTACCGCTACACTTCTTGACCCTATATGAATACAATGACTGAATTTGATCTTCAATTTAAAATATTTACACTAGTGGATACCACAAAATCTTATGTCATATTTAATGAAAGTATAAATAAACTCTTAATTGTTAGTGAATATATTGTTTTGATGGCATACGCATTCTAAGAAACTAGTTTCAACAATCCAACCATCAAACTTGTTTGTTTATACTTCGAGATCATCTACACCACAAATCGAAAAAAATAAATATTCAGAGATAAAGTAACGGGACAAAAAATTTCGACGGTTATAAATGAAAAATCATGATTTAACGGTTATTATAACAAACCATCATCTTTACATATAATAGACAACCATTTTTATAAAAAGCGTCATCTTTATATATAATAGACAACCCTTTTTAAAAAAAAATCGTCATCTTTACATATAATAGACGACGGTTTTTATAAAAAGCGTCATCTTTACATATAATATACGACGGTTTTTTTATAAAAAGCGTCATCTTTACATATAATAGACGACGGTTTTATAAAATCATCATCTTTACATATAATAGATGACGGTTTTTAAAAAAATCGTCATCTTTACACATAATAGACGACGGTTTTTATAAAATCGTCATCTTTACATATAATAGACGACGGTTTTTAATAAAAATCGTCGTCTTTACATATAATAGACGACGGTTTTATAAAATCATCATCTTTACACATAATAGACGACGATTTTTATAAAAATCGTCATCTTTACATATAATAGACGACGTTTTTTTATATATAAAAAGTGTCATCTTTACATATAGTATGACGTATGATAACAAAATCAAAGAAATAAATTGATAAAAAAAATTCGTATTAAGACGACGGTTTAAATATAAGGTATGACGTATAAAGGGAATAAATATGACGTTAAATTTTATAATACGTCGTTAAATGAAAAACAAACGTGGTGAGATTTAAAGATACCGTCGTAGAACTATATGAGAAAGACGTCGATATATTTTTATTTTCCGTCGTTGTACATTAATTTAATACGGCGATATTTTGTATTTTACCGCCGTGGATTTATTTGTAATTATATGGCGCCTTATACGAAAACTTGGTCGTGTTATTTTCTGCGTAAAAACGGCGGCTTTTTTTGAAATCGTCGTCTTTACTTTCTACGTCGGTCAATTTATAACTTCTGCCGTTCTTTATTTGCTTTGATTTTACACTGCGGAAATATTGTTTCAAATATATGTCAGTTTTTTAATTAGGTACGTCGTTGTTTATGAACAACCATTTGAATCTCCATTTTTTAGGTGTCTAAGGTGTTATTACACGGTGGTTTTATAGAACCGTCGTCTTTTAAAAAACAACGACGGTTTTCACTTAGACCGTCGTCTTTTTCTGGTCGTCTTTGTCTCTTTTTGTAGTAGTCCCCACATTTGATATCAAATGTGGGGGTTCGAAACTTATCTTGGGCCTCGAATTTTTATGTCGATGTTTCGCGCTGGGGAATTTTGGCTTATTGCTGGGCTGATAAGATGCCCTCTGCAAGGTGTGACGATGCAATTGGTTTCTTGATGTGCAATTAGAATATTACGAAATGAAAGATGAAGTAAAATGTGTTGTGTGTCTTGTTATCTGATAAAAATATGTACATTAATGGTATCCAATTGTTCCATTCCATATTATTGTTCACTCCTTATGTTGACCTAAGTAAATTAATTGACAAAAATTGAAAAAAAAAATGCAATAATAAATTAATTGGACCACATAATGTAGCAATTGCATATAGTGGCCAATTTAATTAACTAAGAAGAGGAAGGAAAAAGTTTCAACAATAACAATCATTTATGTGCAAATTACCCAGGTACATAAAAAATTGACGACATGAAACATGAGGCAATGCCAATTGGATTACATAATCTACCAATCGCACACTGAACATGCAATTGACTCCAGTCACCAATGTAATTCAATTCACTATGAATGGAAAGGAAAATCAACGTAGGCTAGAGAAATCCTTCTCAAAATTGACTTTCATAAATTATTTGAATTTTTTTGTATGTCATTTTTATATTTTAAAGTGTCAAAGATGGCGGAAATATCACAAGGAGTTCATCTGATTTTTGGGTTTTTTTATATTTATTTTTTTATGAATTTATTATGAATTTTGGAAGTTTAAACATTTAAGATAAAAATAAATTCAAGACAATAACACATGGCAGTGTGTGAGTGGTGCGCCGCTAGTTTCTTCTGAAATGTGTCACTCTTCGGTGGTGCCATGTGTTATTTAGATTTCCTTTTTCTATTTTGTTCTTTTTTCTTAAACAATTCACACAAAAAATCAAAATAATACATCCAAAATTGCTAAAAACTCCTTACGACATCATCTTCAACTACAAAGCGTTAAAATCAAATTTGGACTTAGGAAAATTAAAAATCAACATTTTGGAGGAAGAGTTGTAGTGAAGAAAGTTAAGACATGTCTAGTAACGTTTTTGAAGAATGTTTTCTGAGAATATTTTCATAGAATGAAAACAAAAAAACAAATTTGTATTTTCAGGAAATGAAAATGCGTCTGGTAGATAATTAGAAAACATCTTTAGAAAACAAAAACAATGAAAACGTGTCTGGTAGTACAATTGTTTTCATGTGTATTTTTGCTAATTTCAGTTCTAATTTTTTTTTAATTCTGATATTTTTAGAGGCTAAAATTATTATAAACAATGAAAATATGTCTGGTAGTACAATTGAGAATAATATTATGTGAATTATTTTTCAAGGGTATTTTTGCTAATTTTTGTTTTGAAAAAATATTTTTAAAAATGCATAATTTAACAAATGAAAAATTTTATTGTTTTTTAAAAGATAAAACTATCTTTTATCTCCTTTTTCTTCTTTTCTTTCTTTTTTCCTCTTTTTTCCTTCCCAGACCCGTTCCTTTTTCTTTCCTTCTTCCCCTTCTCTACTTTCTCTTTCTTCTTCCTTCCCTCTTTTTCACTCTCACTCCTCCTTCCTTCCATTACATGAATCCCATCAACCCACCTCTCCGGTTCCACTAATTAATGGTTGTGGTGGTTAATTTGGGTGGTGATGGTGATTGAGTTGGGTATGTGGTGGCTGGTTTCTCTCATCTCTCCCTCTACAACTCTCTCTCTCTCTCTCTCTTCCCTTTCCCTTCTTCTCCCTTTTTCTGATTCTTTCTCTTCTTCTTCTTCCCCTTTTTTTCTTTTCATCTTCCTCTCTGTCTTTTTTTCTTAGTTGCAGATTTGTGTGATTATGAGTTTTTTTTTCTTGAAATTTTGGGGCTGATAATGGTTGGAAGGAGGAGATTTGATAGTTTTGGATATAATTTGATTGGATTGTTTGCTCAAGTGATGGAGGAGAGTTGGCTTTGATTCGGAGAGACTGAAAACAAAAACGCCGAAAACGAAAATGACTTTCTGACGTTTTCAACATTTATTCACACTTTCATTTTCATTCTCAAAAAACAATTTATGCTTGTTTCTCAAAATAACCCACCGAACACATTTTCATGTGAAAACAGAAAATTACCCTTGAAAATGATACCGAACGGGCCCCTAGGTGGCTTCAAAAAATATTTTTCGGCACCATTTTTTGTTTAATAAAAATGAAAACATGACAAAACGCACTCGGTGAGCCAAGTCGTGAAAACGCAGAAAACGAAATTCTGAAAACATATTCAATATTACGCTTTAAGTTCAAAAACATCCCAGAGACGTTTTCCACCTTTTCATAAACGCCGGATTTGCAATAGGAAACAAAGAACAAAAAACTCCCTTTCTTTTCCGGGAGAATTTCACTCACCCCTTGAGATTAGGTGACAGGACCTGCCTCAAATTCTTCGAAACCCGAGGCGAATCTTGTGGAAATGCCTAACATCACACCGATGTCAGGCCCACTCACTACAACCATAACCTCCTTTTCCAAAGAGAAATAAAGGCACAAGACTTTCTGCCAAAATTTCGGCAGTCTCCCCTGTAAATCGAACATTTCTCAAAAATTTCAACCTGCATAAAACACATTTAATATCACCAACTGGCAGCATGCACATAGACGGCTTCCGACCTTCAAATAATCCGAAGCGAAACCACCAACACACTCTGAAGTCAATTAATACCTTAAACAAGGCAAACAATAAATTCAATCACACTTAGGAATGTCACAGCAATCCACTACATTTAATTTTCTCAACATCCAACATACGAGGTTTTAACCTCCTAACCAAAACACGTCTAGTTCTCACTCAAATAGCAGGACCAACGACAAGGTCCGCATCATACTCAATAATACACAAGTAAAGTTTAACTCACGGCTGCACCTAGGCATTACCATAGGCTGCCTACGTACCCTCACGGAGGGATCAAGCCACACGTATTCTTTCCTCCAAAATTTCCAAAACCATCAACATGAAATTAATTACCGAAATACCAAACAAAATCTTTTTCAAACATCATTCGTTCCCAACTCGGTCTAATAATCCTTAATCCATCTCTCTAATAATCACATAATCTGCCCATACGCCGGAAAATCCAACGCCACGTATGGGGCCTGTCAACACGCCGGAAAATCCTATGCCACGTGCGACCTCAACATAATATCACATAATCTCCTCATATGCCGGAAAATCCAACACCGCATATGGGATCTGTCTCAACGCCGGAAAATCCTACGCCACATGAGACCTAACAATCACATCACATAACCTCCTCATATGCTGAAAAATCCAACGCTGCATATGGAGTCTATCAACACGCCGGAAAATCCTACGCCACGTGCGACCTCAACATAATATCACATAATCTCCTCATATGCTGGAAAATCCAACGCCGCATATGGGGTATGTCTCAACGCCGGAAATTCCTATGCCACATGAGACCTAACAATCACATCACATAACCTCCCCATATGCCGAAAAATCCAACGCCGCATATGGGGTCTGTCAATACGCTGGAAAATCCTACGTCACGTGCGACCTCAACATAATATCACATAATCTCCCCATATGCCGGAAAATCCAACACCGCATATGGGGTATGTCTTAATGCCGGAAAATCCAACGCCGCATATGGGGTCTATCAACACGCTGGAAAATCCTACGCCACGTGCGACCTCAACATAATATCACATAATCTCCCCATATGCCGGAAAATCCAACGCCGCATATCGGGTCTGTCTCAATGCCGGAAAATCCTACACCACATGAGACCTAACAATCACATGATGGTACTTATCCAGTGTAATCAAACCTCTTTAAACTTATATATATATATATATTTCCCCCAATAAAATAATAATCCTTATTTCCAAATTTCTTCTAGTTGAAAACAATAAGCAATACCACAATCCCACCAAGTCAACATAACTCAACTAACGCTCAAGACCTGTTCCTATGGTCATTTTGATCCTCCTAAGAAGGTAAAACTACCCCAAAAGACTCATGGTCAACCAATGGTCAAACTACCCAAACTTGGTCAAACGGGCCCACGACCTCCGTTCTCCGATCCGAAAGTTCCTATGTGTTCTACAAGGCTTAGGACACACGTCCTGCAAGTTTGGTCCAAATTGAACAGTCGGATTGCTCACGATCGCATGATCGGGCGATTATTGTAAACCTAGCCCTAGGGTTGGCATTCTCGGAGTATCCGGGACACCGTTTTCCGATCCGTCGAATCCTATACAATCCTAAAAATTCCTAGATCATCATATGTCAAACTCACGACGATCCAACGTTTCAAACCTACCAAACCCGGATAACGCACAATATGCGATATCCGTTCGAGACTCAAACGGTATCCAAATTGAAATCCGAGCACACCTACGTACTCGTGAGGACCAGGAGATTACATCGGGACACAATGCCCTTTTTCTACAGTTCCCACGCGCCACCACACGCGCAGGCAGCGCGTGGGTGTCCAAAGCGATAACGCTTCACTAGAGAATCTCAAAATTACGGCTCAAGACTCCTACCTTAGGTATAACACCCTATTTGGAACACCTTTGTTCTTGGACCTACCCCAAAAACTAACCGGAAGTCGTGGCCGTAATCTCCGGCCGAAATCCAATTCGAAAGTCAAACAACCTAGGCTAAAAATTGATGCAATCCTACCCAACCATCAGCTAGATTATGAAGAAATGATGAATTTCCATACCTTGATCGCCAGAAATGGCGGCCGGAAGAGAGAGATCGAAAACCACGAAGTTTCGATCGAAAACCGGGCTTTTCTCTTCGTTTTTCAGGCAAAATCACGGCGGATGGTGGTGTGGCTTGTCTGGGGTTGGAAGAGGACGGCGGCCCAGTCATTTTGGTACTGGCCCCGACAACTTTGGAGGTCGGACTAGAGCACGGCCTGCCAAAACATGGCCAGCTGTTACTGCCGTCGCTAGAAAGGAGAGAGAAAGAGAGAGAGAGAGGGACTGCGCAGAGGAGAGAGAGAGAGAGAGAGAGATGAGGGCTTTTCTGACTTTTGACAACCCTTTTCGTAATATTTACGATTATGCCACTGAGGGTATTTTGTTCGTATCTCTCTCGTTACAACTCCGATTCGAGCTCACTACGTGTCTATGAACTCGTATCATCGTGCTCTACGCAACAGTACAGTCGAAATTCTCAAATTTCTTCCTGATCAAAAAGTCAACTTTAAAACTAATATAATATTCTAGGGGGAAAATGGTCTTTTATCATGTTTAATTAATAATTAAACATTTATTTAGGACCGGGTCATTACATTAGGCATAATTACAATCAAATCCCATAGGTTTCATTTATTGCAGTCACACCTCCTAAATCTAAAGGAAGTTAACTCAACTTAAAAGTTCTGAGATATAACCATCCTTTCGCTTTGTGAAGCTCTCATCTGCCGAGGCACCCCCTTGGGGTTTTTCTTTAAGCTTGCGGTTGTTCTTGCTACTTAACTTATCTTTGCTCTGACCTGCCCGCTTGGAGGGTTGATCAACTTGCTTGGCAACCTTTTTCACTGTTAGGAGCGATAGTCAGCTCGCAAGCACTTCTTGAAAGCTAAGGAGGTGATTCGATCATCGCACCTCACGATGTTAGCTTTCTTCACCTTGAACCTTTTGATGTAGTCTCACAGGGACTTGTCAAGCTTCTTACGCATATTGAACAGGTGGTCAACTTGCTTTTTGATCATCTAGTAGGAAGTGTACTCTGTTGTAAAGACAAGCGCTAGCTCCTTAAAGTTGTTGATTAACTCAGACGGTAAGGTATGAAACCAGTCTTGAGTTGCTCCTCCCAAGATCATTGTAAATACCTTGCACATCAACTCATCCTCAGACTTGTAGAGAAGCATGACACTTTTTAAATGCTTCATATGGCTCTCATGATTGAAATCCCCTTTGAACCCCTTTGAATGGCGTGGAAGATGGAGTTGTGAATTGCCTTGGAGGGTCTGCCAGCTCGATCTTGCTGGTGAAAGGAGAGGAGTTTACTTGGTCCACTTCTTTGTGCAGGACATCCTCCAAGTCTCCTCAAATCTTCAAGTCTCAAAGTTGGTCATTCACGAGCCTCTCAGCATTCTCTACTCGCAAGGCTTGTAGTTAACTTTGGTGTCTCCCATGGTGCGAGCGTCACTGATTGGCCTCCTCATTAACTCTTCGGGGTTGATCCCCTTGGCTGTCTTGCTTGCGCGGTGTATTGGTGAATTGGGCTTGCTAGGGATTCCCTATGGCTTGTCGCCGGGCACTAGCTCTGGCGAAGCGGGCTGACGACGTCTTTCTTCACGTACTTCTAGAGGATGGTCATGAGATTGATCTCCTTGAACCACATCAATTTGCTTGAGGAGTTGTCCAACCAAGTTGTTTTGATCGTCTACTCTTTGAGCCAGTTGGTCGACTTTAAGGTTGTGGTCCGCTTGACTGCTTGGATATGGAGGAGAGAATCATGTAGAGCCCAATTACACGCACGCTAAGGTTTCATTTGAGGTGTATGTGGGAGCATACGTCAAGTGTGGTGGCAAATGAGGAAAAGGATGAAGGTGTTCCACAACTGGGCCAAGGTTGACGGCTGCGCCAAGATGGCCTTTTCCATTTCAGCAAATGGATTGTCTTGAGTAGTGGTGTCGCCATAGGTCGCGGCAGTGTCGTGTGTCGAGGCATTGCTGTGGAAGATAGCGTCAGATCCAACCACTAGGCCACGCGGCGGCACGCTGGTTCTAGCCTCAAAGGCTTGCGGCTACAGTGCAGTTCTACTATGGAGCTATGAGGTGAAGGGTTTAGGCCCGTTGCAGATTGAGTTTTAGCAATGACCCTGCTTCTTGTGCACATGCTTCCAACCATAGTTGTTTGGAAGGCTTCGATTGAGTGATGAATAGGAGAAAACATATTCCTTCGATTATGAGCATACATTGAGTATAACTCATGCTCTTAATGAAAGCACCAAAATGTTTGAGCAAAACTCCGCACAGGGAATATTCGCCTCTTGATTCTTCAAACCTTACAATCTCCTTCTCTTTCCTCCTGTCCTCAAACCCTGTAAAAAAGATCGGGGTTCATGGACCACACCTGTGGAATGTTCGCCAAAGGCTCTCCGATTCCTAAGTTAGTTCTATTAGATCTTGAAATAGATACGAAAATAGCTAAAGTTGACGGAGTTTTCTCTCATGGGGAGAGCTGGGTAGCTGAGTCTTGTGGGAGAGAGATATATATATATATATATATATAATTTTGACAGAGTTTTACTAAGGTTTTTTGAGTTACCTTGTGTGTTGAATGTAGCCATGTATTTATAGGGCTCTAGCCATCTTAGGGTTTTTCAAAGAATAAATCCTATTAGGAAGGAATATTTTTTTTTCCCTTAAATGGAGAGATTGAGTCAATTAGGGATATGATAATATCCCCAATTTAAGATATATCCCAAAATGACGATAATATCCCCAATTAAAGATAATATCCTTATTTTGTTTGTCTTAATTAATTGGCCAAATAAATGGGCTCAATTACTGACCTAAGTGATATTCTTCTTGTTCACGTGGCGCCTCATAATTGGAATCCAAAATATTTGTTCCCACATATACCACACTATAATACACAACTAGCCCTGATACAGTGCATGCAGTGCACATGCTCCACTTTTAGCCCCAGGTATTGTGCGAGATGTGCAGCCATACAAAGGCTAAAACATGGCAGGTCGTTCCTCTACCCATCCCCACTTTTGACTTGCTAGAAGAAGCTGTTGGCCCAACTGGCACTTGGGTTGGATGGACCCTGCTAGAAGTAGCAGGCGTTTGGCCCCAAAGAAATAAAAAGAGATCATTAAAATGGAAAATGACACTTGATCTCTGTATCTCTTGCAAGAATTCTATTGTGAGGGCATATATATGACCCTTAGGTGAGACTATATCTCTTAACCATTAGATCAAACTGGTTAATTGTTTGATTAAATTGGTTAGCTTGATCCAACAATTAAGAAATAGAACCTCACTAAGGGCCATATATAAGGCCCTCACTATAGAATGACTCGTATCTTTTGACACAAATTATAATATTGGTAAATTTTGAATCATATTTATACCTTTTCTTGGCACTTGGACTTCCATACAGTACAATTTAGAATTATTCGATGCAACTTTTTTGGGTCAATTTATTCGATGCAACTTGGTTTAAAGTATGAGGAAATCTAAACAGTGTGAAGCAAAGCAATGATAAACGTCCTAAGCTAAGACTTGCCACCCCACAAAGGCAATGTTTGCTGCATTGTACAAAACTAGGCCTTTGAATTGAAAGCTGAAACAGACGTCTAATGGCATTTTCCATTTCTTCGGCTTCTGAAAGGAGACAGACAGATGTGCTTGTTTTTAATCAACACAACTTTAGCTTTCGGTTCGGAAATGTAACGTAAAGAAGGGTCAAGCTTCACGTAACCAAAAAAAAAATATAGAAAACCAATCACAAATAGCTTGGTCATTTGATTATTATCACCGTCGTTTTTATTTGATCACGGATTTTAAATTTTTTTAGTTGAGCTAAATAAAGAATTCAAACTTTGGGAAAGACTTGTATCAATTACTCTATGTTTAACATTTTCGGATCATTGGGGAGTCGGGGGATTGTAATTTAAAACTTCTTTTATCATCGGGAAGAGAAGTGTCAGTAGGTATGAATAAAGACTTGAAAAATAGATAATTCATATTGTTGAAATAAAATTTGTATGAGTCTCAAAACATGTTTCGCAAATAAAATTATTTCCCTCAACTATTGCTGCTTCAAAAGGATTGACGCCTACTTTGCCATCAACTTGCATGGGCCTTGGTTTGTCATCCATTTCTCCATGGTTGGCTTCAATCTTCACGTGGGTTTTCAGTCTACACGTTAAGCACAGAAAGCAAAACAAAAAGCCATGGCTCATAGAAACTCCACATGGAAAGATGTGCTACCATGGGACATGAAAAACCACATGGGCGGCCACGCTAACTGTGAGAACAAATAATCCAGCTTCCAATCATGAGACATCACGTGGACAAAAAGAATAGCACCCAGATCAATAATTGAGTCCATTTATTTGGCCAATTAATTAAGACAAAAAATAGGAAGATTATCTTAAATATAAGATATTATCTTTATTTGGGGATATTATCATCAATTAGGGATTTAATTCTAATTGAAATCCCTAATTAACTCAATCTCTCCATTTAAGGGAAATGATATATTCCTTCCAAATAGAAATTAATCTTTGAAAAACCCTAGTTAGAGCCCTATAAATACATACCTACATTCAACACACAAGGTAACTTGATTTCCCTACCCGAAGCTTTGTCAAAATTATATATATCTCTCTCTTGTCACCACTCTCTCTCTCTCCTCTCTCTTACACAGCTCCGACCACCACACGCGGCCCCGATATTGCTTCATAGAAAACAAGGGTTTGAATATATACATAATTGTAATGCATAATGATTTTAGGAAAATTTTGAATGTGTATGTGGGACCTACCTGATACTATAGAATTACCAATGAATTTTCAAAGACATGTCAATCCATGGATTGGCAATGACATATGAATATTTCGCATATTGCCCTATGTGTCACTTTTAGACAACTGGCACATTTGGAATCCAAATTTTGGACTGAGACTCACACGTAAAATTACTAATTTTCATCGACAAATGTGATTATTGGATTGAATTTGACAAGACAATTTATAACAATTATAGGTCCAATATATATATATATATTTTTTTTTTCACCCAAACAAAAATTATTAATGTATTTTTTATACGATTGATATGATATTTACATAATACATTTACAATAGACTAATACACCCACAACAAAACTACACCACCACCACCACCACAATAATATTATACAAAACTAGATATTGAACTCATCCCAAATATATATCATCCTCATCATAAGTCGAACTTGAGACCTCTACTAACTAAGTGTAAACATGTTGATTTTTCTAACTGATTACTTTTTTCATAAAAATACAAAACCAAAGTGCGAAAAAAAACTAAATCAAAGTGTGAATCGATCGGGATTTGTTCTGTTTTTGTCCCCCTCCCCCCTCTCTCCCATTAGAGGTATCAAACAAGTCGACCCGACCCACTTAATAAATGATTCCGACCAAGTTCATTCATTTATGAAAATCATTAAGTCCTGCTCAAGCCCGCTACCTTAGCCAATATAGGATCAGGGTGGGCTCACGCTAGGCCACTAAGATATGGGTCAACTCCAAACTTGACTTATGGATTGCTTTTTTTGAATTTTTTTTTTTTACAATTTTATTTCAATCCTTTTAACAATTATGTAAATACTAATAAGATTTATTATTTGTTGGAAAAAGAAGCCAATGACTCTAAGTACATTTAAATAGAAAAAGACTAGACTATTGTTCAGGTTTAACAAATTGAAACTTGAATAACAAAATTATTATTTTATTTTTAAAGAAAGCATTGATTTTTAAAATCTATTATTAGAGAAAAGAAATAGACTTAATTTAATATGTAAACATTATAAATTATGTATTATTTTTCTAAAAAAAATATATAATTCACTAAATGGCCCGCCCACTTGGACCAAATTATGTCATCCTGGCCCGCCAAAAAATATGGGCTGGACTGTGCCGGACCTTACATAACGGGCTATATTCGCATCGTGCTCAGTCCGTCCTGGTACGTTTGACACCTCCAACCCTCATAAAAATGAAAAGAGAACGCGTCCAAGAGGAAAGAGTCCAACACCATGTCCAACGCAAGAATGCAAGCCCAATATAAGTAGAGCCCAAAAGAGTACGGATGTCCAAACCGTTGCCGTCACGAAGGCTTCATGACTTTCCTAAAAAAGTCCCTTCAATACTCTCCAATCCTTCTTTCGATAAATACCCTCACATCCCCTTCCTCTCCTATTAAGATCTTTCAGCTCACCCAAACAAGGGGAGAAAGAAACAACAAAGGAAAACTCTCATCTTCCAAGCTTTCCCATCTCCCAAAGACCATTTCCCCGAGAAAATACTGTAATCTTATAGAGAAATGTCCGATGCGTATTGCTCCGACTGCAAGCGCCAGACGGAGGTGGTTTTCGACCACTCGGCGGGAGACACGGTGTGCTCCGAGTGTGGATTAGTGTTGGAATCTCATTCCATCGACGAGACCTCAGAGTGGCGTACCTTCGCGAACGAGTCCGGCGATAACGACCCGGTCCGTGTTGGTGGGCCCACCAACCCACTATTGGCCGATGGCGGGTTGTCCACCGTCATAGCCAAGCCTAATGGGGCATCTGGTGAGTTCTTATCTTCGTCGTTGGGGCGGTGGCAGAACCGTGGGTCGAATCCGGATCGGGGCTTGATTCTGGCCTTCAAAACCATCGCCACCATGTCTGATAGGTATGTGCTTGTTGCTGCGATATTGTGGGAAGGTATTTTGGTTCGTAGAAAAATCCGAGGTTTCTGGTATTTTTAGGTTTTGTAACTGGATTTTGGGTTTCCTTTGAGGGTTGAAGTTGGATGAGAAAGATGATGATTGGTAATGGGAAAGTAGAAATGGCAGAGGTTTGTAGTAGTTTAAGGTTTTGTAACTGGATTTGGGTTTTGTTTGAGGGTTGAATTTGGATGAGGAGGATGCTGATTGGTATTGGGAAAGTAGAAATGAAATTGAAAATCCAAAGCTGAACATCTAATTAGCTTGGGTTGGGAAATTTTTATTACAATTTGAAACCATAACTGTTAATCAACTTTTCAAGATTAAATTTGGAATTTGGTTTAAAATCAAATGAGAGTATTGCCCTTTATGATCATCATGTAATTTCATGAATCTAAGTTGATAGATATATGAGATATATGAGGAGATTGAAATATTAATCTCAGGTATACTGTAATCAATTGCATTGGACAAATTGAAATTATTAAGCTTTTTAGTTTTTTCAAAACAACTAAACTATTAAGTTCAATCCCACATATATTAGAGTAGAGTAGGATATTCAAATATCAGTATCTTTAACACTCATAGGTGATTGGTTTTTGTTACACTTTTTCATCTGTCAAAATCTTGCTTCTTCCCTATTGTAATGTGTGATGATATTATATCAAAAGTTATTCACATGATGTGTTAAATTTCTCTTACGATGAGATTATTTGTAAACTACTGTAAAGAAAATAGCTGATGTTGTAACATTATGTTTCAGGTTGGGCCTTGTTGCAACCATCAAGGTATGCTATTTTGCGTACTATAAACATTTATTCACGGGGACCATTAATAGTTCTAGTACACTCATATGCCTACCAAATTCATGCATAAAATTTTAGCGACTCATTATTGTGGATACATTTAAGGTCAAAGAAAAGCTTTGTCCATTATTTTATTTTGTGATTGTGTGATACAAATGAAATATGGAATGAAATATGGCTGTTATATTATAAGAGAATAAAAGTTACTATAAATTCAGTTTTGAATATTTGTTGAAGTATACCTTAAAACTTTGTCCATGGCCTTGCACCACATAATTATACTTGCAGGGGATGATAAGCATTATTTCTTAGAAAATTCTAAGTAGCATCAGAACACTACTGCACATTTTCATTTTAACAGTATTTTGCTTCTTCAAGTATCCTTGATAAATTAATTATATAATTGAAAAACAGAAGTGGCTACAAGTGAAAACCCTGAGTCTATTTATTAATTACTTTTTCAACATACTACTTTTCCGGGGAAAACATTTCAGACGAACTTTTCTACTATGCCTGTCTTGTTTGATTCAACTGTTTCGTTCTGAGTTGAAGATAAATTTTCCTTTTTTAACTGAGACTAGCGGTATATGGATAAAAGGGTGGACAATCAGTAGATCATTTTACTTCTACAAGGTTTGGCGTCTTGTGGTTTCTGGATACTGATCTTTTTCCATTTTGGTGCTGATTGGGTGAATACTGATTTGGTGATCTTGTTGGATTATAAAATTTGATAAAGAATAGGCTTTAGTTGCTTCTGTAGCTGTTCCATCTTGCTTTGATGTGGCACGTTTGGCTTGAGAGGAACATTATAAAAGTCGAGTGGGATGGGTTATCCTTGAGACTTGATTCAGGGTTTTTATTTATTTTCTAATTTTGAGAGAGACAGAGAGAGTGCATTATCTTCACATCACAGCAAAACTTGTATTAACATATCTGCTGCAATTAGGAGTGTGATAACAAGTTGTGAATTGTTTGTGCTGATTTTTATGTTTTTGCATCATGTAGTTGATAATTATTTTAGTAAAAAACTTCTGGTAAAATCTTGAAAAGTATATATTCTTTTTTATGTACAGGAATCTTAAGCACTTCTTGTAGTCTGTGTTGTTACATTTAATTGGATGTAGAAGGTTATGATTGTACCTTCGGTGGACTGTTTGTTCATTACTGTTGCATTGTTGTTTTGTTTAAATTAATAAAATCCTCTGTTGTTTTGTTTAAACTAATAAAAGGGATCTTAAGAACTTATATTCATAGCCTGCTATTTCGTGGGATTTGAGTATTAGATGATGAGGTTTTTATGTTTTGATTTGAAGGATCGGGCTAATGAGATATATAAGAGGGTGGAAGATCAGAAATCTAGTAGAGGAAGAAATCAGGACGCATTATTGGCTGCTTGCCTATATATTGCTTGTCGACAAGAAGACAAGCCACGCACTGTAAAGGGTACAGTTTATGACTTTTTTAACATCTGGATGCTTCCTGAATTACTTTGTGTATGAGCTTCCCTGAACCTGTGGATTTCAAATAGAAATTTGCTCCGTCGCCAATGGAGCCTCAAAGAAGGAAATTGGCCGAGCAAAAGAATATATAGTGAAACAACTGGGACTAGAGAAGGGTCAGTCAGTGGAGATGGGAACAATACATGCCGGGGACTTTATGGTGAGCTACATATATAGGCATAAATTCTTAGTTACTTTTTTCCTAGTTTGTAGTTGCTACTGACTTAATAGCAACTGAACTGTAGAGGCGCTTCTGTTCCAATCTTGGAATGAATAATCAAGCAGTCAAAGCTGCCCAAGAAGCTGTGCAAAAGTCGGAAGAATTTGATATAAGGTAGTTCCTTTTGTTATGCATTATGCTGAAAATAATGTATATTTTCATGATTGCATATTTGCATGACTGATTTTACCTTTCTTATTGTGTATACTGTCATCATGGTCCCATAGATTCATTTGCACCATTTATCAATTTCCACTGATTCTTTTTTTTTCCCTCATCATCACGGAAAAGATAAGGATGGACCCAGAAATATTGAAAAACGTAACATGATCAAAATAGCTTATTCGAATTGTTTATGTTTAAAACATTCATTGTGGAGACCAATGGCAAGGCATCATAAAGGATTGGCTGATATAAGGTGAAGTGCTGTGTAGAGGGGCAAATTGGACTAATAAACAAAATGATCTTGTGCAATCCTGTGTTCAACTATTCAAACAGCCCTAAATGACTTAAGGAATGCCCATTCTCTCTTCAAATATTAGGCCATCTTTGGGTGAGCTTGGCAGTCTTTTTTTTCCGGTCAATCTCTTGGCAATCCGTTTAAACGAGACGAGCGGCTGAGCCCTAAGAATTGATCTGTTTTGTTCATTTTCCTGCACTTCTGTTTTGTTCATTTTCCTGCACTTCTGTTTTGGACAGTGATGAGGAATTACAGGATATAATGAAAAGTTTATCATAATGGTTTTGATTCCTTAACATTAGACATAATGGTCACAAATGGCATTCCCTGGTTCCATTTGAGGAAGTTAATATCAGAATTCTGATGCCTTAAGTTAATATCTGATTCATACATTTGTTGTCTTGATAGATTCTTTATCTTGAGATCGGTCCTTGAATTATGATGAACTTTATAGTACTTGCTTTTGATGATGGCCTGTTTCTTTTTCATCTCTCAATTCCAGGAGGAGCCCTATATCGATAGCAGCAGCAGTTATTTATATTATCACTCAGCTTTCAGACGATAAGAAGCCTCTCAAAGGTTCAGTATCGTCCTCCCTCTTAGAAACTAATTGAAAAATGTAGTTGAAAGCTTGTGAACTGAACATATGGCCTGCATCACCTGTAATTATTGGGTTTATTGGTAGATCCAAGACTTGATCGGTTTCACATCACCCGTAATTTAATTACCCATAATTTTTATGGTTTTCTAACAAGTGCTGATTTAAGTAATGGCCACTGTGAGTGCAGATATCTCAGTTGCTACAGGAGTAGCAGAAGGAACAATCAGAAACTCATACAAAGACCTTTATCCCCATGTATCAAAGATAATACCCAACTGGTATGCAAAGGAGGAGGATCTCAAGAATCTTTGCAGCCCTTGAAATGTAGGCCGAGCGGATTCATCAAGAACGACGAGGAACGTGAATTCTACCGGAGCGCTTTTTCTTGGGTTGTATTTTAACCGTCCAATGTATGAACAATGCAGAAGGCTTAAATTGTTTCGAGAATTCTTTTTCATAGTAAATTACTAAATTATATCTTTCAATTGACGCAATTGAGATATATGCTTGAAAAAGCATGTTTTCTGACTTTTTTTCAATTCAAAATAAATTTTCACCTATTATCTGCCTGAAATTGTGATCATTTTAGATTCTATTTAAATTTTGATAAAATTCCAAAACCGTCCAATGAAACTGTGGCCATTGCAAATGAATTGGATATTTCAAGTGGAGGAGTATTTGAGGCTAAAAGATATATTTTCAAATCCCCTGAAATTCGTGCAAGCTTAATGAGAGCCCAATGTGTTGTGTTGGAGCGCATTCTTAAGCTTGATTAGGAAAATAATAACGGAAGAATATGAGTAGCGTGACGTGGAGGTTTGTGACTCAACTCTTCTGTGCAGCATTAACCAAATTATATCACGATTTGCATAGCATGTCGTCTTCAAATTAAGTCTCACGTTCTACTAGTGTTCCTTTCCGTTAACTCTGCCTATTTTTCAGTCAAAATTCTTCTTCTCTTACTTCGATTCGAGTTGAATCATTTCTCGATGAATTGAAAGTAGTCACTGGATGCTCGTGGTCCTTCGGTCTTGATTCATGAATTTGGTTGTCAATGACGTCAATTTGGTAACCGAACCATATCCATTGTAAGAGCACTTCCATTGCTGCAGTTTGGCCCTGGTAGGAGGGGGTCCAAGCCCCATGTTGCACTTCCAGCGGGCTTCAGCAGCTCGGGCAGGAGGTGGGTTTTAAAATTTTTTATCGTTGTCCTGGGTTGTCTGATCGTTATTTATCCTCCAATCCAACGACTGCCATTTAAAATAAAAAAAATTATAAAATATTCAAAATATTTTTTAAAAAATACAAAAAAATTCTGAATTTTTTTTTCTATAATACCTACCAATATTTCTCATTTTCCACACCAAATCTTCATACATTTTCTTGTCCTTCCAATATTATTCACTTTCCACACCAAATTTTCTTCACTTTCCAATTCATTTGTGTTGAAATAAAAATGGCATCTTCCATCAAAGCCGAAGGGGCATGGACAACCGTTTAAGATGTTTTGTTATGTGAGTGTTGGATCCAAGTTGGTCATTGCCCTATCACGAGCAATGAGATGAAGTTCTCTCATATGTGGAGAAAAATTCATGCCAAATTTTGTGAAAGATCGGGCCACTCGTATGGAAATGGCCTTGGCTAGTAGGTGGAAAATTTTGAATAAAGAGTTAGGGAAATGGAGAGATGCGTTGACAAAAGCGAGGGATAACATTCAAAGAGGCCAAAATCTTGGCAACGAGGTAAATTATTAGTAATTGCCGTTTTATTAAATTTAATGTCCTATTTTTTCAATATTTTATTTAATAGATTATGCAAGCACAAATGTGGCTCGGTGCCATTAGTTAGGCAAAAAATCTTCAACAATCACCAATGTTGGGAGGTGATGAAAAATTGTTCAAGATTCAAAATTATTCCCACGGGTCCGACCGTTGTGTTGAATGAGACGTCGCTCCACAATTCAACGACATTGGATTCGCCTTTGGATTTCTCAATGAATCAAGACTCACCAATCCAAAAGGAGCCAAGGCCTATTGGGAGAAAGGCGGCGAAGGCCAACAGAGGGAGTAAGTCCACCAATGATACTGCAAAAATTTTGGAGCAAATTGCTCTAAACGGCACAATGAGAATTGAGAGAGACATGAAAAGAGATTTGGATGAGAGGACAATGTATGAAGAATTTGCAAGAGAAAGGGAGTAAGCACACAAAAAAGACATGGAGAAGAAGGATTGGGAAACCATGGCCATGGATACGAGCCATATGTCCCCTGAATCAAAGTCATTTTGGAAGTTAGAAACAAAGTCATTTTGGAAGTTAGAACGGAGTGATGTTATGAGAAGAAGGCTTTTCTGTGACGATACCTAGCAATATTGATTGGTTAAATGATGAAAACCATTAGGTTATATTGCTTGTCTTTTATTTAATTAATTGTATTGCTTGTCTTTTATTTAACTAGTTGTATTTCTTGTCTTTTATTTAATTAGTTGTATTTCTTGTCTTTTATTTAATTAGTTGTATTGTTTTCTTTTATTGAATAAAGAAAGCATTCAATAATATAGCTATTTATTTAACACATTTCTTTGTTTTATAATATAGTTATAAAACAAAGCATAATTTGATTCAAAACACAAAGAAAGCATAATTCATTACAAAACACAACCAAAGCATAATTCAAAATAAAACACAACTAAAGAATAATTCAAAACAAAACACAACCAAAGCATAATTCAAAACAAAACAGAAACAAAACATAATTCAAACAACGCATACATCAACACAAAGCATAATTAAAAACTAAGCATCTTTACTTGACTTTATTGACCGTCTTTGCCTCTCACTGCCCATAAGTGCTCCATCAAGTCAACTTGATGTCATTCATGAATATAAGAAGATTGCATCTTTGTATAACGATCAATTATAAGGTTGTTGTAATGAATAAAACACAACCAAAGCATAATTCAAAATAAAACACAACTAAAGAATAATTCAAAACAAAACACAACCAAAGCATAATTCAAACAACGCATACATCAACACAAAGCATAATTAAAAACTAAGCATCTTTACTTGACTTTATTGACCGTCTTTGCCTCTCACTACCCATAAGTGCTCCATCAAGTCAACTTGATGTCATTCATGAATATAAGAAGATTGCATCTCCGTATAACGATCAATTATAAGGTTGTTGTAATGACCGTCCCTAACCAACGGTTCGTGCTCTAGTAGTTGTTCATTTGCTCCTATGGGTCGTTCATAAATTCTTGTCAGCATACAGTTGATGTTTCCAATAATGCATGGGTAACCTCGAGCCTCGGCTTTTTGTAGAAGCCTTTGGACGTCCCTAGGCGTAGGTTTGCAGAGGCAATCCTTCATGTATAGAGTTTCAATTGTATCATAGAATCTGACCAAGCTCTCTAGGATAATGGATTTCCCCATCCTAGCAATCTCATCCACCTGGTGTGCAAATGCGCCAAACGCCAGCATCTGTAAAGAAGTTGTAAGCTTTTGTTTCAAAAAAAGCCCCAAAACTCCAATAGCATCACACTTCTGAACAAAGTATGCATCGTAATTGCAAACATCATACATGATTTTATTGAACAAATAGGGTTGCATTCTATATCGCTCTCGAAATCAATAGTAGAGGACAACAAATTTGGGATAAAGTAATCTTCCAAAAGAATCTTACCCCGAGAATGCCTACGTCTGTCCACGTTCAAGCCACGACTGACTTGTGAACCATTATGGCTACCTTGGCTTGATAGATCGAGCATACCCACAGCCATGACAACTTGTTCATCATCTTCTTCCTCCTCTCTTTCTTCTTCAGCTCATTTGCACCTTCCTTCTTTCATTTCTCGCTCTTGCCTCTCCAAGCACTTTCTTCTGTAAGACATTGAGAGTGGACTATGAAATCTAAAATATAAGAAATGAAAGGATAGATAGGTTATGGTGTGAGAGGTCTAAGTTGAGGCTCTGGTTTATTGAGGGATTTAGAAGATAGAGATGACAATGGCGCAATTTTAGATGGTGAAAATCTTATATGAAATCTGAGATTTGTATTTTATAATAAATATCAACATATGGCAATCAAGAATCTTATCCGAAAATCTTATTTGAAATTTGAGACGTGAATTTTATAATAAATATGGACATGAATCATCCGAAAATCTTATTCGAAAATTTTATCCGAAAATTGAAAGGATAGAGAGAATAAGGTGTGAGAGGTATGAGTTGAGGCTTTGGTTTTATAGAGGGATATAGAAGATAGAGATGACCACGTGACGCAATTTTAGAGGGTGAAAATCTTATCCGAAATATGATGTGTGAATTTTATAATAAATATTGACACGTGGCAATCGAAAATCTTATCTAAATTAATCGTTTAAGTAATAAATAAATAAATAAATGTGAATAGTATTTACCCTTTGCCATGATAATGGGTGGAAACATAATAAGACTTTTGCAAGAGCTGCCACTACTCATGTGAATAGTAACAACCATTGTCTTGCCCTTGCCTTTTGCCATGACAAATAGGTGGGAGTGCTCTAATGGAAAGTTTAAGCAAACATCCTTCTAAATAAGTGAAAATGATGTACACAATTAAAATTAAGGGTTAATTACAGTTTAGTACCCTGTGGTTACACCCTTAAGATTTGTTAGTCTCTATCTTCTCAATTTTAACAATCACATACCCCGGTATTTTAAATTTGTTACAATGTGGTTCCGCCGTTATGGTTTCCATCATATCTCTCTGTTAGTTGCCTACATAACACTGTGGGTCCCACATTTTGCACATTTTTAAATTTAAACTGATTAAAATATAAATAAAATATGAAAAACCAAAAAAATAAAATAAAATTCTCATTCTCTCTCTCTCTCTCTCTCCTCTCTCTCTCTCTCTCTCTCTCTCTCTCTCTCTCTCTCTCTCTCTCTCTCTCATAGAACTTCAACCTCCCTTCAAGTCCTTCAAATTTTTGATAGTCCTTTAAATTCTTCAGTGCCAATAGCAACAACCACCTTGTATATATTGAATTAGATGGAAATGATTTACAAGGTCCGATCCCCAAATGTTTTCACAAACATGGTTTCTCTATTGGATAGCCAATAGTAGCCAACCCCCTCCCCAACTCCCCCTTCCCCCAAAAGAACCTAGAACCCCAAAAGAAAATCATGATTTTCTTCAACAGATGGAAAACACATCTCTAATGGCATTAGATAAATTTTTCATATATGTACAGAAGAACAAGGTCCAATCCCAGCATTTAAAAGAGAAACACAACCTAAAAGAACAAAGAACCCAAAACCCCAGCTTGCAACGAACCCAGCTCATCGACCACTCTCTCTCCATCCTACAGACCTCGTTGACACTTCAGTCGACGCTTTTCAGCGAGATCTGCTAGTCTTCATCTCTCTCTCTCTCTGCTCTCTGCTCTCTACCCCTCTCTCTTTCTCTCTCTGCAAATTCAAAAACCAACAAATTGGAAAAACAAAAATAAAAACAAAATTCGAACATTGTTTGCATCTGTAGGGTGGGTTTGAGGGATTTGTGGGTGAAACACATAATGGAGGAGGGGGAAGGGCTATATAGGCTGGTCTCTTAAGAACAAAGGGAAATTGGGATGAGGGGGGGGGGGGGGGGGGGTGGTGGGTTCGTTGCAGGTTGGAGGGTGGTGGTCATAGGGAAGGGGGCGCTGGGTGGTTGCTCTGTGATGGAGGGTTGGAGAGAGAGAGAGAGAGATAGATAGATAGATAGATTTTTTTAAATATTTTAATCAATTTTAAATTTTGAATTTTGAAAAATGTGGGACTCATAGTGCCACGTAGACAACTAACAGAGATATTTGACAGAAACTCTAACAGCGGAACCACATTGTAACGAATTTAAAAAACTAAGGTATGTGATTGTTAAAATTGAGAAGATATGGACTAACATGTCTTAACTTAAGGGTGTAACTATAGGGTACTAAACTGTAACCCTAAAATTAAAATTCTTAGATTTGTGTATAAGCAATAATCTTCTAATTGTAATGTTTAGTTTTATGGTTAATTTCAATTAGTACCTGAACTCTTACCCTTAAGGTATGTTTGCTCATGCACTCTCAATTTTAACGATTACATACCATAAGCTTTTCAATTTTTTGCAATATGGTTATGGCGTTAACTTCACTGTCAAAATTTTCGTTAATTGCTTGTGTGGGAAGCCTGGGTCCCACTTATTCATTTCCTTCAATGTCAGTTGAATGGTATTTTTGGGTATTTTGTTAAAAAATGTTTTGGTATTAATGCATGTAATGTGTTATTCATGGGCATGGAGACACCAATTACCCGAAAATACTCTTCAACTGACATCGAATAAACGAATAGGTGAGACCCAAGCCTGTCATGCAAACAATTAACTGAAATTTTGACAGTGAAATTAATGCTAGAACCAAATTGCAAAAAATTAAAAAGTTTAAGGTATGTAATTGTTAAAATTGAGAGTGCATGAGCAAATATGCCTTAAGGGTAAGAGTTCTAGGTACTACATCAAAATTAACCCTTAGTTATATATATATATATATATATATATAGAGAGAGAGAGAGAGAGAGAGAGAGAGAGAGAGAGAGAGAGAGAGAGAGCTTCTATTGAGGGATCCCTCAAATAAGCTTATTTGAGGGACACTCCTTATAGGGCCCACTCCGGATTGTATTTCACTAATCCAAATTGTCTATTTTGTAGATACTCATTCAAAGATTATCTCTACAAAAAATCACTTGAATCCGATATCATTTGACCATTCAATTGAGTTATTGAAATTTTAGTATTTTCTTGAAGCACTGTGTTCATTGATTTTGTAGGACGCAATTGGATGTCGAAATGGTTTTCGATTTGTCTAATTTTTTGTAAGTATAATCTATGAATGAAAACCTAAAAAATAAATGGTTTGGATCATTGGAAAAAAAATTGTAGGGTACCCTAAAGGGTGTCCCTCAAATAAAATTATTTGAGGGATCCCTCAAATAAAATTATTTGAGGGATCCCTCAATAGAAGGGGATATATATAATTTAAAACTTTGTTTAAAAAGATAAAATTTACTAAATAAAAGTTGCTAGATAAGATTAGCATGTTGCTGGTTTCGAACATTTCTCATTAGAGTTTTGAGTTTTTGCGCGTGTAGGTAGGTAAAAAGAAACTTATATCTGGATACTCATTTTATAAGAGAATAAAAACAACAGCAAAGTATTTTGTCATTTTGGAATTCAAATGGCTGTGCTTTCTTCATTTTGGAACTCAAATAGCAATATGTTTTTTTTCCTGTATTTTGCTCGACGTTTTATTTTGGTCAATGTATTTTGAATTTGAACAATTTCATCAATGTGTGTATCTCTAACAAGCCAATTTTATTTAACGTTAATCTATTTTGATGTGTACGAGTCTCTACATATGCAACGTGCACACATTAATGTTCAAACTAGACAAAAATGACCATAATTAATAGATTAAAACACAAGAACCTTAGGTTCATTACAAAAGAAAAAAGAACAAGAACCAAATTGAAATTTCAAACAAAACCATAGGAATCGAAAAGGTTTTCAAACCTTTTTTGTGGTAAATTTATTAACCAAATGTTTTTGTTTTACTAGAGCTTCTCATGTTAAAATTTTATGTAAAAGATTAGATAAAGACTTCTAATTTCAGCCATCTATTAGATGCGTAAGATAAATAAAATATGTATTACATATGTGATTAAAACCCTTAACTAATTCCCAACGGAGTCTAGCATTGTAGAAAAGGATATTAACTTGTAGACCAGTAATCTCATGGTCAAACTTTTCATGGTACCCTGGTAGTGTGTGATTAAAACCCTTAACTAATTCCCAACGGAGTCTAGTATGTACTCGTTCGCTTGACAAACAGAGACCGGAGGGAACTGGCGGGAACCCGCAAAGTAAAAAAGAAAGCACCGTACTCAGTCCTAATTAATTGCACCAAAAAGCATTTGGTTCTCGGTAGTGACCAGTGAGAGCCAGCGAGAGAGATCGAAAGCTATGGAAGTCCACCACGACGACGTTTCAATGGAGAACGCAGTCGTTGAGCCCATGCCTAGGAGAACCAAAGGCAGAGGAGGAAGAGGACGTCTCAGATCACAATCCAAAACCCTAGACCATCCAAACAATCCATTTTTCCTCGATGCGAATGAGCCCCCTTCTCAAGGCTACGCTCCTCAACGTTGTCAGTTCCTCTCTCTCTCTCTCTCTCTCTCGCATGGCTCTATTTGTCATTTCCTTCGGATTCGGCATTTTTTTCTTTGATGCTCGATTTTCTGTTTGGTTGCTCGGAAAATGCTCGATAACGGGAATTTAGTTGTGAATAATTCCAAATGTCACTGTTTTTGGTCCCGGATTGAAGTTAGGAAAATAACTGTAAAGCGAGACTGATTTAGTTGTTAGGTTTCGTTTGATTTGATATTAATTCTTAATTTTTGTGCTTGTAATTATTATTTATTTTGTTTTAAGCTTAACAAAATGATTATTAGGGCTATTTACGTGTTTTATAACTTCTTCTAGGCCTTTTTTATTTTTTATTTCCTCATAATTTTCTTTTTGATTTGCAATGTTTTGTGGACTTCTTTGTTTGGTTGCAGAGAAAGGTGAATGAAAATGAAATGACTTTTCTTTATTTTGGATCCAAGAAACTACACATGGCTGTTTCTGAGATTTAATATGATTTACAGTTTAATACTAATTGGCTTCGGGTTTTGGGCTTAGGGCTAAGGGACAAGGCTCTCTATTTGGTCAGTGAGATGTGATAGTAACAAGAATGAATATTTAGAACTTATGTTTATGTTGTATTTGCTTTTGAACGATTTTCTTTTCTGGTAAGCAAGTGGAAGAAAAGACCAGAAGTTAAGTTCCAAGGAGACCAAAACTACCACTTTGTTCTATACGATTATGGTCTAAGGTTGTTATGAAACTCTAAATTAAAAAAGTGGCTCCTTGTGATTCAAAAAGATAGGGTGCACAAAACAGAATGCTTAATGACCCAACAGGGATCCCTCTATATTCTAAAAATTCTTTTGTGTTTGTCTACCCTTCTTGATGGTTATTACAATCAGCCAAGAAGCATGACGGTGCATATGGCTCTTACAGTAAAATACAAACTTGGGTTTGTTGATGGTATTGTCAAACAATCTGATGCTTCTTCACCAGATTATGCAGCTAGGCTCATTACATTACAATGATTCTTTTGTGGTTGTTGGATGCTATCTTGAAAGATCTTCATCAAGCTTAAATTTCCGTCTCTTCCTATCTCACTATGATGAAAGCCTTGTGGGATGAACTGTCTTCGTAAGGAGACATTTCAAATTTTTTTTTCCGTACCATGATCTGTCTCTTTCTATTGTTACAATGAGAGGAGTGGGTAATGTAATTTTTTATGGGTCTTAATGATTCATTTGCTGCAATGTGTAGTCCAACTCTTATTCTTGGTATTCAACAAATATGTTTATCCTTTTGCTGTCACTTATTAAGGTTGGCTTATTCTGAGTGACTTTTGGGTTATTATGTGTGCAGCTATTGAAGGATGGATTGTATTGATCACTGGAATACATGAAGAGGCACAGGAAGATCATATTTTGAATGCATTTGGTGACTATGGGGAAATCAAGAATTTGCATATGAATCTTGACCGTCGCACTGGATTTGCTAAGGTAAGTTTTTATTTTTATTTTTTTATCTTGATGCTTTCGGACAAAACCTTGGTGATGCTCCTGTTTGGGCACTAATGGTTTTATTATATAGGATTGAAGCCTTAAGGTAGTGTTTTCTTGCCTTAAGATGGTATTCAAAGTATCTTCTTTCACGTTCAGATTCATCAAATGTGAAATGGTGTTGGAGTTCAAGGTTTTGCAATATGCACATGCAAATCCAATTATCTGGATCTTTGAGGTCTTGCAATGTGTATGAAAATTTAGTTGGATCTTAATTCTTATGTTCATCATGGGAATCAAATACTGAGATTCCCATTTCCAAGTTAATGTTTTTGCTCCTACTAAAAAGTTATTGTTGTTGTTGATCACGATGGATATATTGGTCATCTAAAACCATAAACTATGGCTACCCTTAGTCAGTTATGTAAGGTACTACCCACATCCTATGATTCATATCCCATCAAGTCATCATACTGTGGTTTGGTTAGGAACTTTAGGCATAATATAGACCCTTTCGCATGCCTATTCTTTTGTGACGTTTTCAAATCTATGACCTGTCATTTTGCATATCTTACTTTTTTTTTGCCTGTTAATAAACGTGCGCTTGTCCATTTGAAATTCTTCTTTTGAGGTTTAATTTTCATTATCCAATTGCTGAATTTTTGGATGGATTATATACTTGATTCGTGCTTCATCTGCATGGATGCTGCTCTGTCATTCACTCTAAGTGTTTGGGTCCGTGAACTATTCTTTTGGTCGGCCAACTCATGATGAAGAAATTTTTTTTAGGTTCATAGTTGGGTGGGATCGGAGTATGGGTGAGGGTCAGAAATCGGTCTTCTCTTTGGGCATTAGTTTCTAGAGAGTTTAAAGACATTATTCTGCAATATTTTTAGATTGGAAGGCAGCAGAGATGTAGTTCTTGATTAGAATCTCGTTTGTTGTTCATCATTAGTGTCACTTATGGTAATTTCAGTTTTGAGGTGGTGAGGTGGGCTCCTCCACAATCTGGGCTGTGTTTTTTTGTTGATTAAAAAAACTTATCTTCAAAATAAATAAAAAGAGAATGCTGGGACCATATAATTTCTTGGATATTTTTTTTTACTCCAATAGGGGGCTTTACTTAAGAAAAGGGTGAGAAAACGTAGGATACCTGTTTATGCTTATTAATGCTAAACGATTTCAGGGTAATGCGCTGATTGAATATGAGACATTTGAGGAAGCTGATGCAGCAATATCAGCAATGAATGGAGCTAAACTTTTTGGCCGGACCATCCTTGTTAACTCGGCTTTCATGACTGGTCCCTTTGGAAGTAATTCAAGAAGGTTCGTTTGCTTGTAGGTACTTTGCGTTATGTCATTCGCATCCCCGATTTTTGCTGTCCTTTACTTCTTAATTATTTTGTATGCCATGGGAATAATTTACCATGCCCTTTATTTACCTTCTATTGATATGCTCACGTAAATTCCTCTATCTGCTCTTTTGAGTGAAGGTAAATACATCATATATATTTGTGCAAAGAAAGTCTTACATTTTTTTTTTCTTTTTATGATTTAAAATTCACTAGTTATAAAACCCCCTTGTGGCATGCCTAGCAATTGTGGTTATATGCATAAATGCTTTATATGCATATTCAATACATCAAATTGGTTTAGATTTTCTGCGTATACTAATCTCTTAGGATGCAATTGTTTAAGCAGCCGGATTTAGCTATTCTTATAATAATTGATAGCTCCTTCCCTCTTCTCTGTAGATCACCACAATTGAACCGCTCCAGAAGTCCCAGGATGAAATACTGACTTGGGTTCTGCTTCCCTCAGCAACACCATTATACTTGTGCTAGTGAGTAGTGACACAATTGTAATATTGCTTTTATTACAAGGTGCATGTCACTGACGTCAGGCAGGGGCATTCTAACTTTCAAAAGATGTAGGCAAGAATGGAATTTGCAGTACATACATTTTACTAATTACATGTGTAAACGTTGAGATGGTATATCCTTAACAACACTTGTTGTAGTTTCTTTCGTTTTGATCTGCGCTTTTAAACTGATCGTTGAAGTTCATGCAAATTGCTTAGCAAATGCAATGTTGCTGTTGGAGTTATAATGCTCTGTTTCCTTTGCAATTAGGTCTAGCAGATGTCATAGTTGAGTTTGAACTCTATTCTTCATTTACTGTCTTTTTTTTTTTTACAACTGGATTATACCCGGCCCGGTTCTATTTCAAACAAAACAAGCAAAGAAGGGAAATCTTAGTAAAGGAAGTTTTACTGTAAGCAGGGCTGAAAATTTGTGTGCCTGATTTTGAGTGTATATTGTTATGAATTTCGTATGATTCAGAGTGAGGGTCCTCTTCATCTTCAGTTTTCAAATCTAACCATTTTTGTAATTTCACATATTTATCTTGGTCTTTTGTTGTTGTTCCTCTTCTCTCCATACGCAATCAACAAATATCTTGCAAAAATCCAAACTTCGCCCATCTCTTTTCCAATCGAAATTAGCCTTCTCCTGTCCAAGATTTTATAGGGTCAGTTCGTGCATATCATATCAAGAAAGCATTTTCCATCTTATGTCACGCCCACGTAGACTCCACAAACAGTGTAAAAGTGGGTCCTCCTTCCCCTACACAATGTACTCTTATCTGATTGTGCGCATGAAGATTCTGATTTTGATGATAAGTCCATCTTTTCACTGTCTCATATGGTGGCCCCTTTCTCCGGCAGGAAAGGTGTAAAGCCCATGTAGAGGGAGGATGTTTTACTTTTTCGGCCCAAAATTAGAAAGAGGGAGGGTTTTTTTCACTTCATTGTCAAGGTGTAATGGGTTCAAATTTGAGATTACTAATCTACAAGTCACGATTCTTTTCTACTAGGTTAGAGCCCGTTGACAGAGAGAGTGGTTGGTTCGGACAAAGATGTTGAATGACAATTATTTGTAAACAAATAATGCACAAAAAAGTATATGGATCGCACATTTTGTGTCAAAAAATTTATGGATATGTTTCGATTTTTCTAATGGTGGTCTGCAATTGGTTGTGCGGTTCAACATATGCGACCTCAAATTTTGTCTAGTGGAGGATTGAATTGAATTTTTTATACTCACTTTAGTATAATCACGCGTGTTGTGCTTGTAGCCATCCTGAATGCATGCGTGATTGCTTCTTTATCATATTATTATGGATGAAATCAATAAGGCAGGGAAGAAAAAGTGAGAGAGGGAAAGACGCAAGGAGTAGTGATATGGTTTTTTCTGTTTTTCTGTTTAAATTTAACAATGGAGTAGTGATAGTATGCAAATGTGGGCGATTCCTAATTATTAACATATGGGACGCTCGACCCATCAACAATAAAGACGTGGTCGATTAAACATCATCATATAGGTAAGAGTTAAGAGGCTTAATATACGCCCACTTATGATATAACAGGTGAACGAGTTATAACACGTACCATAAAATGAAAAGTACATAATAATTGAAAGTACCAACTAAAAGTTTTGTTTTGTACCAACTTGTGCCCTTGATATAAAGCTACACAAAACGCAGGAGAGCCATGGAGACTTTTGGCGACGCCTTAGCATGTGTTATGAAACACCCACACGCCTCCTTCACACGAATTCAGCAGAAAATCAAAGATCATTGTGGTGTGTGTGGTTGGTAGCATCCAAAACTCAAGTTTGTTATGGTCGAAAATCAGAAAATAGTTTGTCCCTACTAGCCTACATCATCAACCCTACTTTATTATATAATGGTTCGTTTTTGCCCTATTCTCTTTTTCTTGACTGATTGACAAAAAAATGAGAAATTATCCATAACTCCACATGAATACAGCAGCCTGCCGACATGATACAATCTTTAGAATAAAATAAAATAAAATAAACTGTTGAAAAAACGGAAAGAAAAAGAAAAGAATTTAAAAAAATGAAATAAAACTTTAAATATAGGGAAGGGTAAGGAGAGGCAAGACTTGTCTCAAGAAAGCTTTTTTACATCCCATGCCGGTGCCACGCCCGCATAGGCTAACATTGGGTAAAAGCGGGCCCTCCCTCCACAATCCAATACATGAATGATTCTGGTTTATTTATTTATTATTATTATTATTATTATTTTAAGGTAAGTGTAGTTGGAAGTTATTTCTCGTTTAATACCCATTTTTTCTTATTTGGATTTGGTCTCCTCCTTTTTTTTTCTTTTTTTTTGTTGTTGGTCAAGATGGATTTTGTCTCCTAGTTACTTAAACGATACTGGATCTTAATCAGGTTTGGAATTTAACTAGGATATTTACCAGTGGCCCACAATAAATTATTTTATGTGCCAAGGTTTTATGGATCAATAGTTCATAATCTATTCAGAGTAAACAGGTTTAATCCTACATCTATAAGGACATCTTAAGAATCCTTGAAGGGTAACAGTGGTGGATATAGGATTTAAAAGCTGGTTGGGGGAAACTTACGTACTAAACTCGAAGGTATAATTGAATTTCATTAACAAACACTAGTGAATTGGTTTTTAATTTAAGAATTAAGAAAGAAAATCCAAAAAAAAAAAAAAAAAAAAAAGGAAGAAAGAGAAGTCCAAAACGAAAGCAAAAAAACAAAGAGAAGTTGTGTCCCATGAAAATAGGACCCCATGTTCTTATTTTGGGTTTTTTTTAAAAAAAAATTTACTATATTATATTATCCTTATTAAATAAAAGAGTTTCAATGCTTAATAAATTCATTAATCAAGGGCAAGTTTCTGTTCCATAAAAATAAGACCTATTATTTGATTTTGTTTTTAATATGAAAAAATGTGAATTTACCATATTATCCTCATTTAATTAATAATTTCAATTCTTAATGTTTGCATTAACCAAAGACATTTTCTAGTATTTTGAATGTTATACCATTATCTATAGATATATAAAGCAAAAGGTAAAGAATGGTAAAACATTCAAAATACTAGAAAATGCCCTTGGTTAATGCAAACATTAAGAATTGAAATTATTAATTAAATGAGGATAATATGGTAAATTCGCACTTTTTCATATTAAAATTAAAAGAAAAATCAGATAATGGATTCTATTTTTATGGAACACAACAACCCATTATCGTTTTTTATATTATATTTTATTTTAGAATTAAAAAGATAATAGGTAGTGTTGTCCATAAAAATAGGACTCATTATCTTATTTTATTTTAAATTTTAAATTTTTAAATGAAAATGTGTGAATTTACCATATTATCCTCATTTAATAAATAATTTCAGTTCTTAATGTTTTTATTAAATAATAGCATTTTATGGTATTTTGAATGTTTCACCATTCTCTGCCTTTTGCTTTTATATATATAGATAAATAAAAATAATTTTGGCTTTAAACCAAAAAATTTTGAACTAAAACTTTCACAAATGTTAAGTACAATCCATTAACACACTAAAAGGCCTATTAACAACTTGATAAATAAAACCATTAACAACCTAACCCATTAACAAAACAAAAAAAACCTTAAAACATTTGATAAATAATTGATGTAGAACAGCTCGTAGGTTTAGAGTAAACACTTGAGCAATAGAACAAAGAAGAAATAAGGGAATGAGGAGAAGAATTAGAGATCGAAGAGATGAAGGGAAATGGGAGGAATCAGAAAGTTTAAAGTAAGGAAATTTATCATTAATCAAGTCTGCCTTAAAAGATTACAAACAACTCTATTTATAGAGACAAAAACCTTTTTTAGTATAGGAAAAGGAAAAGTAAAACTTTAAGAAATAGGAAAGCAAATTAACTAATAAGAGATCCTTTAACAAGAAGGAATATTTAAGAATTAGGAAAACTAATCCAAGTAGAAGTAGGAAAACTAATAATATGCATTTTGCATCATTCTCCCCCACCGAAAAAGAACTCGACACCGGAGAGTAAACCAAGATTACGGATGACGACGACGTTTGTAAGTATGGATGATGGGAGGACGGGATGTAGCCAAATCAAGATCATGAAGAGCATCTTGATAACTTTGCAGAAGAGTGGAATCCAATTGGCGAAATTCAGCTTCTGTAATCCAAGTATCCTTAGTAGTAGGCCTTCCAACCCAACGAACTAGATAACGGGTAGAACCTCCAGTAGACAAGGCCACAACTTCATGATCCAAGACGTCCTCAATCTGATATGTAGGGATAGAACTAGTAGAAGGAATACGTGGCACCATAGGAGGAGTGGAACCTTGAGCAACATCCATAGAAATAGGTGGAGAAAAGGTGCACCGATAAGGAGACAAATAAGAAATATTGAAAATTGGACTTATATGCATATATGTGGGCAACTCAATCAAGTAAGCATTGGACCCAAGCTTCTTAATGATACGATAAGGACCATTGAATGAGCATGAAGCTTCTTAAAAGATTGCTTAGGAAAACGCTCAAGACAAATCCACACCATAACAAAATCCCCTTCCTAAAACTCCTGTTGATGACAATCAGCGTTGGCTGCTAGTTTATAAGTGTCGGTGTGCATGGATATCTGCCTACGGACGTCATCATGCAATTGCCTAATATGTTCAGCAAACGACGTAGTAGAATCTGAGGCGCGAGCAGCCACAGGAAGAGCAATGAAATCAACAGGTGATCAGGGAGAAAACCCATGAACAACCTCAAAAGGACTCTTACCAATACTTCGACTCAACCACAGGCAACAAGAGATCCCAATTACCAGGTTCAACCCCAACTAAACAGAGGAGTAAATCACCAAGACTGTGATTAACCACCTCAGTTTGACCATATGTTTGGGGATGGAAAGTAGAAGAAAACTTCAAAGTAGTACCGAAAAGTTTCCACAAAGGCTTCCATGATAAGAAACAATAGAGACAGAGAGGCCATGCAAACGGACTTCTTCCTTAAAAAATAAATTGGCCACACAAGAAGCATCAGTATTTTTGGCACAAGGCAGAAAATGTGCCATTTTAGAAAAACGATCAACTACGACAAAGATAGAGTCATAGCCGCGACTAGTCTTAGGTAAGCCAAGCACGAAATCCATACTAAGATCCTTCCATAGGGCATGAGGTATTGGTAGATGGCTATATAAACTTGTGTTACGTTTGCGAGCTAGCTGGCATGTGCGGCATTGGGAGATGAGATGAGCAACATCACGTTTTAACGATGGCCAATAGAAATAATCTTCCACCAAGGCAATAGTCTTATCTTTGCCAAAATGTCCTTCGAGGCCGCCACCATGTAGTTCCCAAACAAGGAATTCACGGAAGAAGTACAAGGAATACATAATTGTGTTCCTCAAAATAAGAACCCACCCCTTGTAATAAAGTCTACATACTCGCGACGGTCACCATTGCAAACTTCATGAAAAATAATTCCAAAATCTGGACAAGACGAATAATCAGTCTTAATGCAATCAAACCCGGTTACTTGAACTGTCATTGTGTGCAAAATAGTAGCCACGCGACTAAGGGCATCGGCTGCCTTATTGTCAATGTCTGGACGGTGTCGTAAAACAAATGTAAAGATCTAGAGATATTCGGACCACTTAACATGTCGACTGCTAATGGTGGTGTGTTGAGAGTGGAGATATTTCAAAGCTTGATGATCTGAATACAAAACAAATTCGTTTGGCAGTAGGTAATATTGCCAATACCGAAGTGCTTGTACCACATCATAAAACTCCTTATCATAAGTAGAATAATGTTGCTTTGCTTCATTAAGTTTCTCACTAAAGTATGCTACGGGATGCCCTTCTTGGCTAAGCACACCACCAATCCCTACTCTGGAAGCGTCACATGCGACTTCAAAGACTTTAGTCAAATTAGGATGTCAAAGAACAAGCGCTTGAGTCATCTTCTGCTTCAAAATTGTAAAGGCCTTGGTAGCCGCAGGGGTCCAAAGAAAAGCTACTTGTTTCATACAATCAGTTATTGGTGCCATAATAGTACTGAACCCTAGAATAAATTGTCAATACAAAGAGGCGAGACCATGAAAGCTGCGTGCCTCTGTCAAAGTCGTGGGTGTTGGCCAACCAGTAATAGCCTTCACCTTGGAAGGATTTGTGCTAACCCCAGCTGCAGAAATATTGAATCCCAAGAATAAAGCTTGCAGTTGAAGAAACAAACATTTTTTTAAGTTGGCATACAGTTTTTCCTTTCGTAAAGTAAAGAATATCATCCTAAGATGTTGGAGTGGCTGTATATCAGTATGTCATCAAAATAAACTACCAGAAATTTACCAATATAAGGTCGTAACACATGAGTCATCACCCTCATGAACGTGCTGACCCTCATGAACGTGCTGGGTGCATTGGACATGCCAAAGGGCATTACAAGCCACTCATATAAGCCATCAGGGGTTTTAAAGGCAGTTTTCCACTTATCTCCTTCACGAATAAGGATTTGATGGTAGCCACAGCGAAGATCTATCTTAGAAAACCATTGGGAACCAACCAAATCATCCAACATAGCCTCAAGTCGCGGTATGGGGAAACGATACTTAACTGCAATTTTATTTACGGCGCGACTATCCACAAATATTCACCAGGGGCCATCCTTTTTGGGGGTAAGGAGAATTGGAACAACATAAGGACTTAAGCTATGACAAATAAAGCTCTTAGCCAACAACCCCTGAATTTGTCGATTCAATTTCGCTCGCTCAAGTGGATTCATACGATAATGGGGAAAATTAGGAATTTGCAAACTAGGTCAATGGCATGCTGAATCTCTCTTGATGGAGGTAGGTCATCTGGTAAGTCATCAGGTATGACATCAGAGAATTCAGTGAGGAGTTGTTGTATGGGTTCGGCAAGTGGAGTGGGGGTGTAGTCAGATGCCAATTTAAACAAGAGAACAAAGACCACACTAGTTTCTTGCAGTTCTTGTGCAAAGTCTACAGGTGATAAAATACTCAATCGATGCTCCGAAGCCTTCTCTTTAATTGATAGTGTTGGTTGAACATCCTTAGTTGGTTTGATGGTCGGATTGGAAGGCTTTAGCATTATGTTCTTTCCTTCATGTTGAAAAGTATAGGTGTTCTCTCTGCTGCAATTTTTCACACGGTGGTCATAAAGCCAAGGTCGGCCTAGGAGCACATGTGTGACACTCATTGGTAGGATATCACAATAAAGTTGCTCATGACAGGGACCCAATTGAAGAGGAACAAGACATCTTTCAGTAACAGGTAATCTGGTTTTATCGACCCAGCCAACATGAAAAGGATGGGGGTGTGGCTCAGCCTAAAGGTGAAGGCGATCAACAACAGTTTTAGAGATGACATTCAACGTACTTCCCTCATCAATAACTGGTTGGCATCTATTGGTACCACAAGCGACATATGTTTGAAAGATACTTGTGCGCTTCCATGAATAAGGAGGTGGAGATGTAGGTGCTGAATAAATACAACGCATAACACTCAGTTGGTGAAACGCCTCATTCTCACAGCAATTATCATCACGAAGTATGTGGATGGAACCTCCGAACTTCACGTTTGATATCATCACGAAGACCATGGATAAAGCGAGACATAGTGATGTTGGGTTCTTCACGAATCCCTACACGTATCTTGTGTTCGATAAAACGAGCGTGAAATTCAGTAACGGTTAAACTTCCTTGTGAAATGGTCCATAATTGGTCATACAATTGATGGCAATAAAAGGTGGGAAGATATTGTTCGCGAAGCATTAATTTCATCTCGTCCCAGAGAGTCACATGTGGTTGTCCAAATTGGTATAGTTGCTCCTCCACGGAATTCCAATATTGTCTAGCGGCTCCGTGTAGCGTCATCTTAACAATGTGAAGTTTATGAGCATCCATCAAGTCGTACCAGGCGAAATAATCTTCCATGGCGCCCCAAATCGTGGCCAACCTTGCAGAACAATTTCATGCGTTCCAAGACAAAGTTTCTGATGTAGAACAACCTGTAAGTTTAGAGTAAACACTTGAGCAATAGAACATAGAAGAAATAAGGGATCGATGAGAAGAATTAGAGATCGAAGAGATGAAGGGAAAGGGAAGGAATCAGAGAGTTTAAAGTAAGGAAATTTATCATTAATCAAGTCTACCTTAAAAGATTACAAACAACTCTATTTATAGAGGCAAAAACCCTTTTTAGTCTAGGAAAAGGAAAAGTAAACTTTAATAAATAGAAAAGCAAATTAACTAATAAGAGATCCTTTAACAAGAAGGAATCTTTAAAAATTAGGAAAACTAATCCAAATAGAAGTAGGAAAACTAATAATATGCATTCTGCATCAATAACCCAGCCCATTAACACAACAAACTCATAAGTCAACCCATTAATAGGCATTAGAGTTAACGATTAAAAGAAAATGAGAGACACAAGATTAACAAAAAGAAACTAAACCAGACTCACACTAGACATAAGATAAAGCTAAGACAGAGATAGAAATTAGATTTCCACCTTGCCAACAATACCATCCACATAGAGGAAGCGGCAGAAAATTTTCTAGGTTATTTGTTGGTATTAGAGAAAATTTTATCTTTCAGCTGCCCTGAATTTCAAGATGTACTGTTATGGTAGATGGTAATATAAATTTTAGTAAATTTAGGTTTTAGCCACAAAAAAATTTTCACTTTCGGAAAAAGCCAAAACCTTTTCAAAAAAGACAGAAAAACCTCTCAATTTTCAAACCAAAGACATGCAAATGTAAAGGATTCCTTAGGAAATCCAAAAACAAATAAGGGTAATTTTGTCCATTTTGACTTCTTTTAAAAAATTTCTCTGTCCTTTGGTCTTTTCCAAAGTCTCCCATTTTACCTAATCTAGATAAAGTCAATGACGAAAATATAATATTTAATTTTATAATAATATAATTAAAAAACATTAAAATTACTCACATTGCCACTCCTATATTTCACAACCATTAACCCTTACATAGCCATTAAAGCCTTACAAAATGACATTATAAACCCTAAACCCTTACAAAATCACACAAACAACCCAAATACCCCTACACCTGTCACACCCCAACCCTCGGATTTACAAAACCTTGGGTTAAGACGTGATTCACACCTTAATTATAGAATTTAATAAAAACTATAACTAAAATGTGAAGAAAATATTTAAATAAATAAAATAAATATTTCACATAGAATATTCAGCAGAAACGCAGAAACGATAACATCTGAAATCGTAAAAATTTTACATTATTTTACAAGTTAGAACTACTTAAGAGTTCACTAAAAGAGTAGCTCATTATTCATCCACAAGCTATAATACACTCTATAGACATGCCGAAAATCATCACAAGCTCTAGATTTCAGGTTCGGTACCTGCAAAATCTATTAGAGGGTCAGCAAAACCACAGCTCAGTAGGGACATAAACTTTTTCACGATAAATTGATATAACTAAATTAAGTGATAAATAATCAAGCAGTCAAATTTCACATTATTAGTAACAATGCATGAATGCTCATCATCTAATCCCGTTAATTCATATAATTGGACAAGCAGACCTGCACGTCACATACCATGCTTTTACCACTTGGTCCCGAATGCCCATTTATATGAACTAACACCCATTTCAATTGTCCCATAATTCCCCTTTCGTTAGTCATCTTGTCTAACTCCCTTTCGCCAGTCCCGAATCACCCAATAAAAATCATGTGCATTGTGGGATCCCTGAGACCTGGTACCTGCTAAGAGTTAGACTCAACTACACAAAAGATCCTTTTCATTACCCTTTTTTCCACCAATATTTTCTCAACTCCAGAATTTTAGTCAAATTCCATGACATGATATAATTATGCCCTTCACAACAATGTAGCCATTTAAAATATCACCAATGCACATATAACTATGCCCACATTGTTCAAATAGTTAAGAGTACTTAAATATCCAATACAAGGAACGTAAATCAAACAGTACTACATTAACCAAATAGTTAACAATTTATAAACATCCAATATCCAGAACATTATACAATATCAAAAAAATATCCATAATATAGAGCTCACGAAATTTAATTAAATCAATCTTTCTAAAAGGCCCCCCAAGAAACCTCTACCTTGATACCAAAGCCTTTGCTCTAAGTTAAGAAACACAAGCTCTGACCTCTAACTCTTCCAAGAATATTATTACCATTCTCTCTTTCTTTTTCTCTTCCTCCCTATGTGCAACCTCTAATATTACACAAGGTTGTTATCTAATGTTTTCAACAATAGAGGAGCCTATTTATACTTAGAGAATGTCGATTCTAGTGCTGAGATTTGGCAACAACTATGGATAACTTTCCTTGCCTACTTAGTCTCCAAGGAATATCTACTCTTATTTAAATGTTTTAATGCTTGCATGTGGATGCAGATGTCAATAAAATGAAAACTAATCTTGCCACTTTATGCTAAACTGATGCCAGCTAGTAGTAAAATGCCACTTCAACTTTACTTGCTACTTAATTCAAATACAATATAACTTATATGTATAAAGGATAGGTCGGCTACCATTGGCAGTTTATGTACTTTTTACCCAAGTAAAGTATATATATATATATATATATATATAAGTAATACACATACATATATATATATTAAGATATATGTGTATATATATATAATAGAATAATATATGTAATAAGATATAAATATATAAGTATTACTATAATAATATAATAATTAATATAAAAGTATAACAACAATATTTACATATACGTACCAAGATAATACCACATACTAATATATATTTAACCAAGATAATTATATATTAAAAAATATAGGGTTTCACAACACCCAACAACCCACAATACTTCATTCGATGGGATAGGCCAATACTAATCTTCTCTTTTTGTTTATTCTAGATCCATACATCCATCCCAAAATGAAGCTTGCAAATAGAACTTATGAAGCCACCAACAATATCCAAACCACATTTTCTCTTTGTCTTGCCTTTGCCATTGATTTCTCCAACTTATTCCGCAATCTTAGAAGCCTAGGAATCACTGCCTTTGACCAGTCACACATTTCTGCATCAGACCATACCAAGAACTAGCAATCCTTGTTAGCATCATGTACCTTTGCTACACACATGAAAAATTGCCTCCTAGGATTCGAATATGTCCAAAAGAGGTTCGAATTGTAGCAACCTTGCCACACCAACACATCATCGCATGTTCATCCATTCCAGGAATCGAATTGCTTCTTGATCTTCTTCTTTGCAAAATGAGTTAGGGCAAGTTCAATGAGCATTTTCTTATGGACTCGATTTTTTGGTCTGAAACTAAAGATTTGATGTTGGGTTAAATGAGGTAGTGATGACCTTGGAACAAGTGCCAAGGTCTAAGCACGAAATATTTTTATTTTCCATAAATGCCTTCAAGTGGACAATTTGGACTTAGCTGTCAGGTGTGGTAGGTCTAGCATCTGCGACGTCAGCATTTAACTTCTGACAAGACAGTCAATCTAACGACTGATGTAAATTGGTCAGATTTTGAAATGCTAGATATCAAATTGGTAAAATTGAAACATCAAGGCCCATATTGATACGCACCTTAAATCTCGATGGTGTGAATGTCGTTAGTCCTAAATTTTTATCAACAAAAATATAATATTCCTAGTGCTTCAATAGACAAAATAGTTTAACTAATACATATTCACTAAAAACCACGTGTCAAGTCAAAATAATGTTTTTTTTTTTTTTTTTTTTTTTTTTTTTTTTTTTTTGGGTCAAGTCTATTCATTAATAGTGGGAACCATTACAAAATAAGGAAACCTCAATCCAAATGCAGCCCAACACTAACAAATAAAGCAGGCCCAAAGATACAAAACCAAATAAACAACCAAAGCCTATAAAACATTAAACAAAGAAACCCAAGATCTAGAACACAAGAGCAGCCGCACCACATAGCATGTCAACAACACCACCAGAGCGGATCCACCACCACCAAGGAGGAGTAACTGATACTGAGGTATCAAAGAGGCCAACGGAAGATGGGGGTAAGCAGGCCACCCGAGCGGAAGCACTCTCATAATTCAAGAGTTAAGTGCAGTATGCACTTTAATCGTAGCCACGAACCACCACACACCACCGAGGAAGAACAACGGGAGCGGCGGACGAGCAATCGAGGAGTAAAGAGTAGTGGTTGAGAACTGGCGACCAGACGAAGTCGCTGGCCATGGGTGGGAGACATCACATGTAACACCCCGACCCCAAATTTATCCCATGTTTTAATTTATTTAAGTGGAATTGAGAAATTACCCGTGGGATAGGGGTATTTTGGTCATTTTCTTAGCCGGAAGGAATTTGGGAATTCCGGTTGTACCGTTGCGTAGAGCACGGTGAGATGAGTTCGTAGACACGTAGTGGGCTCGAATCGGAGTTGTAACGAGAGAGATATGATCAAAAGAAGCTCAGTGGCATAATCGTAAATATTTTGAAGTGGGATTTTTGGTTAAAAGACGGAATTGCCCCCGTCTCACTCACACTCTCTCTCTCTTCCGCGCGTCCCTCTCTCTCTCTCCTCTGGTTCGCGACGCCACCGCAGCCGGCCACGTTTTCGCCGGCCGTTCATTCGTCCGGCCACCACTCGGGTCGGGACCGGTCCCAAAATGACCGGCCTGACTTCGCCGTCCTACCCCACCCATTCTCCGATGTCAGCCGGCAGCGGTATCGCCGGAAATTGCAGAAAAACGGCCGGTTTTTACCCAGATTTTCCGGAGCTCGTTCCGGCGATTCCGGCCACCAAATCTTGCGATCAAGGTATGCTTTCTCACCTATTTTCCGTGATCTAGCTGATGGTTGGGTAGGATTGTATCGATTTTGAGCGTAGGAGGTCTGATCTTCGAATTGGATTTCGGCCGGATTTCGAGGGGAGATTCCGGCCACTTCCGGTCAGATTTTGGGGTATGCCCAAGAACAAAAGTGGCTCAGAATAGGGTTTTACATCTAGGATAGGAAGCTTGGCCGGCGGTTTGGAGTTTTCCGGCCGCCGGAAATTACTCAAGGCACCCACGCGCTGCCGGCGCGTGGGCTAGGAAAATGGACCGGATCGAGGTTCTAAAATGATCTCATGGTTCTCACGAGCGCGTAGGTGTGCTCGGATATCATTTTGAGTACCGTTGGAGTCCCGAACGGATATCGCATATCGCGTATTTTTCCGGTTCGCTAGGTTTGGACCGTTGGATGGTCCTGAGATTATAATATGTTGACCTAGGTATTACCAGGATCATATAGGATTCGACGGATCGTAAAACGGAGTCCCGGATACTCCGGAATTGTCAACCCTAGGGGTAAGGTTTAGTAACCGTCCGATCGTGCGATCGTGAGCGATCCGACCGTCCGATCTGAACCAAACTTGCAGGACATGTGTCCTAGAGCTTGTAGAACCTATAGGAACTTTCGGATCGGAATTTGGAGGTTGTGGGCCCCGCAGGCCCGTTTGACCCTAGGTTGACCGTGAGACTTCCGAGATAGTCTTACCTTTATTTGAGGGTTAGAATGACCTTAGTGACAGGTCTTGAGCGTTGTTGAGTAAAATGGATATTGTGGGTTTAGGATATAAATTGGTGAATTTAAATGGGGGGAGTTTATGGAATATTTTATTGGTTGATGTTATTGTATGATTAGAAATTATATGATATATTTAATTAATTGTGTGGACGTGTAATGATATATAAAGAGATTGAATGTTAGTTTACAGTGCTATACGCACTACCCCACGTACCCCCATATTGTGATTATGTTGAGGCCCAAGTGATAGTGTGAGGTCGCACGCGTCTTTGGGTTAGCCGGCGTGTTGACAGACCCCGTACGTGGCCGGGTGCGTCCCGACGTATGAGTGGGAGATATGATGGTATGATGGCTGGTGAGAATGTAGCCAGGCCCAGTGTGAGGTCGCACGCGTCTTTGGATTAGCCGGCGTGTTGACAGACCCCGTACGTGGCCGGGTGCGTCCCGACGTATGAGTGGGAGATATGATGGTATGATGGCTGGTGAGAATGTAGCCAGGCCCAGTGTGAGGTCGCACGCGTCTTTGGATTAGCCGGCGTGTTGACAAACCCCGTACGTGGCCGGGTGCGTCCCGACGTATGAGTGGGAGATATGATGGTATGATGGCTGGTGAGAATGTAGCCAGGCCCAGTGTGAGGTCGCACGCGTCTTTGGATTAGCCGGCGTGTTGACAGACCCCGTACGTGGCCGGGTGCGTCCCGACGTATGAGTGGGAGCTATGTGATTATGTTGGGTGTGTTGTGATGGATAAACCCGAGAATGTATGAATTTATATGGATGTGATGGTTTAATTGATATCAGGAGCCAGGATTGATAGGAAAGAGCTACGTGTGGCTTGATCCCTTAGTAGGGTACGTAGGCAGCCTGGGATAGCGCCTAGGTGCAGCCACGACCTAGACACCACTTAGGTGGTTTTATCGAGTATGATGCGGACCTCGTGGTTGGTCCCGAAACTTGGTTGAATTGAGGCTTGTCCGGTGGACTGAGTGAGTGAAGGTGTGTATGGATGGATTTTGAATAGGTTATATGCATGTGTGATGCAGTAAGTTATTTTGAAAACAGTGTGGGCAGTTTGTTAGAATCATTGAAGGCCGGAGGCCATTTATGTAAATTGCATGAGATTATATTGTGCGTGCTGCTGGTTGGATTATAAAATGTGTTTTATGCAGGTGGAAATTTTGGGGAATGTTCAATTTACAAGGGAGACTCTGCCGAAATTTTGGCAGAAAGTCTAGTGCCTTAAATCCTCTCTGGTAAAAGAGGACGTAGTTTTAAGGAGTGAACCCAGCGTGGGTGTGATGCCGGGGTCTCCGCAGGGTTCGTCTCGGGTTCCGGGAAATTCGGGGCGGGTCCTGTCATCACAACAGAGAAGAGAAGAGGATAGTGTAGATGTAAGAAGTGGAGGGTGAAAAGTGAAGTGGTTGGGGAAGAAAAGAGAGGGAGAGATGGAAGATATAGGGATTCACAGGATGGGCTTAACTTAGGGAAAAACATAAAAAAGCTAAAGAAAACCGAAGTGGAGGCAATGAGGCCCAGATCTAAGACATATCTCAGGGGAAAAACACCCATTTCGGGTGGGGAGAAGCCAGGGACTTTCAAAATGGAGGAGGAAGAGAGCTCTTGGTGAGGTTTTTTATTTTATATTTTATTTTAAAATTTATTTGTTTATGAAAGATAGTTTTCATCTACTTAGTAGCAGTGATCGTCTCCACAAAACAATATTATTTTGAGGAAGGCTAGCACGCAGGGATAGACCTAGCAAGTTACTAACCTGGGCTATAGCCCAGGTGACTTTTCTTGTCTTTCAACTTAAAATTGCATTTAGCCCACCTCTGCTAGCTAGAAGGTTGACTTGTAAATCTTTGCAAAGGATAGAAAAGTGTAAACATAATAAATTTTTGCCCGATTAGTGTGAAATTAATGTTAGCTAATATTGGAAACTATCTTTTTCGTTTTGAAAACATTGGAAACTTTACCTTGGATTAATTATGTTCTACATCAATTCTGAGTTGATAAACATGTGATCAACTATTTTTAGATTTTTTGGAAAAGCATTCATATCACTAGCTTTCCTTTTCTTCATACTATGGTAAAAGAATTACTTATTTACATTTTGTAAGAGTGTTCCTATGAGAAAACCAGTCAAAGGCTTTTATTGTCATGAAATAGAGAAAACTATTATAATAATTTTGGTGTTCTTACTTGTATGAATAATGAATTATCAATCAATGAGATTTAATGAATTAATTAGTTGCTGACATATTGTCTTGTATATATTATTTAATAGGTTATACTTTTATAATGTCAGGTCAATATAAAAAACGTAAGAGATCAAAGATTCTTTGGAATTCTTTTGTTATCAACGAAATTCATCCGTATCATCGAGTTTTCTATCTTCTTAGAGCATTTCCAGCAACGGGCCTGGGGGGGGGGGGGGGGGGGGGGGGGGGGGGGGGGGGGGGGAAATGGTGTTGGTCCAGCAACACAAATCTGCCAGGGCAAGGTGTGGGCCCCAGCAAAAAAAATTTGCCTGGGCTAGCCCTTGGGGAGGTCCAGCCCGAGCAACAAAACTCGTTTTAAGTTGACGTTAGCGTTGCTGTTTAAATTTTTTTAAAGCTGGCGCGTGCAATTCACGCGCCTGGTTTAAAAAAAATTTGACGCACGCTACAGTAGCCGCCCAATGGCATGATTCCATGTGTCGCATGCTGGGCCATCCGATTTGCTTTTTAAAATTATCCAACGGCAGCTATTTTTTCGCGAATAAAAAAATCCAAAAAGCAACCCCCAACAGCTCTATGCCACGTGGAAGCTCCTGGGCTCTCCGATTAGTTTTTTCCAGCAATCCAACGTCAGACGATTTTTTGCCCAATAAAAAAATGAAAAAAAATCGGAAAAAATTTAAAAAAATACTGAATTTTTTTTTCTATAAATACCAACCAATACTGACTTTTAACCCAAAAATCTTATCCGAAAATATTATCCAAATTAATTGTTTGAGTAAACAAAGTTGTGAAAAAAACAAAAAAATGAATAGTATTTGCCATGGCAAGCCTTGTATTGCTGGAAACACAATTTATTTTTTTTTGTGCTAGGGCAGCCACTATTCACATGAATAGTACCCGCCCTAGGGCTCCCCTTGCCATGGCAAGGGGCTAACTGGTGGAAGTGCTCTTAGTAGGTTTGTACGTTAGGTAAATTTAGCTCACTTCTTTTTGAAATCTTGAATCCGTCCTTGAATGCATGTGAGTCCCCCAATACACTAACAACAACTGATAATCATCCACGTGCATGTAGTCACTTTTGAATATATAAATAATTGGTTTTGATCCATAATCTTCTGGAAGAAATTAATAAGGCATTGAAAAAAAAAAACAGTTAGAAATAGGGGAATAAGTAAAAAGTATGATTAATCGTACGTACATTTGGACAATTTATGACTAATAATACACATCAAAGGTAAAAGCGTGGTTGATTTGGCATTATCGAAAGAGGTAAGAGCCAAGGGGAATAGGATCTAGGAGAATTTCTTTGATAAAACTTGGGTAAAAGCAAAGTACATAATGATGGAAAGGAATGTACCAACTATAAACTTTGTTTTGTTTTGCATTGCACCTCTGTTTTTTTTTCTCATCTTTTTATGTTCGGTTGAGATAATAAAGCTACCCAAGTACACGAGAGGTATGGTCTTAATTTGGCACTTTGGCGACTCATTCTTGGCATGTCTTAGAAAAGACCAAAACTTTTTCCTTGATTGACAAAAGGTGATATACTTCCTCATCATCAATCTAGCAGCCTTTCTGTGCTGCCGACATGCTACAATCTTGAACACGTAGTGGAGTATGACATGAGTAGTATTGAATAAAATCTGGGGACCCTCTAAATCTATGATTTGGGGAAAAAAAAAACTTATTTGTTAAGAAAACGTTTTTGTTCTGAAAATTAAAATTTCATGATCATGCGTCAATCAAAATTAATGTGCATGCTCTTTGCCCCCTTTTTAATAAAAAATAAAAAAAAATAAAAAATTGTGTGAATGAACGTGGGCAGATTTTTGTGTCCAAGATCTATCTAATGACGGCACTTGATTGATTATGTTTAGCACTAACACTTAAAATAAGTATATACACGTTTCTGTGCTCGAAGTGAAGTTTCATCACCAAAGATTATAAATGTGGCTCATTGAATAGGTTCACATACTATTTAAATCAAGAATAAAATCAAGTATTGATGAAGGTTGTTGACACATCATCTCACCCGAGTCGATTCACCACTAATAAATGCCACGTGAAAGACCGGAATAAGTAGGATTTCCATCCTTCATTCACACTGAATCCGACTAGACGTATTCGAATTATTCTATGGACCTAACTCCCCAACCTCATTTGTTGTGGTTGGGTCTGTCTATCTGTTCTTACTCGATCAAAACACTTGGATTAAGTTGCCAT